TCGGGATCGCGATAAAATGCAAAGGCAGGCGCGAGTTCACGTGACTGCCAGGTGCAGGGTGGGTCCCCGCTCTTGACTAGCTGTGACAATAACGGTAATTAAGTAATAATAAAATCCACGCTTATAAGAGTAATTTTATCTACTAGCCTTACTATCTCCGAAGACTATATTTATTATTGTCAGAACTGGATTTAACGAAAAGAGTGAGAAGGTGCACAATGTCGAGAGGGCGTGGCTAGATCGCTGCGAGTACGGGGTCTTTGGTGACTGTATTAATCTCTTGACCTTCCTAAGTCTAGAAGCATTCCTCGGCTGCGAAGGTTCTTCCCTCGGTGCGCCCCCTGTGCACGTGACCTGATCGGGGCTTCCTGGGCCACACCTAGCCACAGGGCTAGTGGCCTCAGCCACCCCTGATGTCTGCAACAACCTTGGTATGCAACATGTGTCTGACAATTGTTAGTATTTTATAAATAGCCTTATATTACCGTTATAGACTTTGTGTAAAAAATAAATATTATCATCGCGAAGCTTATTATTAGATTATAGTAAAGTAGTTTTTCTATTTTAGACTTAATTTCTATAGTAAGGGCGGCGATTTATATTAACATATAATATAACGTGATTGATAAGCGAATATCCCAGACAAGCGAATGTCCCACAAATCGCAACACCACGAACAAGATCGTCAATTAACACACAAAAGATCATTCAATTAGTTCAAACTAATCGCTATGCGCATCTCTAGATGCCTCTATCTTAGCCTGACATGTTCGTGAATTATGGCCGGCCTTCCCGCACGCACTACAATGCCTTATACCTAGCTGCACCGACCTTGCCCGACCACCTCTCCTTGACCATTCAGCTGCTACCTGCGAATCTATATCCTTCTGATCAATCAATGCTTGACCTTCCTCTACTGTCATAGTCCCTCCATTCCGTAGGCGGGTCTTTTTCTCCCTCCGGCGCCGGCTAAGGATGTGGTTAGCATCTCGAAGATCCCGGACCTCCATCCTCAGTAACGCCATCTCGTGCTGATGTGCCTTTAAACCCTTAGTCATTGACATCATAGCATCAATTATTGATGCTGGGGAGCTACTCTTGTGTCTCCTGATTCGCTGTTCAAGGTAGGCAGACTGAGATTCAGTCTCCTTGATCGTCTTGGGGGTCTTTGAGACCCAAGGGTCAGGAAGCTCTGGAGTCCCCTCGGGAGGCGTTGGAGTGTGTAGCTTCACATCTAGCTTTGAGATTATATATTCCGTATCTAGAGGGGTAAGTCTAGCTCCTCTAAAGCCTCCCTTGATATTGCTTTCGGTTATTGTGGCTCGGAATGCCGCGTGGAAGGCATAAAGGAACTTAGTCTTTGAAACGTGTGTTATAGAGCATTTGATTAGATGCTCGATTTCTCGACCGTATGCCTTTTTGAGCGGCCCAAAGCAGCCCACATCGAGAGGCTGGAGTAGGTGAGACGAATGAGGAGGCATGTAGAGCGAGATAATCTTATTCTCCTTGTAATATGCCTCGAACTTGGCAGAGTGGTGGCTTTTATGCCCGTCGAGGATTAGAAGACGATAGGCACTATTCGATCGCTTCTCTATATATTGATTGAAGTGCTTTAGCTATAGGAGACCCGTAGTATTATCGGTCTAGCTGTTTTTCGTAGTTGCGATAGCCTAATTGCGAGGGAGAGTGCTTTCTTAATACCAGCTTGAGAGGTGATATTGGCCTGTAACAACGATGAACGGCGGCGCTGCCCAGCCCTGCGCAGAGATCGATTGAATGACTGTAACCCATTCCCGGTTTCTAGGCTGGACTCTTTTCGGGTTCCCACGCCTTTCTGCGCCTGTAATAACCATACCGCTTGCAATAACGCCCATCATAAAGCCTGTCTCGTCGAAGTTGTGGATATCACCTGATCGGATGCCATACTTCGCGATTGTGTTCGCTACAAGTCGAAACCACGCGTTTATAGCGACTAGATCTTCGCATTTGGCCCTCTGGTAGTCATATCTGCGAAAGAAACGCGTCTTAAGCTCTGGTTGCCGCTTGATAAAATTCCCTGCCTAGCGCTTACCGATAGGTGACGCGTCGCGGTCGACGCGCAATAGATTGGCTATTTCTTTAACACCACTAATCCGAGGTGAAAACCCTCGCGAATCTAGATTAATTATATACTTGACTAGCTTCTGTTCTTTAAGATCGGATAGTTTCCGCGAATTGGCTATGATATCGCTTCGAGACTGTATGCCCTGTCGACGGCGGCCTAGCTTCTTCCTACATACCTGGTAGATCTGGGCTGCGCGTCGCACGCTTAGCTCTGGGTCTTTTTGAAGGGCTTGAAGGGCTAGATTGATACTAGCCTCATCATTTGGGACTGGCATGCTTGGTTGTTGGGGATCAATTGATCAAATGATGATAGTGTGGGAGGATCGATTTGTGGGACATTCGCTTGTCTGGGACATTCGCTTATCAATCACGTTATATAATAATAATAAATTATACGCCCTTACGGGTGCCTCTAGCTAGCTAACTAGGCTATCTAGGCTATATAATCCTAAGGAAAAATTAAGTAAAAACCTTAGCACTGTCCTATATAATATACATGCATATATTATCACAGTTGGCAGTGTATTATCTAATATCTCACCGTACACATGCCTATACAGGGACTTTTATGGAGGCTTGGCGCGCAAGGCGATTGAGCTTGCCAGGTTCATGTACGTTGCTCTGGTGCCACACTTAGCAATGCGGTCCGCTAAATAAGAACACCCCTCCACGTGGCCTAGCAGTTTAGCGCAACTGCAGAGGTCTCATGTGGCAGGAACGTGCTCCGTATCCTCATAATCCTTCAGTGTCATGCTACGGGCGCGCACTAGTCCTGTACTGGTACTGCATTCAGTGTACCATTGTGCAGCGAATGTACTCCGTACTTGGGGGGAGTGAACATGTTGTGCGTGCTTGTTGAGTGTGCTTGCTGCTCGAGCTTGTGTGTGCCTCAGGCCACCGCAGGGCCCATCTGCAGATCTGCCGTCAGCTAGCATCTGTCCTTCTTCATCACCACTTTCTTCCAGCTAAGAACCTCTTTTTCCGTGGCCTTTGATGGAACAAAGTTAGAGCCTGACACAAGCATGAGCTGGAGGGGGCAAGATAGGACACGGAAACTTCGCCAGCTGTCGGTATTGGCCGCCCTATGTGACACTTGGTGCATAGTCTAGCATACAGTTCACGAGGAAATTTCAACGATGGAGTAAAAGCATACATGTAGACTAACATAACAGTAACCATATCGATCAACATACCCTGTTCGCACGCGCACCTATTCATTCTTATCTCCAGCGGCCTCCACCTCGTCCGCCCCGTCCTCCGACTTCACCTTGACTAGTCGGGACCCCTTAGCCACAATCTTGGCCAGCTCAGTGATGCTGCTAGTGTTCCACATGACCAGCAGTGGCAGGTTGACTTGCAAGTAGGCACCAATCCAGTTTCTCAACTCGACACCGACCAGCGAGTCCAGCCCGTACGAGTCCAGACTTCGCGCAGGGATCATGTCATTCGCGTCTGTGGCGAGGATGGTTGCCAGCTGGTTGACGATGGCCTGGGAGACCACGTCCACGGCCTCCTGGAAGGTCGTCGCGGCCTGAAGCGCCAGACCGACATCGTCAGCACCGCGACCGGCCGTCTTGCCGCCGGCTTGGTTCTCCGATCCAAAGAGCTGGGCAAGCCTCCTGTCCTGAGCCCAGCGCGCCTCACCGAGCTCGCGCTCCGTACCATTGGGCAGGATGCCGAGCGATGACTGCGTGTAGACCGTCTCGTGTTGAACAACATCGTTGAGATGGGACAAGAACTCGTCCATGCTAACGCTACCAAGTCCGTTCTTTCGAAGGGTCATGGCAACCTCTGGATTCTCACTCACGTAGCCGGCTTCGACAATGGCCCCGATGTTTAGCGCGTAGGCAGGCAGGCCTAAGCGGCGGCGGTAGCGAGCCATGCCATCCTGGAAAGCGTTCGCCGAAGAGTAGTTGCCGGCTCCAACGGTGCCCAGCAATGATACTACCGACGATAGCATAATGAAGAAATCCAAATCAGCGGGCAGAACCTTGTGCAGGTTCCACGTGCCTTGAATCTTGGGGAGGGTAACCTTTTTCCACTGCTCAAAGGTCATGTCTTCCAGTAAGACATCATGCAGGATCATGGCAGCCTGGAATAAACCGCGGATTGGGGGCATGGTCTTCTGAATCGCGGCCACGGATTCCTGCAACTGGTCCTCTGAAGTCACGTCGCACTTTTCGACACGGACTGTGATTCCCTCTGATGCCAGTCTGTCCAGGAAGTTCAGAGTATCCGGGTCGGACCTACCGGTCCTCGAGAAGATGACGATATGGCGAGCTCCCGCACCAGCAGTCCAGTCGACGATTTGTCTACCCAGGCCCCCCAGGCCTCCGACGACAATGTAGGTCGCTTCTGGGTTGAGCTGAGCGGGTTTAGGCTTTGGTGGGACAACCTGTATTAAAAGGAAATGCCAGTCAGCGTGTGTCTCCTTAGTAGGGTTTCCTAGAGCGACTATGCGTCGCCCTGTTCTCATTTCATGTACTCACCTGGACCTTGACCTCTGGCTCCACGGTCAAGATGACTTTACCCGTGTGCTTGCCAGCTTGAATCAGACGGAACGCAGCTGCCATTTCCGAGATGGAGTACTTGGTCAATTGCACGTGCCGCACGATTCTATCGGTAAAGAGCTTCATCGCTTCCCCCATGAGCTGGGCTGCCAGCTCCGTCTTCGTCGCGAGAATATGCGCAAAGTCAACGTAGGCGAACGTGATGTTATCCAGCAGGAACTGCATGGGCATGAGGGCATCTTCCATGAGATCCTTGCGCCCAATCTCGACGAACCGACCATGGCCTGCCACTGTATTGCATGACTCGCGGAACATTTCTCCCCCGAGAGAATTGAGGACCACATCCACTCCGTGGCCGTTCGTCATGGCGCGGATATGATGGCGGAAAGCAGTGGAACGGCTCGAGAAGATATGATCGCGCGGAATGTTGAACTCGGTGTTAAGCAGCTCCACCTTCGCCTCGTTTCCGCATGTCACAAAGATCTCGGCGCCGAGATACTGTGCAAGGATAATGGATGCTTGCCCGACCGCGCCGGCAGCCGAGTGGATAAGGATACTCTCCCCCTTTTGTAGCTTCCCAAGAGTAATCAGGCTGTAGTAGACAGTACTCCAGACAAGGGGTATCGAAGCCGCCTCCGCAAAGTCCATGTCCTCAGGTATCAATTGGCAGCACGAGCCGTGCACCACGGGATAGTTAGTGAATGACTGCGAGTATAAAGCGCAGACGCGATCTCCGGCCTTGAATTTGCTAGTCATGTTGGCGCCAACCTCGAGCACAACACCGCTGCAGTCATTGTTCATCTTGGTGATGCCCTCCAACTGGCCCGAGGCAATCAGCACATCCTTAAAGTTGACGCTAGCAGCGCAAAGCTGCAGTCGTAGACAGTCAGGATCCAGCGGCCCGGAGATCGTCGGGTTGTCTGCCCAGCGAATGGTGTCGAGCACACCGGTAATGCCCAGCTCCGCCGACATTGCTCTGCCGTTGATGAATGGGCCTTCTTCCGAAGAAGACCTACCCAGATCCCGGCTAACGTACTCATCGAAGCTGGGCTCCGAACGCATGCGGTAGACGTAGAGCTGGCTATCCCTGTCCAAGAATTCAAGCTCAACGTCGTCGACGTGAACGTTCATGTCAGCTGTCGGGCTGTTCAAGATGGTTGTCAGGGCTTCAATGCCCGTCTCCAACCCGCCTTCGAGCTCGAGAGTAGCCAGGCGTACAGAGGCGTATTCAAAACGCACCGATCGGACGAACCCGTAGACCCACTCGCCGCTAGGTCGCTGTTCTTTGTCCTTGGCCGTGAGCGTTACGAACACGACGAGCTTGGAGTTGGCGACCCTAGCCTTGAGCGCATTGAAGAGCGGGTCATCCAAGTCCCAGGCCACACGCTCGACGAAGTCGGGCATGATGATGCTCACCTTGTCTCCAGAGACAGATGCGGAGGCAACACAAGCCTCCACTGAACGGTCCCAGAGCTTCTTCTGAAGCTGGTCCGTGAAGCTGGCGTAAAGACCCTCTCCAGCAGCGGAAACAATGTCAACATCCAGAGCCGCTGCCGAAGAGGCCTGGGGCGGGGTTTCAACCACAAAGACATTGATGGAGCCTCCCTCTTCGACAGGCCAGTCCTCGAAGATGGGTCCGTTGTGGATAAAGCCATTGCTGGTAAGCTTCTCCTTCCACTGGGGCACGGTAAGCATAGGCGAGAGGGTCCGACCCTCGTTGACCCCGGCCCACCAACCAGCGAGCGAGCCGAAAATAAGACCGTAGTGGTGAAGATCCCGAGTAGGCTCCATAAGGATCAGCTTGCCGCCAGGGCGAAGCAGCGACTTGACGTTTTCCAGGACAACATCGAGACAAGGGGTAGCATGGAGAACATTGGAAGCGATGAGAACATCGTAGCTGTTGGGCGCAAAGCTATTGTCCTCGGCTGATTTCTCGACGTCCAAAGTCTTGTACTGGACAATACCTTCAAATTCGGAGAGCAGCTCCCGTGCGGAAGGAAAAAATCCTGGCGAGATATCGGTGAAATCGTAACTAGACGCTAGCACTCTGTTCGGGGCTTGCAGAGCCTGCAGGATGGGTAAGGTGGCTGATCCGGTGCCGGCGCCGACCTCGATGATCTTCATGTTGGGATCCATACGGCCTAGCTCACCCATGTACGCGGCAATCTGCGCAATGGTGCGAGGGTTGCCACCCTGGTTGTAGAGATTGCTCAGCTGGCTGTCTTCGTTCAGGATGGACAGGGCATGAGTAGTTCCGCGCAGGATGTCTCCCAAGCTGGCCCCCAAACGCCGTGCGATCCGTGCAGGAAGGCTGTCATCTACCTCTGCCATCTTTAGGGAGACTGGGTCAGGCTCCTCGTTGGCGACCGTCTTCATCCAATTGTACCAGGCGCGCTGGTACCCTTCGGCTACCTCTTCTTCCGGTGTGGAGGCCAGGGCTTGCTTGACGTACTTGATGGTCAGTGCATCCAAGCCCTTGACAGTCTCCAGGATAGGCGCGTGATTGAGCGACTTCTGGCAGATGTCGTCCATGTGTTTCTGCGTGGTCTTTGGCATGTAGGTTACCCAGTCTGGAACATGGCATAGTTCTCGTCTCCCAGCCTTGCCGATGGACACGTTTGGCAACTTGGTCGCAATCACGCCCGAGGCCTGCACGACCATGTTATCCTCCTTGCCCTTCTCAAAAACGCCAACGTCAAAGGTAAGCACTTGCTCGGTGAGTTTGGCGTGACACGTCACCTCCTGAACCGAGTCTTGCTCGACCACAACCATCTTCTCGATGAAAGTGGGCACAACAGGGGACGTCTCCTTGCCTTCGTAGATGAGGAGACCGATCATGCCGTGGTACAGGACGGCGTCCATGACACCAGGGTGGATGGTGTAGTTCGCACCATTGGCACCGGCACTGGGACCGGGCACAAACGAACAGTCTGCGATGCACGCACGGGGGGCGAGCTTGACACTGGTCAGTTTGTCAAAGGGCGCGGACCAGTTGATGCCAATGTCTCTTGCCCGGTGGTAGAATTGCTTGGCCGAGACATGTTGGGCGTGCGGTGGCAGAGTGACCCGGGTAGGGACCATACCGTCGTCCCGTGTGGCAGACTCTGACTTGTGAACAACCTGCAGGAGACCGCGGCAATGCTCGGTCCAGACATCGTCTGCGGATGTGCTGAAGACACGGAACTCTTGCCACAGTGGGGACGACTTTCTCGCTGACAGTACCTGGGGCCGGAGCGACAGGCTGATCTCCAAGTCTGGTTTGTTTTGTTCCATGACCAGCGCCTGTGACAAGACGACGTTGCGCAGGATAAAGCGGTCAATCGTGGCTTGGGGAGTACGCATAGCCGTGTCTTGGCGTGCCGCCTGGAAGACCATGGCGAGGTATGCCGTAGCTGGGAGAATCGTCTGTCCCTGGATGATGTGGCCGCTCAGCCAGGGGATATCTGCCAGATTGAGGTAGCAACGCCATCTGGGCTCGTTGGGGTTGTTGTCATGAATAAGCGTGCCTAGAAGCTCATGGGGAACGAACTGACGATGTTTGTACGCCCGGGACACTCGACTCTCGTGCCAGTGCGTCTTGGCGCGGTCAAACGGATAAGGGGGAAGATCCGACAGGGGTTCAGGGGCCGTTTCGAATCCGGCATTGGCTCTCCAGAAGGCGACGGGAGAGCGTTCATAATATAGGGACCGGAGCATAGCCAACAGGCGAAGCTGAGCATCCTCGCCGCGCTTTAGAGATCCAGCATATTGAATCTTGGCCGCCTCCCCGCTGAAAGTCCTGACGGTCTGCTTGATCGGGCCTTCCAGCTGAAAGTGAGATCCCAGCTCAAGCAGCAAGTCGACCTTGCGCGTGCCACCTTCCCCCACGCACGTCTTCTTCAAAGCGTCAGTGAAGCGAACAGGCGAGACCAGATTATACACCCAGTAGTCCCGGTCGATAGGCTTATCTCGGACATCCTCACCCGTGACAGAGGAGACCATGCCGATGTCAGATATAGGCACGCTGTCGGATATATCCTTAAGAGCCTCGTGGTATTTGCTAGCAATTTGGAGCATCTGCGGCGAGTGGTAGGCAGCTCCTCCGGTACGGAGAAGTCGATTCCAGATATCTTGCTCGTCGAGGATCTGTTTCAGGGAGCTGATAACCTCTTCGTCGCCAGATACCGTCACGCTCGAAGGACTGTTGAAGCAGGCAATAGCGATTTTGCTGGAAGCAGAAGTAGCGAGCTGGTCGATATATTGCTTTACAGTCGTCGCCGATGCCCCGATGGCGATCATGGCGCCGGCCTTGCCCTTGTTCTCCTTCCTTAGTTCACTAGTCAGCCGACCACGGTGATAGGCTACCGTAATAGCATCTTCAAACAAGATAGCTTTGGCGCAGTAAGCAGCCGCAATTTCTCCGCTAGAGTGGCCTGCCACAGCGGTCGGGATAACCCCCAGATCTTTCAGCGTATCAACGAGAGAGATTTGAACCGCTGTGGAAATTGGCTGGGCGATACAAGGATCCTCCATTCGACTCTCCGAGGGCTCCCTGAGCAGCTCCTCAAACAGGTCCCACGAGCTTCCGCATGCCCGCAGGCATACAGCTGCCCGCTTCATACTATCCGTGAAAACTGGCCATGTGCCCAGAAGGCTCCGGCCCATTTGAGGATACTGAGCACCTTGGCCGCTGAAGACGAAGCCGATGCGAGGCGTCGTCTGTTGGCTGACACGGGGAATGGATTCGGTGGACAGTTTCGTAAGCTGCGCCGTCAAGTCACCCAAGTCAGAGGCAACAATTCCGACCCTGTTCTCCATGACAGACCTCCTACTCAGGGTGTAGGCAAGGCGGCCCAGCAGTGTGTCAGCGTCAGCCGAATCCGCCCGGTCCTCAAGATACTTGGCCAAATTGGATGCCATCTGTTGGCACGACTTCTCGCTGGCCGCGCTGAGAACAAAGAGCCGTTCTTTGACCCTGGGCACACCTCCAGGGACACCATGACCATTGGTGGCTGGAATTCCCTCGATCTGGCTCATTGTCTTCACCGGGGCAGCATCCGCAGCGTCTATGACGACGTGGCAGTTGGTTCCACCGTAGCCGAAGCTGTTGACCGAAATTCTCTTGAGCGGCCTAGTCTCGAGAGTTGTTGCGATCCTGATCTTGAGGCTGTCCAGGTCAATGTCCGGGTTCGCTTGCTCGAAGTTGGCCTGCGGCGGAATCATATTGTTTTCGAGCATCAGGACAGCCTTGATAAGACCAGTGAGACCGGCTGCGCTCTCCGTGTGACCAATGTTGGCCTTAATAGAGCCGATAGGCAGCGGCGAGTCCGACTTGCGAGCAGCACCGAGGACCTTGCCAATCGCCCGGGCCTCGATAGGATCGCCAACTGAGGTGCCCGTGCCGTGGGCCTCGACGTAATCTGCGTACGGCTCCAGGCCGACCTGGGCGTAGGCCCTCTCAATAGCAGCAGCTTGCGCCGCTGCACTTGGAACAGTGATTCCGTTTGTCTTACCGTCCTGGTTAGATGCCGAGTTTCGGATGATAGCGCGGACTGAATGACCTTGCTTTTCGGCCTGGGAAAGGGGCATAAGGACGACCCCCGAGCACCCTTCACCTCTGCCGTAGCCACCGGCCCCCTTAGCGCGGCTGTCGAATGAGTAGGACTTTCCAGACTTGGAGAACATGCTATACTTATTTTGATAACCATATCGCTGCGGATCGAGCAGGAGATTCACGCCCGCCACGAAGCACTTCTCTGTCTCTCCCATACGAAGACTTTGTACGGCTTGATGGAGGGCTACCATGCTAGCTGAGCAGCCGCTGTCGATGGTGAAGCTAGGGCCTTGGAGGTTGAAACAGTAAGAAACTCGGTTAGAAGTGATAGCCGCCCCAACACCGGCGGCCTGATAAACGGGCGGGAAGTCGATATCTCTCAGGAGCATCTCCTGGTAGTCCGAAGTCCACTGGCCAACGTAGACACCAGTGTTGGACCCTGATATTTGTTCCATGGTAAGGCCAGCATTTTCAAAAGCTTCATAAGCAATCTCGAGAACCAGTCTCTGTTGAGGGTCCATGGCCTACAATGGCGAGCCAAATATTTTTAGTCAGATACGTTCCACGCTGGTCCATGGCCGCATTGGGATGGGAAGGGAAGAGGGGGTTTACGCACGGATGCCTCCAATGGGTTGATACCAAAGAAGGAAGCATCAAAGGCTTTGATATCACCTTTCAAGAAATGTCCACCGTCTGTACTTGTCTGAAAAATAGGTCAGTCATTTCTGCATTGTGTGTAGCGCCGAGGCCGGACTGTCAAACTGGTCCCAACGTCTAGTGTAAGATGTTCTTACCCTTCCAGGCTTGCCTTCGGCAGATGGATCACGGAAACCCTCTTGGTTGAATCGATCCTTGGGCGTCTTTGACCACGCTGAACCACCCTTGGTAAGTAGCTCCCACAGCTTTTGCGTGTCTGATGCGTCTCCGGAGAGCCGGCAGCTCATGCCCACCACGGCGATAGGCTCGTAGTTCCCTCCATTGGGTTCTGCTGGAGAGTGCCCATTGACAGGTGCACTGCCATTCACAACTGTACTGCCATTTGGGACAGGCCCGGGGCCAATGGAGCCCATAATGCCTGGTAGAGTCTGGGGAAGTGTATGGACAGTCAAGATGCGAAAGAGACCTGTTTGCCTCGCTTGGTAGAGTCTAGGGAAATTTATGGACAGTCAAGATGCAAAAGAGACCTGTTTGCCTCGGAACTTGATGCGGAAAGAATGATTATGAAGATGAACGGGTCTCTCCCGCCTCTCCATTTCACCATGCGCATCCACAAAGACGACACCATGTTATATTGGGGAGAAATCTTGGACTGGCGGGATTTGGTGGATTCGTTGGATTCGTAGGATTGCTTATGCAGCTGGCTCCACGAATCGGATGGCTCGAGCGCCAGGTCGATAAGGTTCTTCTGATACGAGCCTTGGGGTTTGTCCCTGTCAGAGAGGTGACAATGCTCACTTGCATGAACCCATGATGCTTGTTGAAAACGTGTAATGGCCACGCCCACCCGTTGCGCCAAGGGCAAAAGACATTGATCGAATGACGAGCGATCAATACAGGCGTAATAGCTACTTACAGGGGTTACGAGGGACCAGGTCGTAACAGCACGAGTGCGAGGCTTCGGATCCTGCGACACTAGCCTGGGGGGGGGGGGGGGGTGTTCCTTCGGATGAAATCCACATGCCTACGGTGGGATATTAGATAACACACTACTAACTACATCAACCACCAATTACACACATATACCGTTGGAATAGCCTTAATATTTAAGATACCATTTCGCACGAATATTATTAATTATTTAGGTACATATTATTAAGACTTTTTAGCGACTTCGATACTTAAATTTCTTAATAATAATACGATTACTAATAATAATAATAATAATAATAATAATAATAAGGCTATATTAAAATCTACGCTTATAAGGAATTTTTTATTTAAGAACCCTGTTATATTTAAAGACTATATTTATAATTTTATATATTTATTATTAATATATTGTAAATAGCCTTAACGTGATTGATAAGCGAATGTCCCAGACAAGCGAATGTCCCACAAATCGCAACACCACGAACAAGATCGTCAATTAACACACAAAAGATCATTCAATTAGTTCAAACTAATCGCTATGCGCATCTCTAGATGCCTCTATCTTAGCCTGACATGTTCGTGAATTATGGCCGGCCTTCCCGCACGCACTACAATGCCTTATACCTAGCTGCACCGACCTTACCCGACCACCTCTCCTTGACCATTCAGCTGCTACTTACGAATCTATATCCTTCTGATTAATCAATGCTTGACCTTCCTTTACTGTCATAGTCCCTCCATTCCGTAGGCGGGTCTTTTTCTCCCTCCGGCGCCGGCTAAGGATGTGGTTAGCATCTCGAAGATCCCGGACCTCCATCCTCAGTAACGCCATCTCGTGCTGATGTGCCTTTAAACCCTTAGTCATTAACATTATAGTATTAATTATTGATGCTGGGGAGCTACTCTTGTGTCTCTTGATTCGCTGTTTAAGGTAGGTAGACTGAGATTCAGTCTCCTTGATTGTCTTGGGGGTCTTTGAGACCTAAGGGTTAGGAAGCTCTGGAGTCCCCTCGGGAGGCGTTGGAGTGTGTAGCTTCACATCTAGCTTTGAGATCACATATTCCGTATCTAGAGGGGCAAGTCCAGCTCCTCTAAAGCCTCCCTTGATATTGCTTTCGGTCATTGTGGCTCGGAATGCCGCGTGGAAGGCATAAAGGAACTCAGTCTTTGAAACGTGTGTTATAGAGCATTTGATTAGATGCTCGATTTCTCGACCGTATGCCTTTTTGAGCGGCCCAAAGCAGCCCACATCGAGAGGCTGGAGTAGGTGAGACGAATGAGGAGGCATGCAGAGCGAGATAATCTTATTCTCCTTGCAATATGCCTCGAACTCGGCAGAGTGGTGGCTTTCATGCCCGTCGAGGATCAGAAGACGATAGGCACCATTCGATCGCTTCTCTGTATGTTGATTGAAGTGCTTTAGCCATAGGAGACCCGTAGCATTATCGGTCCAGCCGTTTTTCGTAGTTGCGATAGCCCAATTGCGAGGGAGAGTGCTTTCTTGATACCAGCTTGAGAGGTGATATTGGCCTATAATAACGATGAACGGCGGCGCTGCCTAGCCCTACGCAGAGATCGATTGAATGACTATAACCTATTCCTGGTTTCTAGGCTGGACTCTTTTCGGGTTCCTACGCCTTTCTGCGCCTGTAACAACCATACCGCTTGCAATAACGCCCATCATAAAGCCTGTCTCGTCGAAGTTGTGGATATCACCTGATCGGATGCCATACTTCGCGATTGTGTTCGCTACAAGTCGAAACCACGCGTTTATAGCGACTGGATCTTCGCATTTGGCCCTCTGGTAGTCATATCTGCGAAAGAAACGCGTCTTAAGCTCTGGTTGCCGCTTGATAAAATTCCCTGCCCAGCGCTTACCGACAGGTGACGCGTCGCGGTCGACGCGCAATAGATTGGCTATTTCTTTAACACCACTGATCTAAGGTGAAAACCCTCGCGAATCTAGATCAATTATATACTTGACTAGCTTCTGTTCTTCAAGATCGGATAGTTTCCGCGAATTGGCCATGATATCGCTTCGAGACTGTATGCCCTGTCGACGGCGGCCTAGCTTCTTCCTACACACCTGGTAGATCTGGGCTGCGCGTCGCACGCTTAGCTCTGGGTCTTTTTGAAGGGCTTGAAGGGCTAGATTGATACTAGCCTCATCATTTGGGACTGGCATGCTTGGTTGTTGGGGATCAATTGATCAAATGATGATAGTGTGGGAGGATCGATTTGTGGGACATTCGCTTGTCTGGGACATTCGCTTATCAATCACGTTATATAATTCTTATATATTCTATATAAAAAATACGCACTATTATCGCGAAGCCTATTATTATAAAATTACAATAAATTTTTTTTTATCATAGGATTCATTTTTATAGTAAGGGCGGCGATTTATATGAGGCTATAGGGACGAATATATAAAGGTACGTGTATATATTAATATACTTGGCAGTGTGTTATCTCATTTCCCACCGTACACGCCCGCCCCCTCTTCCCAATAATCGCCTCCACACCAGCTACAAGGGTACGGTTTTCGGCAATATGCTGAGCGGAAGAACAAGACAGTGTCCGTCAAATGGGCATTTGAGAACAATCCCGAGCACATTCCCCAAGGCTGGATACAATCAATCTGACGACCATCCTTCTTTTCTTTGAAAGCTGCTGTCGAGCTGTCCAACGCCCGTGCTTTGTGCATGTTTTCGTTTGTTGGCAGAAGTGAGACTCGACTATTAACAGTGTTGCATTGCAGACGCCTTTCCAGCTGCCAGGCGCAACATGGACGGTCACAATGGCATCGAAGCCTTGCTGTGCAGGGCCGCGTCCCGTGTCCTCAAAAGGGATGAATCTGAGGTTGAGGCACAGAAATCTCTCGTCGAACAAGGCGGTGATATGCTGTCAGGAGTTTTCTTTGCTGGGCAATGTAGGGAATTCGGTCTCCTGGTCGACGTGGCACATGCCTCCAGTATGTCTCTGCGTGACATAGCACGGCAGCTGGTGGAGATCAACCCGGAGCTGCTGCAATTGAGCACTAAAGCCGACCCCAAGTCTGTCGCAGTCCCAAACACTCAGCTCCAGAGCCTGTACCGTACCTTTGGGTCGGCACAGGGCTTCATATTGGATGTTGAGGCCCCCATCTCGCTCCACGATGCTAATCGCATGCTGGAGAGACTGGTCAGGATCCATGTAATTCTTGGGGCTTCCCTCGAGTCTGAACAAGAGATTGCCTATGTCCTGTCAGACACCACACCATCTCTGTCAACGACTCTGGTGCCATACGAATCCGACGAGAAAGCCATCGCCCAAGTGAAAAACCTTGAGGAGGAGGCTGCAAGGACAAGGCCAAGCCCACATGCTCTCAGCGTCCTCTTGTTTGGACAAGAATCCCGGATCAGGAAACTCGGACTCGTGGCACACAGCGCCGCTGTGGACGCCCACTCATGGCACGTTCTTCTACGAGATATCCAGGCATATACAATCCAATCTCATGACTTGAGTGCCCCGTCTTACACCTTCTCCGACTGGGTGGAGAGAGCGAATCAGGGCACGCGAAAGAAAGCCGAGTCTGTTATCGGGACTGAGCCCTCCTTGCCCTCAGGGTCACCGCCACCGTCGCCCCCTTTGTCGCTGCCGAAAGATCAATCCTTGCCGCAAACCGGCGTCGCCTCATCTCACACCTTCAGTTTGAGCTTGGAATTGACGGAGGCACTCGATAGTGAGGCATGCCACCGAGCATTGCGCACAGAGATTCACGATCTGATATTCGCATCCTTGTCCTCCTCCTTTGGAGGCCAATTGCCAAGCCCAGCGAGACACGTCGAGATCAGGGATGGTCGGCCCTACGAGGAGAATGACGCGTGGGCCGGTGTGATTGGTTGCTTTGACGAGCTTGTTGACATAGTCTATCACTGCACTGGAGAGGAGGAAGATATGGTCTATACGTGCCGCAACGCGAAAGATTCGAGGCGATGTTCATCCTCGAGCTCTACCCACCACGACCATTTCCACGACTCCAATATCATCTTCGACTCAACTCGGCTCAGGAGACAGCAGGACGTCACAATCAACAAAGCGATACAGTCGACTGACCAAGTGCCCGGGCGCCGTGCTGCCGAGGTCCTCGCACACTCCATTGGCGGGCTCTACCTGGCTCCTTTCTGGATCGATGCAAGACTAAGCTTTTTGGTCGTGTGCGGTATCACATCCGGAGCAGAAATGGATCTCAAGCGCCATTCTGAAAAGTTCGTCAGCCATCTACAAGACTTGGTCGCAACGTTGACCAGCTGTCCCCGACCTTTGCCCACCCTCTCCGATTTCCCCTATGTCTCATATGACTATCCATCTCTGGACCACCTTTTCGAGCATCAATTGCTCCGCATCACCCCAAATCCTGTCGCCGACATTTGTAACATCTATCCATGCACGGCTATACAGGACAACATGCTCATGGGCAATTCCCTGGACAAGGGAGCATACATATGCAGCTTCACTGCCAGAGCCACCATGTCAGGCGCTGTCGCATCTTTCGACGCTGCGAAATGGGCCATGGCATGGAACAAAGTCGTCGAGAAGCACTCGTCCCTCAGGACTGTGTTCGTCGAGAGCAAAAGTCGCCTGGGCCACTTTGACCAGATCGTGCTCAGGAAAGTGGCCCCGCCGGTCGATATCATCACTTCAGGGGTTCTTGAGCCAGTGCAGGTTGAATTTCAACCGTTTGAGGTACCGCATCATCTGGGCATTATCCAGGAAGGCCCTGGACGGTGTCTTATTGTGCTGACCATGTCCCACGCCATCACCGATGGCCACTCTGCGGAAGTCATTCTCAACGACCTGAGCGCCTCTGCTATGGGTCGCCTAGGCGCCGTTGAGAAGTCGTTCTCCTACGCCGAGTACGCCCTTAGCGAGTCCCGATTGGGAAAGGCACATAGTGTCTCGGAGCTTTATTGGCAGGAATACCTCTCAAGGACGCAGGCAACACTCCTCCCAGTCACGCGGGAGAAGGCTGGACTACACGATTTCCAAAGCATACATTCCATCATGCCCGTCAAATTAGTATCCATGGACCGGCTATGTCGACGGCACAAAATCAATTTGGCCAGTGTCTGCCAGGTCGCTTGGGGAGTGGTGCTGCGAAGTTACCTCGGCGTCAACGACGTGTGCTTCTCGTACATATCCTCCCTGCGAAACAAGCCCATAAAGGGCATCATGACGGCTATTGGCCCGCTCATTACCACACTTCTTTGCTCTACGAACTTGGACGGGGACATGAATATCCTGGACGCTATTAGGGGTATCGAATCTGACTACGCAGATAGTCTGTCCCATGAGGCAGAGCTCTCCAGCACCACTTCTGTTCGTCGTTGGAGCAATACCGTCATGTCATTCCGTCGCAAACTTGTGCAGGCTGATGGACAGCTTCATGGCTTCGGTTACAAGCTCATCAAAGGCACCAGCCCTACAAACGTAAGTGCAGATCCTCCGAGCATCCAAAGACCGACGGCTAACTCGGGCCAGTATGATGTTTCACTTGTAGTTTCAGCGGGTCAATCCGACATGGAGATTACGCTGGATTACTGGGCATCTCGGATGGACAGAGAATACGCCCAGCAACTTCTTGACAGCTTTCAGGAGGCTATCCACTCCATCTTTCGAGACATCGGCACCAGCGTGTCCAGACTCGAGTTGATCAGCCAAGCTCAGAAGCAGCGGATCTTGAAGAGAAATTCTCGTGTTCCTGAGGCTCTGAACCGATGCGTCCATGAGCTCATCAATGAGCGTATCCAAGAGCAGCCATCGGCTGTTGCCATTGACGCTTGGGATGGCAGCTTGACATACAAGGAGTTGGAAGAATGCTACTCCCACCTCACTCAGCATTTATTGAATATTGGTGTCAAACCAGAAGTCCCAGTGGGGATCTGCATGGACAAGTCCAAGATCGCGCCAGTCGCCATGCTTGCCATTCTCCAGGCGGGCGGAGCTGTTGTTCCCATCGGGGTACAGGAACCAATTGCTCGTGTCCGGTCTATTCTTGCCGACTCGTCCCCGGTGGCTGTGATCACGGATGAGAAGCAAGGCAGCCGTCTTTCTGGACTGGGTATACCGATTCTGAACATAGTTGATATTATGGCGGACGAGTCACCAATTATTCCATCATCAGCAGCGACGACGGCAGCGGCAGCAGCAACAACGACAACAACACCGACAACAACAACAACAACAACAACAACATCGACATCAACAAACACACAAGAGTCGCGGCCCGAGCCGGAGAACACCGCATGGATCTTCTACACGTCTGGCTCCACTGGGAAACCAAAGGGTGTATTGGTACAGCATCAAGCCCTGGCAACTAGCATGATCGCTCATGGCGTTGCGCTGAACCTTTCACCGGGGGATAGGGTACTCCAATTCGCGGCGCACACGTTTGACGTTTCCCTGTCCGAACTGTTCACCACGCTCATTTACGGCGGTTGTGTCTGTATACCCAATGAGACGGATCGCTTTAACGACCTAGTAGGTTCAGTGCTTCGTCTACAGACAAATGTTCTCTCCCTCACCTCGAGCATGGCATCGACTATTCGACCCGAGGACGTCCCAGGGGTACGAAAACTGATTCTGTTTGGGGAAGAAGTCAAAGCAAGCGTATTAGAAGCCTGGCTGGGAAAGGCAGACATCTTCAATGCCTATGGTCCAACCGAGAGCTCTATATTTGCTAGTGTCAGCAAACCGCTGGAGAGCGTGGCAGACCGGTCGAACATTGGTTTCCCCATGAACGTTAACTTTTGGGTCACCGATCCGCAGAACCCCGGACGGCTATGTGGTCCCGGAGTTCCGGGTGAGCTATTGATCGAGGGGCCACTGCTCGCCCGGGGCTATCTCAACGACGAAGCCAAGACATCTACTGCTTTCGTCCGTGATCCAGCATTTGCATCGTTATTGGGACTGTATCCTGGGAGACGTTTCTACCGAACAGGAGATATCGTGCGTCAAGAGGGCGATTCATCCATGAGCTACATTGGCAGACGAGACACGCAACTCAAGATTCACGGCCAACGACTGGATGTGACCGAGGTCGAGCACTGGATTATAGAACTCCTGGATGTTGTCATTCGGGCCGTGGTGGACCTTGTGCCCGCCGTTAGGAACGATTCCACGTTGCATGCAGGAGGTGTCGTCCTGTTTGCTGCGGTCGAGTTCTCCAAACGGTCCGCGGCCCATGCCCCCTCAGGGACTGGAGATATTCTCCCGGCATCGGATGAGCTTCGCGAGGAAATCAACTTGCTGCGGAATGCATTGCAAGAAAAGCTACCCTCCTATATGATCCCCACCTTCTTCATTCCTTTCGGACGTATACCCCTAACGGCGTCGGCCAAGACGGACCGCGGAATGGTTCGCCGGTTGATTGGCGAGCTGAACACGACCGCTCTCCAGGAGTACATGTACGTCTGCGAGGACTCAAGCGACAATGACCAGCTGCTGCTCACGGAGACTGGGCAAATGCTCAAGGCTCTGTGGGCAGCTGTTCTCAACGTAAGCAGCTCATCAATCAGAGCGAGCGACCACTTTCTTTATAGAGGAGGAGACTCTCTCCTAGCTATAAAGTTGGTTGATATGGCTCGACGGGAGCACATCCACATAACGGTCAAGGATGTGTTGGAGTTCCCAAGACTTCAAGACCTGGCCAGAGTTCTCGACGAACGTAACGCAGCTGGTAAGGCTCTTGTGGACCCTGCTCAGGATGGAAAAGAGAGCGACCCCCCCCCTTTCTCTCTCTGGCAGCCATCCTGGGGCGATACGGGGTCGGACCTGGCAGATATTGCCACCCAGTGTGGCCTCAGTACTGGAGACGTTGAGGATGTCTACCCGTGCACCTCATTACAGCAGAGCATGTTGGCTGCCACGGAGCAACGTCCGACAGCGTACCGTGTCCGTCTAGTCTTTGCCATCGCGGATTCTATCGATATCACACGCTTCCGAGAGATGTGGAACGTCATGGCGCAACGGAACCCCGTCATGCGAACTCACATATTACTTGGGCACCGCTCAGGACCGTTGCAGGTGCTGTCCAAGAAGGCTCCCACATGGCAGGCCCACGAAGATTTGGACAAGTATGTTGCAGAGGACCAAGCGCGCCCCATGGGCGTAGGACAGCCGCTCGTTCGTTTTGCTTTGGTGCACCAACAGGCGAAGGGTGTTTCTTATTTTGTGTGGACCGCGCATCACTCGGTCTACGACGGCTGGAGCTCCCAGCTCATCTATAGGCAACTGGCGGCTCTCTATCTCGGTGACAAACTGCCTCCTTCCGTCCCTTTCACAAGGTTCATTGCGTACCTACAGCGCAGAAAAGAGTTCGATAGGATCAAGACGGCCTCCTACTGGCGCGAACAGCTTGGAGGAGATACCCCGTCCGCCTTTCCTGCCATGTCGGCTGCTTTCTACCAACCAAAGCCTACCGCCTTGCTTCGCTCCGAGATTGACACGTCGGTGTACGATCCTTCGAGGTCTGAGCTGTCACTTGCTGACGTCCTGAGGGCTGCTTGGGCCATGACCCTAGTCCAGTACCTGGGCACCAGCGACGTGGTCTTTGGCGCAATTCTTTCCGGACGAAACGCCCCCGTCACGGAGATCACGGAGCTGATTGCGCCCACCATCACCACTGTGCCGGTTCGAGTGCAGGTCGATCGGGCCTCGACCGTGGCTGCTTATCTTGCAAAGATACGGTCCCAGGCGATAGAGATGATACCATTTGAGCATACGGGATTGCAAGAGATCAAACAACTTGGTCCTGATCTCGGACCCGTCACGGATATCAAACATGCTCTTGTCATCGAACCCCCCTATGCTCGGGATGGAGAGGGCGCCACTGAATTTCCCGGCTTGCAGCTGGTGCGCACGGATGTGAACGCGTTTGACACATTTGCTCTCACCATTCAGTGTCAGCTCCCAAGCCAGCAAGGGGGCCCGGTCAAGCTCGAGACTCGTTACGACAGTCACATTGTAAGCGAGGCACAGGTGGCGGTGCTTCTTGGACAGCTGGGACACTGGGTTTCGCAGTTCCTCGACGAGACGAATCACCAGAGGCAGCTGCGCAGCCTGGAGGAGATTACCTCAACCGATCTAGCCCAAATCAAGAAACAGAATGCGAGGATACCCGTGCGAGATTTGACCTGCTTGCATCACCTGATCAGGGATGTAGCCCAAGAACAGCCCGATTCGCCGGCGGTGTGTGCCTGGGACGGCAACTTCACCTACAAGGAACTTTGGGCCCACGCGAGGAGACTTGCGCAGCATCTTTCCAGCCTCGGAATCCGGCCCGAGTCCAGCGTGGTAGTTTGTATGGATAAGTCCAGGTGGACTGTCGTGACGATCCTCGCCATCCTGGAAGCGGGTGGTGTCGTTGTCATGCTACGCTCGACGTATCCTCTGGAACAAGCCAAAGCACTCATGGAGGATTGTCGAGCGGCTATCCTATTGACCAACGCAGGGCACACTGACCGGCTTGCTGGCGCAAGACCTGGAATCCACCTGGTGGAGGTGGATGAGGCTTTGCTGGCCAGCCTCCCAGACCCGAGCGTGGATGGACCCATATGCGCAAACCTTACCCCTGACCATGCCGCATGGATTGTGTACACATCGGGGAGCACAGGGCTACCAAAGGGATGCCTTCTGGTCCACGGCGGTCTTGCTACCAGTCTGCCGGCCCACGGAAGAGCAACACGTTGGCATAAGGGATCCCGCACCCTCCAGTTCGCATCTCACGAGTTCGATGTCACTCTGCAAGAAATCATGACGACACTCATCATGAAAGGATGCGTGTGCATTCCCTCGGAAGACCAACGCATCAACTCCCTTCCCCAGGCCATCAGGGACATGAATGTCAACCAGATGGTGCTGACCCCAACCGTGGCCTCCATGATCAATCCGGACGATGTGCCGTGCATAGCCCAGATTCAAGTCGCCGGCGAGCTGATCAAGCCCGGTGTCGTCGAGCGGTGGATCGATCACGCCGAGGTGGTGAATATCTACGGACCGTCCGAATGCTCCGTGTACTCGTCCTGCGGCCGGCCGATGCAGAGACTCGAAGACGCGCCCGTCATTGGATACCCGCTGGACAACTGCAACTTTTGGATCACGAGCACCACCGACCACAACCGCCTTTGTCCCATTGGCATCCCCGGCGAGCTTCTCGTGGAGAACTCTTGGCAGGCCCGGTGCTATCTCAACAACCCGGAGCTGACGGCGCAGTGCTTCGTGGTGGACCCCGGCTTCGTCAAGCAACTTGGCCTGGACGGGGATGGCGCCGGGAGGCGGATGTACCGGACCGGCGACATTATTCAGCAGAATCCCAACGGATCCTACACTTATATTGGCCGCATGGGGAACGAGGTCAAGTTCCGTGGGCACCGAGTAGATCTGGGCCGGATCGAGTACTGGATCGGCAAGCTCCTCGCTGGGGTGCAGACGATTGTGGTCGATCTGGTCGATCTCCAGGCTGGCAAGAAAGCGAATGATCTTGTCGCGGTGGTGGACTTCTCCGAAGACTGTGAACTGCTTGACGACCTTGATCCGACGGCGACGGAGGAGATCCATGGTGTCACCATTCTTGCCCCTTGCAGCAGAATTCAAAAGGCCCTGTGTAGCCTCAGGGATGGGTTAGCAGACAAACTGCCGAGCCACATGGTGCCGACGGCCTTTATGCCCTGGAAGAAGATCCCCCTGACATCGTCTGGCAAGACAGACAGGGGCGCTGTGCGTCAGCTACTGACGAATCTCGAGCCAGGCTCGTCCTTGTTACAGCGCTATCTGGCTAGTGAGGGCGTCAAGACAAGCCCTCAAACCAAGATTGGCAAGCAACTTCAACAGCTATGGGCCGATGTCCTCTCGATCGATGCCGACTCCATCGGTACCCGAGACCACTTTACGCGACTCGGCGGTGATTCCCTGGCCGCCATGAAACTTGTCGCATCGGCTCGTCAAGTCGGCCTTCGTTTGACCGTCGCCTCTATCTTTACGCACCCCGTACTGGAGGAGTGCTCTCGCATCCTGGAAGCCGAGCAGGAGGCCGGCCTCGTCGTCGAAGCCGCAGAGCAGAACGACCCTGCTCCTTTTGAATTGATGCCAGAGACGCCAGGCGGCCCTGCCGGGTTTGAGTCCCGACTGGCAGACTTTGCTTCTCAATGCCGGGTGGCTCCTCACCAGATTACAGATGTGTATCCTTGCACGCCTATGCAAGAAGCGCTCTTCGCCATCACCGCACGGCAGCCGACGGCCTATACATATCGCCAGGTGTTCCGAGCCAGGGAGCAGAAGCTTGACACTGCCAGGTTCCAGGCTGCATGGGAGGCGGTAGCCAGGACACTGCCCATCCTCCGCACTCGCATCGTGCTGGATCGCAACAGTGGCTTTCTCCAGGCAGTCGTTGACGAGCCCCTGGTGTGGCACATGGGTGGCGATCTGGACAGCTATCTTGCCGCAGACAAGGTCGCCAGCTTCGAACCGGGCAAGCCTCTTCTTCGCTGTGCTATCGTGGAGGAGCCGCGCTCGGGGGCCAAGTGCTTTGTCTTGACCACACACCACAGCATGTTTGACAAATGGAGTATGGAGAGGATCCTGTCCCGCTACCTCTACCCGGCCTTGTCCGGAAGTGAGCTGCCAAAGGCTGTCCCGTACCCGAGATTCATTCGCCACGTCCTAGACATTGACGTGGACGCTGCGTCACGATACTGGACCCAGACGTTGGCCGGCGTCGATGAGGATTCCTTTACCGACTTTCCCTCGCTCCCGTCTTCTCTTGGCTTCTATGAACCCAAGCCTACCTCGGTCCTGAAGCAGACCGTCCGTATAGGTGGGCCCGCCGTCGCGAGACTGCAAACGCCCTTCCCCAGTCTCCTCAGGGCCGCATGGGCCTTGACGGTAGCCCAGTATGCTGGCGTCCAAGACGTCGCGTTTGCGGTCAATCTTTCAGGCCGCTCGGCGCCCATAGCAGAGATCACAGAGCTCGTGGCACCCACGCTGACAACGGTCCCCGTACGGATCAACGTACACGGCCGGCAAAGGGTCCAGGACTTTTTGGACTGTGTTCACCGCCAGGGCATAGATATGATTCCATTCGAGCACGTGGGACTTCAGAGGATCAAAAGGCTCGTTCCCAATTTCAACCCGGCGGACCTCCGACACTTGTTCCTCGTACACACGGCAGCCGATGCGGCCCTGGACGAAGCGGCGCTTCGCATGTCCGTCTTTGAGGAGGTGCACATGAAGATGGAAGCGCTCGATAACTACCCCCTCGCCGTCCTGTGCAGATTGGATGAGCGCCAGGGGGCGGCGGAGGTGTCGGCTCGCTTCGATCAGGCCGTCATCCCCGACGTCCAGCTCCAGTCGGTGCTGCGACAGTTCGAGCACAACGTCTCCCAGCTTGCTGTACATGCCACCTCGGAGACGCAGGCGGTGGGAGACCTGGCTCTGATCAACCCATACGATCTGCAAAAGGTCGACGACTGGAATCTCACCGGCGAGTGGCCGTCCCTTGGTTGCGTCCATGACCTGGTCATCAAGACGGTTCGAACCAGCCCTGACGCCCCAGCGGTCAGCGCCAGGGACGGGGAACTCACCTATCAGCAGCTTGATCAAGCAGCCAGATGCCTCGCCCAGCTGCTGCTGGCAGAGGGGTGCGTTGGCACTGAAGTGGCCGTCGGGCTCTGCATGGACAAGTCCCGATGGGCCATGGTGGCCATACTTGCCATTCTTTACGCCGGCGGCGCCGTGGTGCCGCTGGGCGTGCAGCTGCCGCCGCAAAGAATCCGGTTCATCCTGCAAGACGCGTCCCCCGCCATGGTGCTCTGTGACGAGGACAAGGTGGATAGATTCCCGGCCTCGTTGGGGGCCAAACTCGTTACCGTCAACGAAGCAACACTCGCTTGCCTGAGCAAGTCATACGACGACGGCGATCCTGCTGTTCCCTCGAGGTCAGTCAGACCCGAGAACATGGCCTGGATCACGTACACGTCCGGCAGCACAGGGGTTCCCAAGGGCGTGACCCTGGAGCATCGAGGCCTATACAATGTCGTCCTAAGCAAGGGCGCCAACCAGAGCACGGGCCCCACGACACGCGTGTTCCAATTCGCTGCCTTTACCTTTGATGTCTCCATCAGCGACATCCTCATGGCCTGGACATGTGGGGGGACCGTATGCCTGCCTTCGGAGGAGGAGCGGATGAACGACCTTGTCGGGTCCCTGCAGCGACTCAGGGCCAACAGCGCAGCCCTCACGCCCAGCACGGCGGCGCTGATCCCCCCGGCCGAGGTCCCAGAGCTCAAGGTTCTGGCCCTGGGCGGTGAGGCCAGCAGCCCGGGCTTGGTGCAGAAGTGGCTTCTGGATTCGAATGTCACCCTGCTGATCAACGGCTACGGCCCGGCCGAGTGCTCCGTGACCAGCACCCAAAACTTGGGCTTGACAGACGCGAGCGAAGCCTGCGTCATTGGCAGACCCTTGCGCGGCACCCAGGCGTGGGTCGTGGACCCTCACAACTGCCACCGCCTTGTGCCCATCGGCGCCGTAGGGGAGCTTCTTCTCGAGGGCCCTCAGGTCGCGCGTGGCTATCGCAACGACCCGGTCAAGACCTCGGCCGCCTTCATCACGGATCCCGGCTTCACTGCAGACGTGGGCCCCCGCGGTTCAGGACGTCGCATGTATCGCAGTGGCGACCTGGTGCGATACGACGCCGATGGTAAGTTGACGATCCTGGGTAGAAGCGATTCGCAGATCAAGATTCGCGGCCAGCGCGTCGACCTTGGCGAGATTGAGTCGTCCATCCTGAAACTCATGCCCAAGGTCCGAATGGCTGTGGTGGAGTATCTGCCGATTGGTGACCATCAACGCGCACTCGTTGCCGCTCTTGAGTTCTTGGCTCCTGACGACGATGACGGCGACAGCGACAATGACAAGAGCGACATGGCACGTCAATCGGCATGGCTCAGGGATGCTCTGGCTCGGACATTGCCGGCCTACATGGTCCCGAGAGTGTATCTGCCGATGGACACGGTCCCCAAGAACGCCTCTGGAAAGGTCGACCGCAAAGCCGTCCGCCACTTCATGGTGGGCGAGGGCATCCAGCTCGCAGATACACAGTCTCAAAATGCCGCGCGACGTGGCAAGGTCGAGACCGACACTGAGGCCGTCCTCCGTACGCTATGGGCAGCCGTGCTCGGGGTCGAAGCAGAGACGATCGACCGGCACGATGACTTTTTCGGCCTCGGGGGTGACTCCATCAGCGCCATGAAACTCGTTGCTACTGCCAGGACGACGGGGGCTCTTGCTATTCGTGTGCTGGATATCTTTGAGAACCCAGTCTTGCTCAACATGGCCGTGGTCGCGAAAAGTCTCACTACACCATCGGCAATGGAAGCGGCTTTACCGCCCCCTTACCGTCCTTTCCAGCTGCTCGAAGGCGTAGACAAGAATGGAATCGACGCCTTCCTCGACGAGGTCATCTGCCCCGTGACCGGGACCGGAAAGGCATCGATCCAAGACGTCTTCCCGGCCCCTGACGCCGTTGCCTTCAACGCGGTAGGCGCATTGACCGCGGCTCAGGCAGAAGTGAATACCTTTGTCCTCGATACAGACCCCAGCCTCCATCTAGGTCGACTGCAGCAAAGCTGCATGCTACTAGCGCAGCATGTCGAAGCCTTCCGCACTACCTTTGCGTTTGATCTTGGCCGCAACAGAAGGCTTCTCCAGGTTATCTTGAAGTCCTATGAGCACAACGTGCCAGTGGTCAAGGCGGAGGGCTCGCTGGAGCGTGCCACCGAGCGCTTCGTCGAAGAGACCATGTGCCGTCAACCTCTTCGACTCGGCACACCCATGGTGCAAATGGCTATCCTGTGGCAAGAGGGGAGCAAAGCGACCCGCATACTATTACGCATGTCACACGCTATATACGACGGCATGTCTCTTCCCATCATCATGGATACGCTCCGCAAGCTGTACGACCAAGGGGACGCCTATGCGGAGCCGCCCTTGAGCTCCTTCGCCGCCTACGTCGCAGATCTATACCGGCAAACAAGTGACACAAGCTACAGTTACTGGCGCAGCGTACTTGAAGGGTCCACCATGCCTGCGCTTGTTCCAGAGACAGGGTCCGGCCAACTGACCCATATGCGCATGGCCGTCACCAAGGTCAAGGCGATACCACTGCCGACACCAAAGGGTGAGGGAATCACCACCTCCGCCATCATCAGCTGCGCATGGGCGCACGTACTGGCCCGGTTCACCGGGACGAGCGATGTGGTGTTTGGAGATACGATTTCGGGGAGAAACGTGGTCGACCCGTCCATCAGCGGTACCGTTGTCGGCTGCTGCGCAACCAACGTGCCGATGCGGATCAGGTTTGCCAATGGCTCTGGCGCCAAGCACTCGGCCCTCCAACTGCTAAAGCAAGTGCGAGATCAGCAGCGGAGTCGCATTCCCCATGAAGGTGTCGGGCCCCGCTCCATGATTCGACAGTGTACGGACTGGTCTCCAGCGACTCGCTTTACCTCCATCGTCAACCACCGACCAGCCAGGCCAGCGGCCCGATCCGCTAGCGGACAGATCGGTTTCCAAGTGAGCACCATCACTACGGAAAGGAACCCACTCACGACTTGGTACGATCTTGCCGTCCTCTCGCGCGAGAACGATGGCACTGTGGAGATGAGTCTGGGTTACTCGACAATGGCATTCCACCCGGACACGGGTCAGGCGTTGCTAGACGATCTTGTCCACACTGTTCGTATTCTTGTGGAGGCTTTGCCTTCTACCCTTGACCAAACTATCATCCATGGAACGCCGGCGATGCCAAGATCGGCCTCGGATGCAGCCATGTTGCGATCAGTAACGACTCCTCCTACACAGCAGCAGACGAATCCAAGCCAACGGGAAGGCAGACCAAGCAACGCCATGTCCACCAACAAAGCTGACGACACCATTCCCCATGTTCTCGATACAATCTGGTTCGCCACGTTTCCCTCTGAGCGCACAAGCGCGGGAACGATGCCGTCTGAGAAGCCGCCTACTCCAGAAGACATGCGGTACCTGCCGTTCTACCGGCTGGGAGGCGACTTGCTTGATGCCGCCCACTTCATTGCCTCGATACAACGCAGGATCAAGAGCGCCGAGGCGCATGTGAATGGGGACGCCGTTTCACATGCGCCGCAACAAACACAAGTCACGATCGACGACATCATTCAGCACCCTAGCCTTGTGGAATTTGCTAGTGCTTTGCATCAACAGCGACTTGTATTGGTATAATGTACATTTGCTTTCTCATGTAGTTACGGGAGCAGTGTCTGCCCTCGCTCTGTTGCATTACGTACGAGTAGTAGTATGGGTGTACTTTGATGAGTGTGGAACGCACGGGCCAGGGCCCCCCATGCAGAGTCTGCACCTTCAGACCTGCCACACCCTCAGATATCAGATAGATAGGATCATCAATATCATCAACCTTCAGGGAGCCTTTGGAGCAACCTACGTGACTCCCTTTCCCCCGCATCGTTGGTCTATAGCCTCTGGAACGACAATAGCACCATGTTCGACACACCTTTGCTGCTAGACCAGTATCAAGGGCAGGATGCTCAGAGCATACACACATCGTATCCACCATTGGATTCCCTTGTCGTGTTGTTCCGGCATCTGCCCAATGAAGGACCCCATGCGTCCGGGGGATGGCATCGCTGATAAGGTGTTGACCGGTTCTGGGTCGGATTGCATGTATTCCTGGATATTGGCTACAAGGTTTGCGTAAGGGCACGAGGCGCACAGCACGGGTGATATAGGAGTCCATTGAAATCTGGAGAGTGGACGCTGCAGTCAAGATGAAGACGCCTGCGAGCTGTTCTCTTGTTCCAACGATGATGACGTATGGATCGTGACGAGAGTGGAACACTCTAGAGCTACGACGCTGCTCCGGCGAGCAACCCTATAGAACACAAGTGTTAGCCATCTCTCTTGTACAGCGGCAGGGTCCGTGCGTGTCTTACCTATGGAAGTAAACACAGCCCAAATCACGCTCGTCTCCACCAGTTTGGGCGGACAAAACCTGGCAAAGGTTCGTTAGCTGTCTTGGTCACTGCACAAAGCGCAAGCCACACGAGGGAAGACTCACAACACTCCCGACATTTCCAAGAATCGAGACCAGTACGACCACACGATCAAGCATATAAATGCCAAGAAGACACATCCTATCACAGAGCTCACAGCTCTCTTGATATTGATGCTCTTCGGATCTTTGCTCTTCATGACCACGATGCTTGCCTCCCCACGTTTGTTCACCCTGGCACCCCAGTGTCTGCCCTCGCCATACTGACGTCCTTGCGCACGAAACGCCGATTCTCCGTAATGGGCCTGTACGGGAAAGGCCTCGCCGTAGCGCATGAAAATCGGGATGAAGACAACGACACACAAAAGCATGACGGCCGGCGTGCAGGACACATAGCTGACATTGTCATGCATGAAACTGCCGGTTTCGCTGCGGCCGGGCAAGCGGTTCCAGGTAACGCCCGCGAAGATAGCGCCCACGGTGAGAAGGAGAAGCTCGGAGATGGCGGTGGTGATCCAGGCATCGGCGTACGGAAACTCGAGGCGATTGTCACGCGAACGTCGAATGATTTTCGTCTTGTCCCATTCACTAGAGCGACGGATCGTCACGAGAGCACGCAGTAATGCTAGAGGGATGTAGTAGTATCGCGGACGCGTGAGGTACACGGTGAAGATGTGCGCCTTGTCTAGGTGCTCGTACCCTGGGGTGTTGCCCACCACGCCAGCAATGGCGGCATTGGCGATCAGCTGGCAAACAAAGGGAATGAGCCAGGTGAGCCAGACCGAGCACCTACGCCGCCCAAGCCGCCGACGGGAGACGTGGTAGATGAAGGACCGATGGGCGAAGATGATTGCTAGGCAGACGATGACGGCGTCCGTGATGGCAAACCAGGCGAGCACTCTGGACCGGTCTGGGCACGTTTGATCGATATCGTGGGGGGAGACGATCCACTCCAGCGGGATGGGCGGCAGGTCCTGGGTCGGCGTGTCGCCGTACGAGATGCCCGTGTTGATGCCGAGGTATGGTGCTATGGACGGGGCTTTTGCTGATGCCAAGTCGCCCGCTGCGAACGAGCTGGCAGGGAGCTGGTTCTCGCCAGGGCGAGAAAAGAGCACTCCCATGATTGCGGAAAATGAGAAAGGACGGTAACGAGGCCTGGGCGAAGCAACCCCGAGGTAGCAAAGAGAAGAGCTCGAGTGCGGCACGGCAGCTTGACCTGTCTGTCACTGGTTTATGATCCGGTCTCAGGATTTACTAATGCGCGGAGAAGTTGCTTGGTCTACGGAGTACTGCACATGTCTGTGCTTCCCGGCATCCACTCTTGTGCAGGGAGGGTGAATCCTCCGTGCTGTTCCAAGGCTTGGTTGGCCAGAACTGCGCGCCCCACCGCTGATCCTCGCGCGCTTATTAGAGCGGGGGCGTGGCACGGGTACGTAGTGGTGGCACGGCAAGCATTTGACGGCCCCTGTATGTTAATGGAGGTATGATGATCCACAAAAGGCATCCATGTGGATACCGCCACGTACTTACATGTAAGTACAGGTTCTGTCACTCGGGACCCATATCACCCTGGGTACATGAATGCGCGGCCAACTTTGCACCGGACAAGGGGTAAGAATGGAGCTTGACCCTCTTTCCTCATCCCCAGTCTTACGTGCCTCCAGTGGCTTGCGACTTGAAGAAGACAGCCAAGGTGCCGTCTATCGCAATCTCTCTTAACTCTTTCCTCACTTCTCCATGAGCGGGACACTCGCTCTCGTAACATCCATGTCGTCCATGCTAGCAAACTCGGTCTTGTTGACAAAGGTGTAGCCCTCGAAGCGAGGACCTTCCTCCGCAGGCCCAGCGACCATAGTGAGGATGTAAGGCTTACCGTTCTAGTCCACCTGTGAGTAAGGGACGGACGGACCTTGGAAGCAAACGCGCAGGACAGGGAGTCGTGAAAAACAAACATGATGACATGTACGATGGGCGGGAAAAGGGGGGAGAGGGGGGGCATCATACTCTCTGGTTATCAGCAGCCATCTACACACGCTATGCGTGATGAATTCCAGAGAAGCCGCAGTCTAGGTCAACCGCCAAGTGTTTCGAGAATCGCCCTCACGACGGGCAAATGGCTGGTTGAGGGTGGACGTGACCAGAGTCCACTGGCCTCGTCCGGAACTCGGACGCTTGACGACATCGGCAGCCGACCACACCGACCCCAACTCTCTCCCTTCGGAGATTGGTCGCTGTGCGTAGCTGAGAAGGTCGACGACGTCCACGTCGAGTGAGACCATGCGGGCCCTCCCGTCCGGACCCCACGACATTATTAGTCGGCCACTGCGATGCTCTGAGAGGAAGCCATGACAACCTCTGCGCTAGGCTGTTGATCGGCCTGGTGCATTGAATTGCAGCTGCCAGGACCAGCATTGAATTCTACGTCAGAAGAGAAGAAGGGGGACGGACCATCGGCCGCTCCCCCTTATAACTCGTCTCCCAATACGATACTCCTGCGAGAGCCTTTCCTTGGCTTTTGGTTGTGTTCTTTGAGATTAGCATGATAGCTCCTTACAGACGAATAATGGATTGAGACAAAGAGGAAGTATTGGTGGAGGAGCCCAGGAGGTCCATCCTAGTTTGCCAAATTTCGACTGCTACTCTTCACCACAGCAGTCAACTCCTTGGCTGTATCGGTACTTTGTTCCACCTAACATCAGCAATCCAGTCCGCCCCAGAAAAAAGGCCTCTCGCACGCAACATCGCCAAGCTTTTGGCCTACGTCTTGTTAGTCTTCAGGCAAGCATTTGTTGTCGTTCGGCTGGAATTGGACCAACTCGTCGCGATCTATTTCGGGCTTTGAGTTAGTGACATGTCCAATCTCTGCCGGGGAACCAAGGCTAACTCTATATCGATTTTTCAACCAAGGACTTCTTGCTCGTTAGGGCTGTATCCGGGCAAAGGAATATCAGATTTTCCTATTACATAAAGAGGCGGTCCCGTAATCCTTTCCTAGCACCTTTTTCAACAAGGAGGTTTGCTACAGCCTTATGCCCCTTTTTCACAGCGCTTCGTAGCGGTGTAGAGCCATATTCGTCCTTTGCCTCGAGATCAGCGCCTTTCTCGATCAGCAGTCTTGCCACGGCCTCGTGCCCTTGCCTTGCAGCGCGTAATAGCGGTGTGTCGCCGGATCTATCCTTTACCTCGAGATCGGCGCCTTTCTCGATCAGCAGTCTCGCCACGGCCTCGTGCCCACGATCCGCAGCTAACAAGAGCGGCGTGTTACTCCTATCGTTCTTTGCCTCAAGATCAGCGCCTTTCTCGATCAGCAGTCTTGCCACGGCATCGTGCCCACGAACCGCAGCTACCAAGAGCGGCGTGTTACCCCTATCGTTCTTTGCCTCAAGATCAGCGCCTTTCTCAATCAGCAGCCTTACCGTGGCATCATGCCCACGAAACGCAGCTACCATGAGCGGCGTGAAGCCCCTATAGTCCTTTGCCTCCAGATCGGCGCCGTTCTCAATCAGCAGTCTTGCCACGGCCTCATGCTTTTCATATACAGCGGATGAGAGCGGCGTGGTGCCCTTGTTGTCCTTTGCCTCAAGATCGGCGCCTCTCTCGATCAGCAGTCTTGCCACGGCCTCGTGCCCACTAAACGCAGCGTACATGAGCGGCGTCAAGTCTTCTAGGTTCTTTGCCTCGAGATCAGCGCCTTTCTCGATCAGCAGCCTTGCCACGGCCTCGTGCCCATTAACCGCAGCGTACATGAGCGGCGTCAAGTCTTCTAGGTTCTTTGCCTCGAGATCAGCGCCTTTGTCGATCAGCAGCCTCGCCACGGCCTCGTGCCCTCGATATGCAGCCCATACGAGTGGTGTCAAGTCTTCTAGGTTCTTTGCCTCGAGATCAGCGCCTTTCGAGATCAGCAGCCTTGCCACGGCCTCGTGCCCATTAACCGCAGCGTACATGAGCGGCGTGTTACCACAGCCGTTCTTTACCTCAAGATTGGCGCCTGTCTCGATCAGAAGTCTCGCCACGGCCTCGTGCCCTTGCCATGCAGCGCGTAATAGCGGTGTAACGCCATTTTCGCCCTTTGCCTCGAGATCAGCGCCTTTCTCGATCAGCAGCCTCGCCACGGCCTCATCCCCTTGATATGCAGCGCGCAAAAGTGGTGTATTGCCGTATTTATCTTTTGACTCTAGATAGGCGCCCTTCTTGAAAAAAAGCGCTGCAGCGACCTCTTGGCTGTACGCGGCGGCCTCTAACGGGGTTGAAAACCCCCCTGGAATTAACAGCGTAGAACATTGGGCTTTGGGGCCTGGTTGGAAGTCGTTCCAAACCTTGGCGACTCGTGAGATCTCTGATGTCGTTCCTTCTACTCCGGTGATTGAACCTCTTTGGAAAGCCGTCTGAGGGCCATTGATTTGGGAGATCTCCGTTGTCATTCCTCTCTCCTCGTCAAGCGAGCTTCTTCGGGAGTGCGGGGATGACTTTGAGGATCTACATGGTTAGCAATCAGAGACGCATATCCTGCACATCTCGCTGAACTTACTCGCTGCAAGTGTCTGGGATCATCGGATCTCCAGTCATCAATGGTTGAAGCCATGCATGACGGATAGATGCGCCAGAGTTGGGACGCTCATGGGGCTCCGGCGTCATCAAGGCCCGAACAAAAGCCAGCGCTTCGTGGCTGACATGAGCATCCACTAAAGCCTTCCGAGGGAAGTCTTCTTCTGGCTTGTCCCTGCAATGATATGGACTAGACCTCGTCAACACAAAGAAGGTCATGGCACCTAACGACCATATATCAGCTGCCTTGTAATTCATGTTCGCATAACCGTCCCGGCCAAAGAGCTCAGGAGCCATATAGCTGGCAGTGCCGGCTCCTGGGTGAGTAATGGTTTCGTCGAGCTTCTTGCTGATGCCGAAATCGGCAAGTTTAACCCACCACGGACCAGGTGCTGCGGACGTAGGGCATCGTTGAATCAGGACATTCTTAGAGGGCCGGAGTCAGAATCCCTTATTACTCGCCGCTGGTCATTTCTCTGTTGGATGTCTGTGTACATACCTGGGGTTTGATGTCGCGGTGGGCGTAATCCTCCTCATGCATTACAGCGAGTCCCTGGAGAACTTGGATAGTGATGTGACGTGCATCTTCTTCAGGAATTAGGGCGTTTTGAAGATATGACTGCAAATCTCCCGCGGGCAGATACTCCATCGCGATGTACATATTAATCTTTGACTCATACCATCCTAGCGTCTTCACGAAGTGGTTGGAGTACTACCCATCAGAGTCAGTATATCACTCATTAGAGTACTTTGATACCATGCAGTGACACTCAATTAGATAGATAGTCAAGAAACTTGCCTTGTCGCGAGAGAATTTGATAATAGCCGGGAGTTCGCCAATATACCGTCGTCTCTCATCCTCGTGGAGCGGGATTTGTTTGACTGCCCGCAGGGTGTCGCGGCGACGTCCCTCGATACACATTTGCAAGAAAACCTGGCCGTTGCCGCCTCTGCCTAGTCGCCTGATGCGCTTCCATTTCTCGGTCACTTTTGGGGCCGGTGGAGGTGCATCGTGATCGTTCAGGACATGAACAGTCACGCCACTCTCAATAAACTTTGTGTCCAATCTAAAGTCTCGCACATGATCTGGCAGATTAGAGTAGTTCATTGCGCGGCTGGACCGCGGAGCGGAGGTGTGGGATTGAGGCGTGATGATTGACGGAAGAAGCGTGAAGAGCGTCAGTCAGCGACCCGTAGTCAAATGCCCGTCGATAGATGAACAGTATTGATGTGCTGAGATTTGACAGTCATCGACTTGCGGCGGCCTATGGACATAGATCCGAATCGACTGTGATGCGCCAAAATGGGAGTCGCACGCAGCCTGGACCTGCGCAGTGCGCGAGGAGTCTGTTTGTGGTGGCAGTGCTGCCACCATTCATCTGCTCCCCTGCCCTCCCTTCTTAGGCCCAAACGCGTCCTTCATGATTGGCGGCTGGCCACATGCACGTTGGTTGGCTGACCGCTGACACGCCAGCAAGTGCAGATGGTGCACAAGAGCTCAGCTCTCCTCTACACTTACCTCTGAAGCCGTTGCGGTGTGCACTTGGAGTGTCCGTTTCGTTACGTGCGCCTTGGTCGACGCGATTTGACCGATATCATTCCTCCATCCATGATCCGACCCGAGAGAGACGCCTGTTTCTGGATGCCAGGTCAAAATGGCGGAAGTGTTTTTTGGAGTCACCGGCCTCGTGGGCACCATCGACGTTTGTATCAAGTATGTAGCGCCAACCCCCTCGGGCGATGATTTCTGGGATTGACATGGGAATCTCAGATGGGGACGCGCTCTTGCTCAGGCTTGCGATGATTACCGTCAAGCCGAGGCCAACTTGGAAGAGACTCTTGTTCGGATCCAGAACTGCTGGCTGCGCGCTCTGGCCAAGCTAGAAGTGGCCAAGAAACTGGAGGGGACCATCTCTGACGAGCAGAGGGACGTCCAGCAGCGAGTCTTTACCATCCTCGGCACCAAGCTGGAGAACGTCACCCTGATTCTCTCAAAGTGCGTTCAGCGCCCAGCCTTGAACTTGGCAACGAGGTTTCAGCTTGTGCGTCGAAAAGACGCCCTCGAAGGTGCCTTGGATGACCTGGAGTCTTGGGAAAGGCAATACCAACCCTCCTGGTTCGCCTTTCTCAAACATGCCGACCCCAGTGTTGATACGGCACTGGAAAAGATTATCCAGAGCGCACCTGCGGTTACCGCCGAGTCGAGCTCTGTCTCTGTCCAGTTCCGTCGGGCTTTGAAGGAGTCTTCCGACGCGTCTAGAATTGTCTTTATCCGTGAAGAGGCATTCCAAGGCTTCACCCGAGAGATTATCATGTATAGCAAAGCCCAGGTGGCTACTCGCGCACCAGACGACAGGCAGTTCATCGTCGACACGGTCACGGGCGGAGCAGTCACCCAGAAGGACGCCCGTGACTTTGCGCGCCGTCTTCGGCATTCAGACCCATTGACTTTTGGGTTGCTCGAATGCAAGGGTGTTGTGCGGTACCCCGAGACGATGGATTTTCTCTTCCGTATCCCAGATGGATACACCGACATCCACAGCCTCCGACACCTGCTGCTCTCCGGCCAGGCACACGACTCGCTCTCCGACCGTCTCGATATGGCACAGAAGCTTGCGAGAGCTGTCCACTCCGTCCACTTGTATGGGTTTGTCCACAAGAGCATCTGTCCGGAGACCATCCTGGGATTCAGGAAGCCGGAGTCCCAGGCCCTCCCGAGCATGGTATCTCTCGTTGGATTCCAGGTTATTCGCAATGCGGACGGAAATACGCACCGGGTGACGGACATGAGGTGGGAGTACAATCTATACCGCCATCCACGGCGACAGGGACAGAGCGTTCAATACTATATTATGCAGCATGACATCTACAGCCTTGGGGTCTGTCTTCTCGAGGTTGGTCTTTGGGAGTCGTTGGTCGCGTATGACAGCAATCAGGTGGCCCATCCGTCCATGGCTCTCGGTCTAGATGGAAACGGGCATCTGAGGAGCCCCGACGCGCTCAAGGATCATCTGGTTTCTCTCAGCCGTAGTACCGTATTAAGAACAAGGGTGGGCACCAAGTACAGCGAGGTGGTTGAGACCTGCCTGACTTGTCTGGACCAGGGCAACCTTAACTTTGGGGATGAGAGCGAATTTCAGGACGAGGATGGGGTGGTAGTAGGCGAAAGATATATTGAAAAGGTGCTCGGCATTCTGAACGATATTTCTTTGTAGTGCGGGTTGAGGGGGCCGTTACTTTTCTTAGAGCTGGGCAGCGCTGCCCTTCCATCAAAGAATTTGATCAAATTAGAGCAATCAAACAATCAAACGCCTAGGGTCATGGAATTCAAATACACAAATAGCCCCCGGAGCTTTACTTAGTATAGTTATTTGACAATCAAATGAAGTCTCATGGCTAGTACCCTGCTCTAGGGTAGCCTGGCTGCGCCAGCTTCGTGAACTTGATTATTAAGCAAACAAAATTGCTGAAACTTTGGCGCGTAGGGCTACCTACGCGAACGCGTCAAGCTATCCGCACGCGCCTCACCCTACTGGCAACCTTCCAATTCAGTGCATAGCGCCAACGATCAATCTTTTCTTTCTTTAACTAATCGCTAAGCTTGTTTCTCTGGTTACTATTGAGGGGCTTGGCGAAGTCGTCGTTGCGACTTGGCGAGGCCGTCGCTTCCTCCAAGAGTCCACGATATCATCCAAGAACGTCCGAGGTCGCACTAGTTGGATCCGCAAAGAGGGCATCTTTGTCAGAGCTATTACCCCCGAAGAATGCGATAGATACGCTGCCGTCCGCTCATTCGATGATGGCTCTGGAGCAACCTCCTCAAGGCGAGGGCTAGTTTTTTCTCGCCGAGGAATCCGCTATTTCATTATCTTTATCCTACGACAAAACTTTCCATGCTCGTGATTGCCAAGCCAATACATGTACATTTAGAAACCACAATTGCTTACTCTGTCCCAAGGTCTCGCCTCCATATCTTGATCGGCATCTCCCCCAGAATCCAGTTCATAGTCTCCCTGCGCTGCATCTCGAATCCCTCGGCCAGGGCGAACCCATATCGGTGGACCATGGACGCTACAAAGACAGTCTGTTCCAGATACGAGATGTTGCGACCAATGCAGCCCCTCGCGCCTGCCGAGAAGGAGATGAAGTAGGACTGCAGCTTCTTGCCATCTTCGCCCAGCCATCGCTCCGGTTGGAAATGGTCGGCGTCCTTGAAAGCGGCGCTGCGATGGGCGACGAGGGCCGAGACGGCGACTGTGGTGTTGCCGGGAATCCACTCGCCCATGACATGCATGCCCTCCGGCGGCGTCTTGCGTGTCAAGCCATGGGGCGTCGGCGGATGGAGTCGAAGGGACTCGTCAAGGCACGCCCTCAGATAGGGCAGATGCTTAACCTTGTCGTACGGTGCAACGACTTCGTCCGGGTCGAGCACAGCGTCGACCTCGTCCCTGAGCCGCTGCAAGACGTCGGGGTGGCAGATGAGCTGGTGCAGGACGTTGGCGAGGGCAATGGCGGTGGTGACGCTACCGGCATTCATCATGATGTTGATCTCGGCCACAATCTCACCCCACTCCATGCTGTTTGGCTCGCCGTTCTTGTTCTCCATGAGGGCCTGGAAGAAGTCGTCCAGCTTCTCGCCGGCTCGGTAGCGCTCCAGGCGCAGGGCGGCCCGCTGCACGACAATGGCATCCCAGTGCTTGCCCTTGCTCGAGAGGCGGCGGTAGTAGGGCACGAGGTCGGAGACCTTGTCGATGATCTTGTACCAGTCATAGGTCCAGGAGAGAAGGGATTGCTTGGTGGCCACGGGATACAGACTCTCGCGCAGGCTGCACTCGTACACGGTGCCATCCATGCGACGCGCATCGACGCGGTCGTGGCCGCGATCCAGCAGGCCCAGCCGCTCCGAGAGCCCAATGTCGGCGATGGCATCGAGGGAGAAGAAGTTTGTCCAGGCACGACAGTCGACTGTCAAGTCCCCCGGATCCGCGAATACTTGCCCTTTGGCCAAGGGCCGGGTGCAGACACTGTCAAAGTGCGCAAAGGTACGCTCTACCTTGTCCGAGACCTTATGTTCCCAGCCTTCCAGGTTCTTCAGGGCGTATGCGGATGAAAGGATCTTCCTCTTGCGCTGGTGGTCGTGCTTGTCCGTCACGTCTGCCAGGTGGTAGTGGGTGCCAGCGAGCAAGTTGTACTGGTCGTCTTTGGTGCATGGCGATCCGTGGCCGTAAATGTCCTTGATCGCCCGGACATCGCCGAAAGAAAGTGTGTTGGTGCCGGTCCGCAGGATTGGATGAGTCTTGTGGAGTTGCGTGAGATGGCTTGACCGGGCGCCGCCATGCGCGAGGACCATGAAGGGGATATTGGACGCCCCGGAGAGCGGTGCAAAGTTGTGAAACCTGCGAAGGCCTAGGGTGTATCAACTTAGCTCTCGTTCGCGCTGGCTTTTGGAAAGGCAGTGAACCTCGCGGCTTACCTTTGGCATCTCGGAAGTAGACAATCAGGGGCCACACAAAAAAGTAGCCGATGAGCAAGACCGCCGTCAAAGCTGCATATGGAATAGATGGCTGAACTGAGGACTGGATGGAAGGCATGATCTATGGTATGGAGTGTACAGGGCTGCCGTGTGGGATTTGTTGGGAGAAATGCGCCTTCAAGATTGCAAGATGGCTGGCAGAGACATTTCCTACACCTTGAAGAGGGCATCCTCGGGTACAAGGGCACAGTAAATAGCATGATGCAGCCATCGCCAGTTGCTCGCCTGAGCACGACACGGCGTCGGCGGATGAGCTTGGGACCAGTTGGAGCCCATGGGGAAGCTTTGCCCGGGTCATCCATGAAACAAGGTATGGAGTGTGAGCTCCCATCTGAAGAAGAATGGCCTCCTACACTCCCCCCCTCCCCCCACATCATGCGGTGGGCACTACCCTTTAGTGTGGGGTTGTCTCCTCATCCTGGCCCCTGAGCGAGGAGGGGATATCATCCCCGCGGGGAACATTTCCAGGATCAGCGCAGATGGAAATTGTTCCCGACGCCAGTGCGCCAGCCAGCCAGCCCATCAGAAGTCGTGGACCAACCGAAACTAGGATTCAAGCTGCGGCCCTGGCTGAGCAGCGGTGATGCACGAGGCAAGTGCCGACGCGGTCGAAGAGACGTGCACGTAGCGGAGCTGCTGGGAGACTGCTGCGCAGGCCAGGTAAAAGTATTAGACCCGCCGTTCCTTTCAGTATGCTGTACTCCTGGCAGCTCTGGCCTCTTCCTTGTTTTCTGGCTCTCCTTTTGCTGTATCCGAATCGCCTTGTACTCGACTCTATTAGACTACTGCCCTCGAGATGGCTGTTCGCAAGCTCAAAGTCGGATGCGCCGGCCTCGGCCGCATGGGTGCCCGCCACGCGCTCAATTTCCTGAACCGGACGCCTCGCGCTGAACTGGTCGCCGCGTTCACGCCCGATGCCAACGAGGTGGCGTGGGCGCGGCGAGAGCTGGAGCCGTCCGGCGTCGTCATCTATACCGACTACGAGGAGATGCTGAAGCACCCGGGTCTGGAAGCCGTGGTCGTTGCGACTGTGACCACGGCGCACGCCGAGGAGGCCATCAAGGCGATCCACGCGGACAAGCACGTCTTGTGTGAGAAGCCGCTCAGCACGAGCGTGGAAGTGGTATGTGGGGTGGCTGGCATGGCTCGTGTCCAGCGCTGACCTCTCGTCCTAGTCACAATCCGTGGTGGAAGCCGCTGCCAAGAGACCCCATCTCAAGGTCATGTGCGGCTTCTCGCGCCGCTTCGACAAGTCGTACCGCGAGGCGTACGAGCGCATGGATGCCGGCGGCATCGGGCGGCCGTCCGTCTTCCGCTCGCAGACGTGCGATCGACTCGACCCCTCGGGCTTCTTCGTCGCCTATGCCGAGTTCAGCGGCGGCATCTTTGTGGACTGCAACATCCACGACATTGATCTGTCGCTGTGGTTCCTGGGTCAGGACTCGGTGGTCAAGAGCGTCGTGGCCATGGGCATCTGCGCGGTGCAGCCTGAGCTACGGAAGCACAAGGATGTGGACAATGGAGTGGGCGTCGTCGAGTTCTGGAACGGCAAGATGGCTTACTTTTACTCCTCGCGCATGATGGCGGCCGGTCAGCACGACATGACCGAGATCATCGGCACCGAGGGCAAGCTGGCCGTCAACGCGAACCCCATGGGATCGCTGGTCGAGATGTACGAGTCGACGGGCGTCCGACGTGAGATTCCGCACGACTACTATGGGAGGTTTATGGATGCGTTTGTGACCGAGGCGAACGAGTTCACAGCTGCCTGTCTCGATAACTCGAGGCTGCCCTTTAAACTCTCTGGCGCTGTCCAGGCGGTGGCCATTGGCTGCGCCCTGCAGGAGAGCTTGAACTCGGGCAAGAAGATCCACTTTGACGAGACAGGGCGTCGTATTGAGCAGCCCAAGCTGTGACAGCCGTGTGGACGGTCGAGTGTCTAGAAGCCCCTAGCTAGTACAGACAGTCCTTGAGACGTCTCCATCATAATACCACGCTCGTTCACCCATCTTGGTCCGTTTCAAGTTATGCGTGATCCGGTAGAAAATGAAGAAGACCATCCTGTGGAAGCTCATGACTGGCTTAGTGAGATCCAGAAGCATACGCACTACCACTACCACTTGAGCATGTCCTACTGGAAATGCCGGAGACGGCATGACTGGCAATGGAATGCACAGGTAGGCAGCTCGGACGCAAGTCACTCGCCTAGATGCTTCAAGAGTTCACGACTGGAGTCCACATCTGCGGCTTGTCCTTGGACAAGTCCCTGCCGCATCTTTCCCCGCGCTGACCCTTGATTCTACGGTAGTATCTGGCCCCGAGGGGTGATGAACTCTGGGGTACGTTGCCCATTCGGCAATGCCTCTCGGGGCACATTGCCGAATGGGCAACATGTCTCCAAATTTGCCACGCCGTTGGTACGTGTATGCAGTCCCGCAGCCCGCTCCAGGCAAGTACCGGCAAGTCTTCCCGCGGCTGGTTCACCTGGTTGTTAATCGGGATCGAACTGCATTCAGCAAAGACGCGCGAGGAACATCCTTGCCTTTCCTGGACGCCTGCCGTGAGGGCCGATTCGAGAGCCTTGTAGACAGACGATGCTTGCTGTATATGTGCCACGAGACAACCGCCGTCTTCACGTTCACAACCTGGAAGATGCGGTACAGAGATCCACCGTCTGGTAGCAACAATGGAGGCATTTCTAAGGTCTTCTCCCAAGCTCGCCGAGGTGGCCGGCACTTTGGCTCCTCGAACCACCGCTGATGCGGCAACCGTGACGACGGTCGCCCTGGTGGCCGCAGCCTTCCTACTGCGAGAGTACACCTGGGATCGGCCTGATCAGTACCGCCATCTTTGGTACGAACGACCTCAGGACGATGGAGGGCTCGGTCCGGCCAAGCAGCGAGCAACTCGCAACATTGCGCGGAGGCTGGAAGAACTGGTACGTCCCAACTCCCAAGACGCTCGCATCGGGTCCACGGCATGACTGACAATGTTGCTCGGCTCAGAATAAAGATGCAGTCGTCTTTTGGGGATCGCAGTCCGGCACTGCGGAGAGTCTTGGCGCCAGACTCGGTCGCGAACTCCAGCAACGCTTCCATCTTGACACTCTTGTTGCCGATCTGTCCGACTTTGACCCTGCGTCCATTGCCGAGATCCCTCGACACAAGGTCGCCGTTTTTGTCCTGTCTACGTATGGTGACGGCGATCCCAGCGACAATGCCGCCGAATTCTTCGACTGGTTCCGACGTCAGGCCATGGACAAGGCGAACAGCCATGCACGTCCATTGGGGTCGCTCCGGTACGCTGCCTTTGGCTTGGGCAACAGCCACTATCAGCACTACAACCGCATCGTCGACGTTGTCACGGAGGCGCTCCAACAGTTGGGCGCGGAAAGACTACTAGACACGGGCAAAGCCGACGATGCACTCGGGACCACGGAGGAGGACTATGTGTCCTGGAAGGAGGTGCTCTTCTCCCGCCTTTGCCAGGATCTCCATCTCCAGGAGCATCCGGTCACGTACGAGCCCGTCCTCTCCGTGATCCCGGACAGCTCGCTCGAGCCTATCGACCTCTACATTGACGAGCCAGTCCACTCGTCGGACTCGCGCTCCAGCACGAACAAGAACACACCCAACACGCCCATCCACTACCTCCCCATCCGAAGCGCTCGCCAGCTCTGCTCTTCGAGTGTATCTTCGCCGTCAGAGGCCCAAAGCGGCTGCCTCCACATGGACATTGACCTCGCCGACCATCCGCAGCTTCGGTACAAGACGGGTGACCATCTTGCCATCTGGCCCACGAACCCAGCGCAAGAGGTGAAGCGCCTCTTGGACATGTTGGATTTGTCGGAACAGGGCAAGAGGGACCAGCCTCTACTGATCAAGAGCTTGGATCCGACGGTCAAGGTCAAGGTGCCCACGCCCACAACAATCGATGCCCTGCTTCGGCATCACTTGGAGATATGCGCTCCAGTCCCGAGAGATACGATCCGCCGTCTGGCCGAGTTTGCGCCCACGACACGGGCACGCGACTTTTTGCTCGACGTGGGCCGGAGGAAGGATGCATACCTGGCCTTTACATCCGTCACGCACGTCACACTCGGCAGGCTGCTCGAGCATGCGCTGACCATGGGCGCAGATGCCGCCGCGCATGGCGAGCCAGCCGCTGCATGGACGCGTTTGCCGTTGTCGTTTGTGCTGGAGGCTCTGCCTCGACTGCAGCCCCGGTACTACTCCATCTCGTCGTCGAGCATCGTGTCCCCAAGAATGCCCTCTCTCACCGTCGGCATCTCCAGCACCCGGTTGATGACCGAGACGCAGACACCTGTGGAGATACCAGGTCTTGCGACGGGTTTCTTGCGTGACAAGGCCACGTTGCTGGAGCAGGGCCCTGTATCTGTGTTCGCACACGTGCGGCAGTCCAAGTTCAAACTGCCAGCGCTCGCATCCACGCCGCTCGTCATGGTGGCCGCGGGCACGGGGCTCGCTCCCTTCCGCGCCTTCATCCAGGAGCGTCTTCGGCTACACAATATCGATAACGGGGGGAATAGCAAGCCAGTTGGGCGGATGATGCTCTTCTTTGGGTGCCAGTCGCCTGAAAGGGATTACCTCTATGGGGACGAGATGCTGGAGATGCAGCGCCAACTGGGGGACAAGCTCAGCATCGTCACTGCGTTTTCACGAGCCGGGGACCCTGCAGCCGACGACGGTGACGACAAGGTCTCGCTCCCGCGCGGAAAGACGTACGTGCAGCACCGAATCGCGGAGCATGCCGATGCGGTGGCGGAGATGTTGTCTGACGGCGCAAGTCTCTACATTTGCGGTCGTGCCAGCATGGCGCGCGAGGTTGGCAAGGCGGTGACCAGCGCTGTTGCTTCGTCGAAGCGGTGGGATGCACAAGAGCCGAGGGCGTGGTTGCAGGGGCTCAAGCGCAGCCGCAAGTGGCAGGAAGATGTCTGGGGTTAGTTAGTCTGGAGGCTCGAGGGCGAGAGAATACAGATGATGTTTCGGTTTCTTTCGGCTGAGAGAACCTGATCGGCGGAGTATCTGTGAAGGGCTCTTCTGGATTGAAGCACCTAGTCTAGACGTGTCGCCTTCTATGAGCCACCAAAGGCGTCGCAAAATATCTAGTATATCGAGTAGTGGTACAATGATAGCTCTCTCTCTCTGCAACTAGCCATACCAAAAGCACCTCATGTGTAGTAGATACAAGTTCCTCACAGGAGCGCGTGTCTTGAACACGTCAACATTCACTTTCTTCAAGCGTCCATCTACCACAAGAGGACGAGTACACTCTTGAGGCCCTATCTGTCGATGAACCTCCCGACCGTTTCCAGTTACTCCATAACAGGCTCACAAAAAGACTTGGGAGAAACCGGGCGAAATTGCCAATCCATCGACTTAACAATCCATACATGCATGTATCTACTATAACGCGTCAAGACTGGACGCAAGAGCACAACTATCCGAGATACATGAGGCCCAGTCCATTGCCCACGCGGCAATCCATCACTCCTCGGATCAAGACCTACTACTCAGGCGGCACCAGCCGCGGCGTCTGCCTGACGTTTCAGCTTGAGGTCCTTCTGAATCTCCCTGGCCTTGCGCACACCAAATCCGTGTTGGAAGATCTGCCGAATGTCCTCCAACGTCATGCCCTTGACCTCGGGGTAGCAGAAGTAGATGCACACGGAGCCCAGCGAGCAGATGGCGGCGTAGAACCCGAAGGCACCCGACGGGGTCGTGTTCTCCATCTGGGTCAAGAAGGTCGAGGCCACGATGACGTTGGAGGCCCAGCAGGTCATTGTGAGCATCATGGTGCCCATGGCGCGCACTTCCATGGGGAAGAACTCGCTGCTGAGCCATGCGGTGTTGCCGATGCCCGAGGAGTAGAAGGCGACGTAGAAGACCATGCTGACGAGGACCATGATGGCCGGGGCGCCAATGTGGGCGCCCTTGGCAAGCGTGAGGTCGTGCTGGACGGGGATCCAGATGAAGCAGATGGCGGCCACGAGGAGCCACAGGCCCATGAATGGGACGGTGCTCAGGAGGATCCTGCGGCGGCCGGCGCGGTCCACGAGCATGAGGTTGACCCAGGTGAAAAGGAAGTTGGTGCCCGCAATGACAGTGCCGACGGCCACGGGGTTGGAGAAGCCGACGAGGGAGAAGAGGACGGGCGAGTAGTACATGAGCGCGTTGAAGCCGCCCAGCTGGGAGATGGCCATGAGCCCGCAGGCCGCCACCAGGGCGCGGAAGTTTTCGGGGACGACGTAGAGCTGCTTGAACACCCACCAGCGAGACTTGCCAGCGTTGAGGCTCATGGCCATCTCAATGTGGCCGGTGATGTGCGCGACCTTTTGGGCGACTTGCTCGTCCGTGCCGTTGGGGAAGATTCTTCGAATCACAGAAGCCGCCTCGTCAGGCTTGCCGTGATGGATGAGCTGACGAGGGGATTCGGGACAGAAGGGGAGAAGTGCGGCGAGGAGAAACGCGGGCTACGGATGCAGAAGAGTCAGTCAGTCAGTACAGTACGGCGGCGTGCATCTTGGCGCATGGGGACATGAGTACAACATACCAACGCTCCGCCTCCAACCATATACCGCCATCCGCCTGGAACGTATGTGAAGCCGGCTCCGACGCCGTAGGAGACAAGTTGGCCGCCTGTAGTCTACGGTCAGCCCATGGTCGGTTGCTGCGAGAGGGCGAGAGGGCGAGAGGGGCATACCTGTAATGCACATGTTGTTGAGGCCAATCATGCGTCCACGCATCCTTGCGGGAGAGATCTCGGCAATGTATCTATCAAGGGTGTCGTTAGCCACGCGAGTCGAGAGGACAGCGGCAGACGCAGCGACATACAGGGGGATGATCATGGCCGCGGAACCGACGCCAAAGCCAATGACGAGGCGTCCGACGGTCATCTGGGCCACCGAGTGTGAGGCTGCCTGGATGATGGCGCCTGCGGCGAAGAGGAAGCATCCCACGTAGATGGCGGGCTTGCGTCCGTAGCGGTCGGCGGTGAGGCCCGCCATGATGGCGCCGAAGAAGGCCCCCCCGGACGTGATGGAGGTGATGAGCTCCCTCTCGGACGAGCTCAGGTGGTGGCCGAGGCTGTTGTGGATGGTGACGAGGACAGCGGCGTTGATGCCCGTGTCGTAGCCAAAGAGACTGCCGCCAATGGCCGCCGTGACGGAGACGAGCCAGGGAAACCGGCCCGTCTTGGTAGACTCGATAGAGTCGAGGCTCTCGGCGTCGGGGGGCGTGGTCGACCCGGTAGAAGCAGTCTCCAGGTGACTGGCGCCAGCCTTGTCCGGGATCTTGGACTCCATCATCTCGACTGGATCTTGGAGACTAGATTGGATTTGCGTCTGCGTGCGTAGTGCGAGGTCAATGAGGTCTGGGACAGGGGGGCCAGACAGTTGACTGACTGTTGGCTCAGTTGTCGGATGGATTTGTGCTGTTTGCGTGGGCATCCAGCCAAGATATAGGAAATGGGAGTCCTCGCAAGGTCAACATGTAGTTAGGTTGTAGCTGCAAGTCCTTGCAAGCCGCCATGCTGCCACGCTCGTCCACCCACCCAACCTGTCGTGGACCACCCTTTTGGGGGGGAGACAAGGGAGGATCTTGGCGCTGCCCAGAATCCGGGGCAGACTTTCCCAGACTTTCCCCGCATATCAGCTGGCAGCCAGTCATATCCCACCGCGGGCAGTAGGAGTATGGGACCCCATCGTTACGATGCCGGTAGTGCGCACCGCGAGTCATGTCCACCGGTCCGGGATCAGCCCCAGAGTCTTGGCCTGGCCTTGCTTCGACTTGCCCAGCCTGTCAGCCTGTCTGGGGAGCAGGAATGGAATATCTCCAAAGGGCAATGTTCCCCGCGCGTTTCCTCCCCCGCGGCACAGCTTCCCGCACGACACCCCGACGTTGCTCACGGCGGCAGAACAGAACGGTTTGCCATTTTTCCTTCCCCAGACTTTCTGCTCTTGTACCCCGGATTGAAAAGCGTCCCCGGACGACATGTCGCGCCCCGCAAGTTCCGCAACGCCATCTATGCCATCCCGACGGCGACCGGTGCCGTGCAGTGTGCGTAACTTTCCCCGCTCCCCCCTGGCCCTGGGCACGCCAGCGCTGACAGACATGTCGGCTACAGGCCTGCAGACAGAGGTAAAGGAGCCCGAGAGACAGGAAACTAGACTGATCTGACGGCTTTGCAGACACTGGAAGTGTAAGTGAGGCGCGGGACTTGCTTGGGCTGTGCGCACCCAGAGTACTTACTCATCGCGTCGCGACAGGCAACACAGACCGTACGCCGTGTCCCAACTGCGAGAGCGAAGGACTGGAATGCGTGAGGAACTGCCGCGTGCGTTTCATTCACGCCCTCAATCCGAGGTCAGTATGCCGTGTCGTGGGCCATCATCGCCCAAGTTGACCTGATCATCATCAGTGTCGTTGCAGGAACCAAGGCCCCCCGTGGGAGCGATGGTGCTCGTCACAGCAAGCGGCGACACACCTTTTCGCACAGTCAGCCGTGGGTCAGGACAAGCCGGACCTTGAGCTTCGTCGATGAGACCAAGGACATTGCCAATCTCGACGAGTATCGAGCAGACTATCTAGACGGACAGGACGACGACGACGACCATGAAGAGGCGGTTTCTGCCGGCAGCCCAGCATCTGTCCAGGCGTCGCCGCAGCTCTCCTCGCCCTCATCACCCCCCCCTGGACCACCAGAACAGAATCGCGGGCTGCAAGGCAATGGCGCGTCCACGGTCGCGGCGCGAGACCCTCTGCAGGCCCATGTCGTCCCTGGGGATCTCGTCATGGCTGACGCCGCGGCCCCGAGCAAGAGCATCGGGTCCATCCTGTCGGACTTGTTCAGTCTCGGCGTCTCCAACGAGCATCAGCCAGACATTGACATGCCCGCCTCGTTGTGGAGCCCTCAGGACCTTGCTCTTGTCGATGGCGAGGCGGGCGCCATCTACCTCGAGTCTTCGCGCTGGCCTCTGCGCGACCCGGAGGAAGCGATGCTCTTCCGCTACTACATTGATTCCCTGTCGCCTTTGCTCGACATGTGCGATGAGGAAAATCACTTTGCGCGCATCGTCCCCCTGAGGGCCGCCACCTGCTGCCCGCTGTACCACGCCATCCTCGCCTACGCGGCCAAGCGTCTCAGCAGACTGGGTGGCTACGACAGCGTCGTCGCGGACCGGTACCACCAAAAGTGCCTCAACGCCCTGATACCGGCGCTGTCCGACGCGGCGGCGGTGGCGGACGAGAACCTGCTCACGTCCCTCATCTTGCTGCGCTCCATGGAAGAGCTCGACGTGCCCATCTCCACGCCCTCGCCCGAGTTCCACCTCATGGGCACACGGGTGTTTCTAGAAGCCCAGAGGACGTCCTGTGATTTCACCGGCCTGCGGCTCGCCTCGTTCTGGATCGCCCTCCGCCAGGAGATTTACATTGCATTTATCAACTCGCGACCCGTGCGCTCCGACTTTGCCCTCAACAATTTTGACTGGCTCAGCAAGCCGGACATGACCGGGTGCAACACGGCCAACTGCGTCATCATCTACTGCGCGGCCTGTCTGCGATACTGCTACGGCGCAGAGGAGCTCACGGTCGAGGGGTGGGACGAGCTCCGACGGTACCTCGAGGCGTGGTGGGACGCGCGGCCCTGGCACTTTACACCCCTCTACACGGACAGGGCCGAGGATGGGACGCTGCCGGGGTTTCTCCCAGACGAGCGCTACGCCAACAGCGCTGTCGTGACGGGCCTCCAGCACTACCACCTGGCCAAGATGCTCCTGGCGGCACACAGCCCCACGATCCCCAAGCTGGGGTTCGGTCGGAGAAGGGCCCTGGACGCCATCAACGACGAGATCAAGGATGCCGTGCGCGCCATTGTTGGCATTGCCGAGGTAACCCTGAGCCAACTCCCACCAAGAGCCACAGACTGACCGACTCTACAGTCGAACCAGCACACGCCGCCGGCATACGTGTAGGTGCCCCGACGCCGATGCCCGCCCCCATGCTGATGGAGCCGCAGGACCGCGAGCATGGCAATCACCATGGCGGGTGATTGCTTCACGGAGCGGAGCGAGCAGCAGGTTCTCCACGACGTGATGCTCAAGACGGATCGGGAACTCGCCTGGCCCACACACTCGGCGTGAGTACGATTGCATGGCGAGACGCAACGGATCGCTGACCATGTACCACCCAGCCGACAGGCTCTCGTCAAGTCGTGGGGATGGGACCAGTCCCCGGACGACCCGACTCCGCATGCAAGCTCGGCCGCTTGCTAGGCCCCATACTACTCCCAAGCTTGAATATCTTGGCATGTGTGTCCAAACTTTCTTCCTCGTGGCTTGACCCGAAACGACACAACACCTTTACCAATGTCCCCTCGCTGAGTTTTGCGGACATTCTCTGTGCGCTCAGTATCCGTCACGGCATATGAAGCCGGACCCGGACCCGGACCCGGACCCGGACCCAGCCTCCCCATTCGGACATGATAGTTTCACACGAAGCGTAGTACTGTACGGGACCGGCCTTTGCTGGGTCAGAGGAGCACGGAATCCCCATTCATCAGTGCAGGAGACCATTCTCCATACAAGCAACCAGCACTGCATTCCTTGCCATGTGACAAATGGTACCAGTGGCATATTGGGCAGCCAGAGCCACATTGATGAAAGGGCAATTGCTCGAAACGACTTTGTGCTGGCAAAGTGCAATAATCGAGAGAATCACCGCAGCTGTTTCGTATTATTATGAAAGAGGTTGTACGGGGTACAGGGGCGATCGGTCAACTGTGACATCTCAATCTGTGCGGACGCATCGCATCGTCAGGAAAGGTGCTCAATGCTACGGCAAGAGGACGTTAACTTAATAATAGATGCACGGGTTGGTGATGGGGAAAGCGGCCAGAGACACACGTGGTAAGCACGCGTCAAGGACTGTGTGAGGCCAGGGCTCTTGAAGCATACGATTGCGCTCACTCACAACTTCCCATGACGACACGTTCTTTTCTGACCACAAAAACCCCTAAAGTTGGGCACACCAAGTACTTTAATAAAAGGCGGGCTGACGTGGTGAGTAAGGCATGACATGTTCATTTGCTAGGGTAGGTAAACCCGCCTCTCGATGAGCAGCCGTCATGCTGGACCAAGTGCTCGAGGGCCGATCCTTTGGAGCTCCCCATCCATAGCATTCAATCCACGTCCAAGCTGTGGCACGGTCAGCCCGTCGCGCACAAGATTACGGCATGGCGCGGAGCATCAACTCGGGCAACTCGGTATACTTGCTGGCCGCCGTTGAGCGGCCCATCGGAGACTAACCGATTCTCTCGCAGTAGTGGTGGCTTCGTGCGCACCCCCCTCATCTGCACGTGTCGACGACATCTCCCTCCAGTCCTCCGCCCGTGACAAGACGGTATAGCTGACGCTAGGGCCATTGTCATTTTTACCGCCTTTGAAGCTCATCAATACTCGTTCAGCAGTTTCTCGTCATCTCCATCTCCGGGAGTGACACCCGAGTCCGGACCCCAATCCCGACTGCACGGTCAATGACTGAGAGAAGTATTTCCGGATCTCGCCGACGCTGTCGCCCCGCTGATAAGCTCAGCTAGATCTCTTCTCACGCCCTGCGTGATAGACAGACGAGTCTCGCGACTTTCAACACCCACTGTTGCACCCGTGATCCGCTTCCATCATGTCTTTGAGCCAAACCGAACCCCCACGGACCAGCCTCCGGCTGGCCTCCGGGAACGGCCCCATCACCCGGTCTGTCCTCCGCAGCCCACTCCGTGACGCCCAACCCGCTGAGATCCCCGTCATCGACGTGGCAGACGCCTTCAGCTCGTCCTTGGAGAAACGCAAGGCTGTGGCCGCCCAGATCCGTGACGCGGCCACGACGTCGGGCTTCTTCTACATTGCCAACCACGGCATCCCTACCAATGTCACCGATGGCGCCTACCAGGCCTGCCTCGACTTCTTCCGCCAGGACGCCGACGTCAAGATGGACGCCTGGGAGCGCAAGAGCCGGTACTTCAACGGGTACAAGCCCCCCGGCTCGCAGCGCATCAACAAGTCGGAGAGCATCGACTGCCGCGAGACCTTTAGCTGGACGTACGACCCTCGCTACGACCCCAATGTCGAAGACGTCGACGCCATCCCCGAGGCCGCGAGACGATTCCTCCGCATGGAGGACTTTCACTGGGACGCCACAGCCAACAAGCCGCACTTTAAGGAGGCCATTGTGCAGTACTGGCGATCATGCCTCGCCCTCGCGCGTGTGCTCATACGGTCCTTTGCGTTGTCTCTCGACTTGCCCGAGGCCTACTTTGATTCCAAATTCGCGTACCCCGACGCGGCCCTCGCTCTCAACTACTACCCGCCTCTTCCTGCGCCGCTAGAGAGTGGCAAAGACGACGCCCAGACACACGTGTCCATCGGCTCGCACACCGACTTTCAGCTCTTCACCATGCTCTGGCAGGACGACGTGGGCGGCCTGCAGGTCCTCAGCCGCGAGGGCCAGTGGCTCCGCGCCGTGCCCATCCCAGGCACGTTTGTGGTCAACATGGCCGACTACATGCAGCGCATCACCAACGACCGGTACGTGAGCACGGTGCACCGGGCGCAGAACTGGAGTGCGCGGGAGCGTGTCAGCATGCCCTTCTTCTTCGGCTTTGGGCTCCACGAGAGCTGTGCGGTCGTGGAGAGCTGTGTTGGGGAGGGCGAGAGGCCCCGGTACGAGGAGATGGGGTGCGACGACTGGGTGAAGAGGCGCGCGCGCGCTATGCACAAGGTTGGCTCGGATGACGAGGATGATGGGTAGGGGGGTGGTCGCGGTTCTTCACTATCGGTTCAGAAATGGATACTGTGTCTGATATCTTGTGAGTTTGCCTTGGTCACCCGCTGTGGCCACAAGGGTATATACATTGGTCTGTGATTTTTCGTCAGCAGCCTTTTCGCCTCTCTGCAACTCATACACGCAGTCTACCCTGGCCTTGTCGTCGTCTAGAACCAGGATTGACATTCGAGAACTGGAGAAGCGTGTGCTGCCCCTTGACTGAGCCAGCCATCGCTTCCCACTCCGCTGCCACCTCGGAAGCCCGTCCATGCCTCCTCTCGTCGATTGCATCCGCCCATAGCCGGTTCCAACAGCGGAGATATGGCTGTCCAAGTGCCATGGCAGGCTCGTCGTCCCTATACACCAGAAATTCTTGGGTCGCAGCTCCACGGCCGGTAGAGTCACCCCATTGCATTTTCGCGACGCCGAGGACGGCAGGGACACCATCCGGATACATCGAGATTCGTAGGGGATCATCGGTACGACGTCGGCGCACCTCGAGGTCTAGGTCCCACGCCGACCTCGAGCTGATCAGATTGAAAATTAGACTAGGGTCCACGGTCGCGTTGACGGGCCTTGCCCCCTCGTATAGGCCTGGCCTCGATACCCAGGCCGTGACCCGCTTGCAAGGCTCAACGGGAACTATACAGATGTCCTTGTCGGGTGCAGTTTCGGTACGCGATTGCCTTGCGGCGGACACCCCCTTGGTATAAGTACCAGTATCGTGGCTTCCGACCACGGTGGGTGACTCTGCCGTGGTAGTCGCAGAAAGGGGGTTAACTATTGCACTGTCGACTCGATTCGCACTATTCTGCCCATGTTCCCTGGGATCTTCGAGTCCAGGTTTCTTCTCAGCATTGTCTCTGCTCCTTGTCTCGAGGGGATCAGGGTGGCGGGTGGTGGTGCTTGACTGTGCTGGCCTAGCATCACTCTGGCCGACCCGGTCCACCATCCTGAGCAAAGCGTGTATCGCGGATTGCAATTTTGCGTGGTTCATGTCCGGAAATATGTCGTCCGCTTGGGCCAGCCGCGCCTGTATCTTGGCCTGTCGCTTGAGATTCTTCAATTCGCGCCGCAGCCGCTTGCTGTCACACAGATTGCATTGGTCAGCTCACAGTTTCGGTTCAAGTGGCATTGTGCCACATCGGACTGAAGAACTGGACGTACTTTTCTGAATCCAGGCGCTCCTTGAATTTCAAGTCGGCTGTGCCTTGATAGTCACGTATATTCAGCTCGAGCGCGGCGCTGGTCATGATCAGAAGGAGACTGGTCTGTATCTGTTCGACGCCCTGGCGGTATCTCTCAAGCTCTGTTCTCAGATGGAAAAACCATCTGTACGCCTCCAAAAAGCTGAGTCTTGTCTGATTCACCCCGACCAGGGCCGGCTCAATCTCCTTTCGGCGCTCCGTGAGGTACGTGGCCGTCTCGTTGATGGATTTCAGTGTCCTGTCTTTTCGCAACTGGCGGAAGATAGGCAGCTCCCCGTTCTCTGGCTGGAGATCCTCCAAGCTCTGAATAGCAGATCGGATGGCGGTCGCGGCCACGCGTAGGTTGATGGCTGCGAAGCGCATCTCCCGCCCGGCGATCTTGCGACCGCGCGCCGCCGTATAGATGCGCCTAGAAAACTTGAGGAGCTGGCCCCCGAGTTCGTCTAGCGGGAAGAAACTCATGCCCAGGCCGGCCATCTTGACGTCTTTTGGAAGAGGGAAACGAACATGCTCTGGACAATGGCGAGATCCCCGCGCGACAGACAGCCAACTTATCAGGGTCGACCTGCAGATTGCGCATGCACCTGGTGATGCAGTTCGCACACAAGGCGTCCAGGCTGTGAAGCACAGCCGAGAGCAGCTATCGGAGGGGTTCCTACGCCTTCTGTATCCTCTGTGTTTCTACGCGTGTGTTTGCCCCCCGCGTCAACCTAGAAGAACGCCTGGGGCAATGTGGGCTCGGGAGAATGGCAGTGCTAGCAAGGAGTAGTTGTCTTCTCCATCGCGGCTATGTAGAAAGGAAAAGTCATTAATATCAGTCTAGCCTTATTCGTCCTCGACTCAGATAGCCTCGCCATTTACTGTACACTTTGACGCTTCGTCATCCTCACAGGAAAATCCTCGATGAGCCAAATCCCCTATCCTCATTAGCACACCGCAACAGAAGGGCCTTTGGGGCAACGTACCGCATTCTGAATGTGAACGGGTCGTTCAGGTCGCGTAAGAGCAAAGTCGAAGCGTCTCATGAGCTGTGCAGTCCGTCAGCCCGTACACTCGTCTCATCACTACCTCGGGGACATGAACTGCAACCTACCTCCACAAACACCTTGTTCAGCTCCATGAATGCCACCGACTTGCCAAGGCAGCCCCATTTCCCCGCCGAGAAGACGAGGTCCACGACGCCCGCCATGGCCGCCACGCGCTCCTTGTCGGCATCCAGCCAGCGCTCCGGGAGGAACAGCTCAGCGTCGTCCCCAAAGATCGTCTTGGAATGGTAGATGGCAAAGGGGGATGTGCCAATCTGCGTGCCGCCAGGGATGAACTTCCCATCAATCACATCGCCCTCGGGGGGCACCTGCTTGAAGAGGGGCCCAGCGGCTGGTGCCTTGATACGGAGACCTTCCTTGATGGCGGCCTGGAGGTACGGCAGGTTGCGCGCCTCGGCGTCTGTGATGGGCGAGGAGATGGTGCCGGCCTGGACACCGCTGTCGATTTCGTCCTGCAGCTTCCTGTACGCGGTCGGGTTGCTCAGGATGCTCAGCATCATGAGGCGGATGGTGGTGGCGGTGGTGTCGCTGCCCGCGACGACGTTGAGGAGGGACTCGCGGGAGGCCTCGTCCTGCGTCAGACCGTGGCGGATAAAGGAGCCCAGCATGTCGGGTCGCGAGACGGCATCTTCCTCGAAGCGCTCTGCGACCTTCCTGTTGGCCACCCTGATAGCATGTCAGTAGATGGATTGGTGTGCTGACAGAGAACAGCATACCCGATGAAGGCGCCAAAGCCGAGCTTGTCACTGGCCTTGGGCAGGAGACCCCTGAACAGGGGCGAGTGCAAGAGGGACACGAGGGAGGGGATGTTGCCGGCGAGGACGGCGACGGGGAAGAAGTCGCGGGTGATCTTGATAAAGTCGTAGACGTCGGCGTCCTGCTCCATGAAGCCAAAGGGGTGGCCAAAGGCGAGGTCGCTGATCACGTCGAGGGTGAAGTACTGGATCTTGCGTGCGAAATCGACAGGGCGGTATTGCTGGGGCGTGGACAGGTAGTTGGCCTCGAGCAGGCGCACGAGGCGCGCAATGTGCTCGTCGACGGTGCGTTCCATGGACTCGTTCTCCTTGCCGGAGTACTGCAGACGTTAACATTGCATTTGGCAGGTGACGCATGCAGATCATTCCGTATGCGCGCGTTGGGAGAGGATCAGCTTACGCCGGCGGCCATTTTGTTCCGGATCCTCATGTGCTCGTCATCGTCGCGCTGTGAGAAGAGGTGATCCTGGCCTGCTTGGAAGCGCAGTGCATTGTACCCTGTTTGTCAGTTCACGTACGAAGCGATGCACAAGCGCGGGTACGCATCCAGGTCGGGGAATGCCACGCGAATTGATCACACGAAAGATGGGGCTGAGTTTGCTTACATGGACCCCTCGTATATCGTGAGCGAACAGCCATCATCCGGCGCAGCAGTTCTGGGTCGTCGGTGGCCAGCTCATTGGGACCGATGCGCACGAGCGACCCTGTTGCTGGTCAGTCGACATTCTGACAAAGGCCAAGGGGAAGAAGGCGAAAACGCACCATATTCCTCATTCGCCTTCTGGATCGCGTACGGCTGCTCGCCTCTCAAAGAGTGCTTGACCATCCAGTACTTGGACAAGGCAGCCCAGAAGGGCCCGGGAACGTGGGAGAGGCGGTACCAGCTGCGCAGGGCGTCGACGAGGAGGATGGCTGCGGCGAGGCCCAGGGCGATGGCCACGAGGGCTGCGGGTGGCCACGAGGCATCGTTGCCTCGTGGACGGTGATCCATTGTTCGATTATGAATTATGATGAAATGCGACGGCAAGGCTAAGGCTGGCGGGCGGGCGCTTGTCTGTTGGCGCTTGTTGGTCGACAATGTGCCTACTGTGGTAAGACAAGCACCAGAACCGACAGTCTGGGTCAGTCCGTCCTCGAGCAGCTGCGAAGAAATGAGCTGACCAACAGTCTGCTGCAGGTAGCGTCGCAGCGACCGAGGAACGAGGTCCACCGACCACGAGCGTGCCCAATGGGATGTGTCGCGAGACACGGCACGCAGGCACGGCATGTCCATAATATCCTCCCCGGACGGCCGACGCAGCCAACCGTTGCGAGCGACGGCTGGAAGCCAAGACGGCCCGAGCCCTCATCACAGGCGCTCTGCCACGTTGGCCCGCATAACGTAATGAAAAGAATGAATGAATGAATGAATGAATGAAATCCGAGCCGAGATCGCTTGCTTACTGCCTTTGTGGGCGGCGACTCGGCGGATCCCAGGCAGGCAGGCAGGCAGGCAGGCAGGCAGGCAGGCCATGCTGACTACGTACGTACGTATCCGTACATTCCTTCTGTTGGCTGTTGGTCCGTCGTCTTTTGTCGTCGGCATCCAACACACGCACGCGCGCGCATCGATCGGATCAGATCCATCTGATTAATTGATTGATTTCGATGCCCCATCTCGCCCTGCGGCCCAATTGATTGATAACAAAATCGTCGTTGCATGGGAAGACCCCGCCAGACCGCAAGACGGAGCAGTAATGTGCTGAGCGCACGCAGCAGCACGGATCCCCATTGCTGCACTGACCTCGATCCCAAGGATACGACACATAGGTACAGACTGGACAGACTGGGACAATGCCAGCGCAGCCATCAAACAACGAGCCCCCGGGGCCTGTCGGCGATGCGACACCTCGTCCTTCCACCTCTCCTCCGCCTCCGCCTCCTCAGCAGCCAGCAGCGGCCGTCGTCGTCGTTGACGATGATGACGATGACGACCATGTTGATGACCCAACCCTGTCCGCCAACAACCCCACGGTTGAGATCCAGGGCTCCATTGTGCGTACACGCGACTCGCGCTCAATTGAATGATGACTGATGGAGCCAATGCTGATCACCACATCCACGTATGTAGGCTGCCGACAGCGCAGAGACAGACTCGGCTCTGGGTGCAGTGAGTTGAGCCCCCCGGTCGCATGACCGACGCTGAACGCATCACAATACTACCTTCGTACATGTGTGATCATGGACTGACTGATCGCCACCCAAGGAACTCGCATCCTCCGTCGCGTCGCTCTCGTCCAGCATCCTCCAGTACCAGCTCGAAAACGGGCGTAGCTATCACTCCCTCAGCCGCGGCAGTAAGCATTGTTGCAGAAGCTCTCCTCGACTTCGCATAGCATGTTGGCTGACCACTTGCAGAATATGTCCTCCCCAACGATGAGGTAATCCTCCATGCCTGCCTCGATCCATGTCTCTGTGGAATGCTCTGACTAACGACCCTGGCCTCCCCCGCAGATGGAGAATGAACGGTTAGGTGAGTGACGCTGCGCGCGACCCTGTCTCATCACATCCACCCCCCGGCCAACATACATGTACAATACTGCATCCGAATCCTGACGAGATGCGCAGACTTGCAACATGAATTGTACGTGCGCACCTGCCAGGGTATCCTGGCGCTGTGCCCAAAGGGACAGGGAGCGCAGCGCGTGCTGGACATGGGTACCGGCACTGGACAATGGGCCATTGACTTTGGTGAGTCTCCTATTGTCTGCTGCATGTACTATCAATCGTGCTGACCTGACCACAGCCGATCTACATCCCGATGCCGAGGTGGGTGCCCGTATCTGGAATGTCTGTCGATATCCTGCTCACCAACTCTAGGTCATTGGCGTCGATCTCAGTCCCATCCAGCCAGACTTGTATGTCGACGTCCTTGCCTCTCTGTACAAGGCTAACAAAGCCCATGTAGCGTGCCCCCAAATCTCGTCTTTGAGATTGACGACCTGGAAAAGGAGTGGACATGGACCACCCGGTTCGATTTCATCTTTGCGCGCATGATGCTCGGCTGTTTCCAGGATCTCCCCGGCATGATCAAGGTCGCCTACGATAACCTCGAGCCCGGCGGCTACCTTGAGCTCCAGGACATGGCCCTGCCCGCCCTCTCGGACGACGGCACCCTCGACCCAGACAGCCACCTCGCCAAGTGGTGCAAGGCCTGCCTCGACGCCGGCGAGAATCTCGGCCGCCCCGTCTTCCCCGTCACCGAGTACAAAAACTACCTCGCCGCCGCTGGCTTTGAGGACATTGTCGAGGTTCAGAAGAAGTGGCCTACCAATACCTGGCCCCGCGAGCGGGAGCACAAGGAGCTCGGTGCCTGGGCGTACGCCAACATCGCCGGTGGGCTTGATGGGCTCTCGCTCGCTCACTTTACGCGTGGCTTGGGTTGGACACCCGAGGAGACGCGCGTCTTTTGCGCTGAGGTCCGCAAGGACCTGAAGAATCCAAAGATTCACGCCTACTGGCCCATGTACGTTCCTGTCTCGCTTGTTTGTGTCTCGTTAGCTAATCAGTCCGCCTGCCAGCTATTTTGTGTACGGGCGGAAACCACTGCGTCCACGGTATTGATGATGGGCATCCAAAATGTAGCTACAAGCCCCAGCGTTTTAATAATCACTTTGATTCTATTCTCGAGATTTGGGGGGTGACTAACTGGGTTTATTCTGGGCCTGGAGTTGACAGTCTGCCTGCTTCAACGGCCCTCTTCGAGCGTCTCGCCAGGTATTATATCTACTGTGAGCATACCCCCTAGTACCGACAGCAACCCCCATGCTTCTTCAGCGGATGGTCATCGACAAACTGCAATATCTGAGGCGTGGCGTCAAACCCAGCCACCGCCCCTTCGTCCTCCCCCTCCCATATCGCGTGCTACATGTGTAAGGCGTCGTGTGTGTGCGGATCGAAGGGGATCTCAAGATCATGTGGCGCCTCGCAGACGTCAACGTCGGTGTAGAAACATCCCGATACGTTTATCAGGGTTTCATGAACCCCCGTGGTATGACAGCACTAGTGGCGCTGGGTTCCCGATGGCATACTCTCCGAAGGGGAACAGAAAATATCGCCTGCCGTCAACCGTGCCGTTGTGGAAGCTACCGGGTGCATGTGTCTAGCCATCGGGGAGTCCTTGCAAGTGGCAGCCTGATGAAGAAGGCCTTACGCTGCTGCCAGGGACGATATGGCTCGCAAGGCCAGAATCTGACAAAAGAGCATTTTGACAGAAACTGGCAAGGGAGTCGATGTGTTCCCTGTGTGAGTGGGCTGAGTGGTCTGTCAGTTAGTAGTAATCATACCAGAAACGGCTCCTCGTCACCCATCCTCGCACACATCGGGCCCAAGGGCCATCATATACATGTAGCGATGAGTCTACATGGGTCTCCAAAGCACTAGAGTAGCATGCGTCGTCACATTGCGCCATTGGTCTGCGCCGGGGACATGAAGACAACCCATTGTATGGGGCACACTACTGCGCGATGCCCCTGATGCGGCAGCCTCGGTGTTGTTGTTGTTGGACAAACGGCACTCGCAAGCAGGATGCGGACGCAGCGAGGCTTCCAACGGCAGCGAATTGTTACTCCTAGTGTCTCCGTTCGTTTCTCCTTAAGGACATATCTACGAGTAAGCTTATGCCTCCTCCCGAGACTGCCTCCGCAGTCCAGTGCGCATACGCAGACGGTCACATCCGCATCTGTCTCTAGTCCAAGAGACCCCACCGTTAGCGGATCTCTGTCACTGGTTTTGACGACTGTGGAAATACTCCTCACCAAAGTCATCCAAAGCCAGCAAGGCCAGCCAACCAACGAGTGGTTTTGGGCATCGACTAATGATGGAGTGTCGGCCAGCGCGGAACGCTAGACCCGGCAGCGTGCGACCATCAGTCGCTTGTAGTCGTCCATTGACTACACACTACCGCACGTCATGTTGGTCTAGTAAAGCCTTGGTCATGCACTTGAATCCGTCGATCGCCGCTGTGTATCTTGGCGAATATGGACTGGTACGTCACGATATGTCATGACATAGGTAACTTAGTTTCATCGAAATGGGATTGATCAGTACGCCGGACTTCCCTAATTCCCGGTCTTAGATTCAGTCCTCCTTTTCCTTTCACGTTCAACCTAATCTTCAAGCCTTAGTCTGTCTCATCATCGTCCTGATACTATTGTTTGAATTAATGCAGAGCCACGGCGTACATCTACAAATTTACATGTAGTTTGGCTGACTCGCATACAGAAAAAAGCCTCCTTCCTCAATTAGTGTCAATGCTGCGCAGCCCAGAACAGATTGTGGGGGCGCTGTGAGGTTAATTGTGACCTATGGCCTGCCCCGAGAAGCTCTCACAAGGCTTTCCACGGTCAAGGGTCGTTTCCAATGGGGGAAAAGACGTGCAGATTGCAACGTGCCAAGAAGAGCGGGCACCCTGGCCACTTGGCTCGGCTGACGTCTCTCGTTTGGATATGCACCTTGGCTCTGCACCTTGTTCCTGGGCAATGCTACAATCCTTCGAGAATAGCCTTCTATCTCCAGAATGTGGACCTATGTCTCGGTCCCGAGATGCTGGCTCGGGAGCGAAGGTGTCTTCTCAGGTCAGCGAAAGAGCGGGGATTATCGTGACCGGTCACTGGCGCAACACACTCCCTCTTGCAGAAAAGAGCCGCTCCGAATGAGAAAGTCAATCGTTGGCGCCGCATGCCGGGTCATAGCATTGAATCATCAAATATGAACGAGAGACGTGGTGCTGGCCTTGTAAAGGCTCTATAAAAGGACCTCGTGAGGCACCTAACAGTCCTAGAGAACACTATAACTCTAACAAGTTTAACTTTGACCTACTTTCCACCTGAATCGTTTATCATCGAATCCAATCACTCCTCCTTCTCTTCAAATTCATAGAGACAGCGATTCTCGACTCACTAGTCAATCTTCGACCTACATTCACCATGTACTCTATGAACCACCTCACCAGCGCCCTCCTGATGGCGACCTCCGTCCTCGCAGCGCCTCAGCCTGAGATGTACGTTACCCCGTCACATGTAAAAGCTACGCTAATAAGTGATCTAGGATCGAAAAGCGCCACCCTGTGGACTTTGTGGGCGCCTGCGAGATGTTCAGACCCGCTCCAAATGAGCTTGGTCTCCTGACCGCTGGCGGCGTCGAGCTCGCCTGGGACGGCAACAACCTTGGTAACAAAGCCTCGGATAAGGCTGCCGTCTTGTTCGACCCCAACTGCAACATCATCTCATCAACTCATTGGCGACCTATGAGCCCAGGGTTCAGCATTGAATGGACTTGGGACGAGGGCCTGGTTATCAGCGCCAAGACCCCCTGGATTGGCTACGATATCACTCCGCCGACAATCTGGGTCAATGGCGAAGAGCCTTACAAGCTTTGCATGGATACGCAGCATAAGATGAACGGCCTTAATGCCGGAGACTGGCGCTCTTGTAACTTCCAGCACAACGGCCTTTATGGTGGCTTAGATGTCTTGTAAAAGCCTGGCTGTGTTCAAGACCCATCTTACATCAGAATGTGTGCAAGAGATACTATTTCGCTTGCTACTTTGGTGATAGGATGCAGTTCATTCAAACATAGGGATTCTATTATTTAGAATACTTGAAAAAAAGACATGAAATCGGGTCTAAAAATTGCGGATTCATAGACAGAGACTTAATCGAGAACACGCGTTGCACCCTCCTCCTGGGATAGCTTAGCGTGCTTGGCGTACTTGCTTACGAGCCTCATCTGTATCTGCCAATAGTCAACTGAGCCATCTAACAGGGTTGAGCAGACTTACGCCGGGTGTCTCCCACAACCGCCTTGCTACCGTGTCATCGACCGCCGCCCAGCCAGCGTCGCCCACTACTACGTCACCTGATAGGGATGCACCAAGGCAGCATCGGGAGACCAGCCCTTACCGATCATGTCGCGTCTTAGTCAACGAGGCGGTCCCTGAAAGACAGGCTGGCCTCGAGGTAGCTCCTGGCAATCTGCGCGAGTCCATTCACGGCCATGAGGCTGAGGTATTCGACCGAAATGCTAGCTCATTGGGCGACTGCGACCTGGGACGTGGGGAATCTCAAGAGACTTTCCATAGGTATGATAACACAGTGGGGGCTCGGCGATCCGTTGTCTGGCCGAAGGAAACCCCTGCCAGGCAGTGGACAGAGCTCTCAGTCAGTAGAAAGCTTGATGCGCGACGCAAAAAGCAATGTCCCGCTTACATCTGATGCCACGCTGGCTAGGGACTCTTGCGGTGTGGATGATGGGTCCCCCTAATCGACAATGTAAAACTGCTATCTTTGCAAGCTACCAAGAGTGACCGCTTCCCCATGCGAGGTACAAGTGTGTTTGGTACAACGGCAAGGCAACGTTTCAACTTGAGTTCTCCAGGGAAATTTCGTGTGTCGCCCGTGCGGCTCAGAATTCATCACGAAGCAGCGCCTGGCTATCGTTGAGTAGTAAAAGCGCGGAAGTCCGAAGGCAAACATGGGCGGCCAAACGTCCGTGGAGTTTACAAAGGGCAGCTTGAAGTAACCTGGTCCCAACCAGGCTGATGATGTAGGTCTCTACACCGTGAAACGAATGCTTGCTCTGTGGAAGAAGGGTTTCTACTTTTTACAATGGTCCGATGACACCAACGTCGTGGGAGCCAAAAGAGGAACATTCTCGACAAGCAAATACTCCGTGACTTTGAGACAACATACAAGGGGTATGATGGCTGGATTGATAAACTGGATTCACGGTCTGGAGCTGGCAAACGTCAATATCTATTGCATTGACTTGCTTGGTCGAGCTTGGTGAGCCCTTTTACTTTTCGCGTAGGAAGCATAGCATAGAGAATCGTAACAAGTGCAAGCATCTCTATGAGCTTACCCCCCTGGACGAGATTGTATGGGATTTGGACTGAATCTAGCATGGCATTGGCCCGGGTAGTTGACGTGCGCCTTTTGAGCACTACACACAGCTGGCGCCGCTCAAATTTGCACCAAAACTCCAGCTGAAGTAGGAATAGAATGCCCATCAGAAGTAGTACCACTAATGATGCTCTTGTTTCCGGAGGACATCCAGGCTGCGCCCGCATTTGACGAGATGATCAACGCCCGTGTGCCCATGTGGCTCTATTGTATTGTTATTTTCAGTCTGACTTCTGGTCATTTCAAGAGTGAATACAAACCGTGGTGCCAACCTGTGCTCACTCTACGATGCCTACCCATGCCCAGCCCAGCCTCAGCTTCAGCTTCAGTCCTTTTCCGAAGAACCTCTGCTCTCATCTCCTGTCCACCGTCGAGGGTCTAGTGGCGCATTGTACGTCCATCTGCATCCGAAGTAGCTGTATCTGCCCCTTTCTCGACCAGGAGCCGTACTATAGCCTCGCAGCACCGGTATATGACCAATGAAAGAGCTGTGTTTCCTTCCTGATCTTGGGCGTTGATATGTGCCCCATTGCCAACGAGAAGTCGGGCTCTAGCCTCATGCCCCCACAGTGATGCCGACGTAGGTGTTGTACGTCCTTCCAGATTTTCGATCATAGCATCCGCCCCTTTTTCAATCAGAAGCCGCGCTGTAGCCCCGTGACCGTGAATTGTAGCTAACATGGGTGGCGACAATCCTGCCTGACCCTGTGCACCAATATCCATCCCTCGTTGGACAAGAATCCATGAGGAACCCTATTTTCGTCGGAGTGATCGAGTTCCCTTTTGACACTACCGTTCGGGTCTGACCTGACCCACTCTGGATCAAGGCCTTCATGATGCCATGGCTCCCCTGTTGAACGGCCCACGCCAACGGGGTCTGATACTTGTAGCCAATCAGATCGTCTCGATATTTAAACCTCCAGGAATATATACGCCATCGACGATTGCGCAGGGGAAGCCGAGAAGCGCAGCTACAGCATTCTTATGACATTGGGCTAAAGCAGCAAAAAGAGGACAGCCATAGCGTTTCTCACTGACATAGGTGGTAGCATCTCCCTTCACCACTGCCCGAATGAGGCTACTCATCCCTATGTCTGCTAGAACAAAAATCGTAGTTGCATGCCGATCGTATCGCCGCGAACGGGCGCTTTCCAACTTGTTGATCAACTTGGTACCCGCCGAAGCAAAGAAGCAAGACAAGAACTCATCTTGGGGAAGTACGGCCGCCGTAGTGTTGGTATGGTGGAGGACGTGCTGGGCGGTGTATTCCAGGAAAGAGTATTCTTTGGTCGCGGAGGGAGCCTGACTGTCTCCGTTCTCGAGCCTGTCGATCGCGGCTCGTGCCTGAGGGTGATTGAGATACGTAGTATGGCACAATTTGAGTCTCGTAGCTGGGGCCTTCCTATTCAAAGCCGAGGCCAGGCCAAAGGTTCTGGAGGCCTTTATCTTTGACTAAAAAGTCCAGCACCAATTCGTGGATAGACTTCACCGTTGGTGGCTTTGCATTGGTAATTCCAGCGAGTCCCTTGGAGGAACTCGTGACGATCTGAGTGCAGTCATTCATCTCTGTGGTGTCTGGGAACTCGGCAAAGACTTGGTTGTACCCGTTCAACAGACTTGCCCACAAGGCGTGGCGGAACTCTGTTGGACTTAGGGGTCTCTTGGCGCAAAGTATCTGGAGGACGCAGAGCAAGAGCCACTCTGCTCTGTCTCGATCGCGTTTCAGCGTGCTTCTAAAGAGTTCGATTAGTTTGGCAGAGATTGCCGCGAGTCTCGCTCTAAGAGCGAGGGCGTTGCGGCTGCTCTCTATATTCAGCAATTCCACCACTAGCACGACCCACTTAAAGATACTAGAAGTCCTTCCTAGAATCTATCACTGCAGATCTTTTAAGAAGAGACTTATTATTGATTCGTAGGTAGCTTCTGACGTAGTGCGCTAATTCTTCCGTATGCCTTTGTTTATCTTCGAGGGCGAAAAGAATACGATAGCTAATATGGATATATAGGTATGGCCGACTGAGCTCCTTTAGCACGGAAAAGTCCGGGTAGCCTTACTGGTTTCGCGGAATAATGTCAACGTCGTCTACACCCCCCTCTGGGACATGAACTGCCTCGTCACTCAATTGCCATACATTACTGAATACTACAATGAACACGTACACATAGTGGGAATCATCTCATTAAACTCATTATCATCTATCAGAAGTGAAATATCTTTCCACCAACGAATGATTAATCAAAAATCCCACTCCTTCTCTCGCATCCGCTTGTCCTTGCCAGACCGCTTACAGCAGGGCAACGACACCAGCTACGAGGAGAGCAGCAGCAGAGCCGCCGACCTTGTTCGCCGCACCGGGGATGGGTGCGGGCACACCAGGTGTGGTGCTGGGCTGCTCGACGGGAGGCTGAGCGGTGGGCTCAGGCTGCTCAGGCTGCTCAGGCTCCTTGGTAGGCACGGGCTGCTCAGGCTGCTCAGGCTGCTCGGGTTGCTCGGGCTGCTCAGGCTGCTCGGGTTGCTCGGGCTGCTCAGGCTGCTCAGGCTGCTCAGGCTGCTCAGGCTGCTCGGGCTGCTCGGGCTGCTCGGGCTGCTCGGGCTGCTCAGGCTGCTCAGGCTGCTCGGGCTGCTCGGGCTGCTCGGGCTGCTCAGGCTGCTCAGGCTGCTCAGGCTGCTCAGGTTGCTCAGGCTGCTCGGGCTGCTCAGGCTCCTTGGTAGGCACGGGCTCGACGGGGCGAGTGACAGTGCAGGGGCAGTCAGTGATGGTGAGCGTGGTGGGCTCGGTGACTGTGTAGGTCTGGGTGCCGTGAGTGACGGTGGTGGGCTCAGGGCAGTAAGTGGTGATGGCCGTGACCGTCTCCGTAGTGTAGGTAGTGTGCTCACTGGGGGCGGAGGTGGCGGTGTTCGTGGGATGCTCCGAGCAGGCGGTAGGCTCAACTAGAGTGCCGTTGTTGTTGAAGGGGTTGAAGCCCAAGCACTCGGCGAAGTTGGAGGCGCAGGTAGACTTGTTGGAGCCGGGAGTGACCTGGCACTTGCGGTAGGCGTCAGTGCAGTCCTCAGCACACTCGTCCTTGTCAGGGGTCTCAGTGTGGGTAGGCTCAGGGACCGGCGTGGTCGAGCAGGCGGTGGGCTCTTCGTACTCGCCCTCGTAAGGGTTGTAGCCGAGACATTCGGCGTACTGGGCCGCGCACCATGACTTGTTGGAGTGAGGGGCGGTGACACACTTGTTGTGGGCGTCGGTACACGCGGCGGCGCACTCGTCCACAGCAGGGCCAGTGGGTGTGGGCAGGGGAGTGACGGGTGTGGTGATGGTGCAGGGGCAGTCAGTGATGGTGAGCGTGGTGGGCTCGGTCACAGTGTAGGTCTTGGTGCCGTGAGTGAGGGTGGTGGGCTCAGGGCAGTAGGTGGTGATGGCCGTGACCGTCTCCGTGGTGTACGTCACGTGGTCACTGACGGCGGAGGTGGTGGTGTTGCTGTACTTGTGGGCGGCAGCAGAACCAGCGAGGGCGCCCACGAGGGCGACACGCATGTCGGCAATCATGTTTGTGGTGGGTTGCGTCTGTTTCAGTGCAAATATGAGCGAGTGTAAGTGCACGTGTGTAGCGACTGACTGTTAAACAACGGTTGGAGAGGAGAGGTAAGAGAAACTGTCGGAGAGTGGGAAGAGACCTGCGTCTTAAATGGCTGCTCGCACCATCAGGCTCTTTCTTGTTTACCCACAATCCGACGGGATAAGCACTGGACAGGTTCCTGGACTCGATCTGATCATTGACTGTGGTGATACGAGCCTGACCGTGACTGGAGCCGCAGACGACAGTTGCTGGGCGCCCCACAGGCCGATACGAGCGTGTTTTCTTAGCTTGAAGTTTCCCGTCCTCCGGGTTGGCTCGCCCTGGAAAAGTTCCGTAAAATGACCTCATGCTGAGGACTGCCAAGGCGATTGCCGACCGGCCGAGGATCCGGAGTGGGCTCGAATACGGGGTTTTGTTCTCAGAGGGCCAGGGGGGTTGGTCGCGGTTGCCAGGATGTTGCCTGGCAGTGCGTGCTGCTTCTGTGTTATGACAATCAATCATGCTGATGCCGCGTTCCAGGATGAGAGTCATGTGTATCCTTGGGCCCTGCGTTTAGCTCCAAAGTCAATTGGAGAAAAACATCGCAACGAGCTTGCTTGGTGACTGCAGCGCTGTCAGCTTATGGGCGTTCGTGGCAGCAACTGGTGGTCAGCCCGTCAGCCAGCCAAGCCGTCTTCGTATGGTTTCTTGCGGATTCGATCGCGATTCGTCTGGACGTGGAATCGCTGCCGCCTGGTGACTGGTCGGGCAGAACGTCCGTCGCTCAACAGCTTGCCCGCACCTCTTGGCCATGGAGTCGTGGTGGGTGCATGACACAACATGCCCATAATTCGCCATGGAGTCGTGGTGGGTGCATGACCCAACATGGCCATAATTTGGCCTGTCCCTGCCCAGTTTAGCGTTCCGCGCTGGCCGATACTCCGTCATCAGTCGATGCCCAAACCACTCTCACTGGTTGGCTGGCCTTGCTGGCTTTGGCTACTGACTCTTATGGTGAGGAATATTTTCCACGGTCGTCAAAGCAGGACATCAAGATCCGCTAACGGTGGGTTAGAAATTCGGCTGCCCTTGCAGATATTGTTCCTAGTGCTTTTCGCAAGTGGATTAATCGAGTAAGCGCAGGCGACTGGAATGGAAGAGTCTAAAAAAAGACGACGACGGACTTCGCTCGGCTTACGTCCGCCTACCCTGTACATTACCCAGCTACGACGTTGCATGCGCCACGGTGCGGCTGGATTAAGAGGTGCGCATGTTCAATGATAACGTGACTATTGCGTGATAGCTAGATAGAGACAACCATGTCTGAAAGCATGATGGCTGCGGTGATACTTGGGTGTGCACAGGATTTTGAGTTCAAATAATGCATTTGTCACAAAGGAGCATGACCCTTCCGCACGTTGACACGCCTTCAAACCAACAGCCAATTGAGAGTAAGCGAATTAACCTGACGATATCGATTTTAGCTATAGATAAGTAGCTTCCAGAGGTTTGAAGCAGCTTAGGCACGCATTAGCCCTCATTCTGAGCGTCAAAGATGGGATTGTACCGTTCGCCATGCAGAATCCTTATCGCAGCCTTATCGCACACAGCAGGGTCCTGCAGGCGACGGCGGGGCAAAATTTCCAGAAACTCCAACAAGAGAATTTCTGTGACCCTTCACATTGCTAGCCCGCGACGTCCACCTGATCCAAACAGCCAGAGCAAGCGTCTGCAATACCCTATCCGCCCATCATGCCTTCCATGAAAAATCCCAACGGTCCCTCAAAGAACCGCCTCGCCGCCCGCGCCGCGTCCGCCAAGAAGCGCTCCCAGCAGGCCTCGCATGAGGGTCGCACGCGCATCACCAAGAACGACGCCGCCCACGGTGCGCGCGAGGGGCTGCGGCCCAACAGCGGCCCGGGGAAGAAGCTGAGCAGCAAGAAGCAGCGCAAGCTGGAGAAGAAGATGGGCTACGCGATGAAGAGGAAGGAACAGAAGGAGGGCGTCGTGGAGATGAAGGGTGAGTTCAAGTGTGCTCCGCAGCAGAATGTGTGCTAATTGTGGTTCCAGATGCTCCTGCAGTCGAGGAGGCCACAGAAGATGGCGAGGGCGACGTTGATATCCAGTGAGCGCGACGATTGACGGGTGAAAAAGGGTTATGGAAGGCTGGAGGAGTTTCTCGGCGGCGTCTCGTGTCGCCACAGTACAATCAAAGCAGTGAGACGGCGTCCAGAGTGGACTTGATAAAAAGACAGCTTGCACTGCCCGACAAGGAAGGAAGGAAAGCTATTGGCATCGTATGGCGTTGGGCGTTCACATTTCGGCAGCGATAGACGAGCATTCAGGCATGCATGGGACCAGCACTGAGCTGGCAGTCCACTACGAATACATCTAACGATTTGAGTTGCGCATATACTCGACCACAGCCTTCGTGTCGCACCGTAAATGGTATCTATACAGGTGCTTTTGGTAATTTCCGCTGAATTTGGTACTCATTTAGGTGGGCGTTACCGAATATGGACAGACAGACAGCCTCTGCCTAATGAATTCCGTCCCCGTCATGGCACTGCATTCCTCGGGCGACACAGCCACGAGTCCGGGGTCTTTGCAAGACAGTCTCAGCCGGCACATCCACCTAGGGAATGGTAGTCGGCACTCGCTTCGCTGAAAGAGGATCTGACGCAGGGTCCAATCCTAGTCTTGGCGTGGCTTGCGCGTCGTTCGTCACAACTTGATGGGCAATGGAATGCTGCGTGCGCGTGGTCAGTCCAGGAACACAAGACATACGTTCAATGACGGAGAAACACCCGAAGTCCCCGCGTCTTCGCCGGGCCAATGCCGAGAAACTTCTTTGCGGCAGACTCAGCCAGCCCACGGCATGGGAAGTGGCCTGGTGAGTGCACTGATGAGCTCGCAATACCCAGACGATAGCAAGCAAGTCAGTTCGTGTTGAGGCCCAAGAAATTAATACCAATCTCCTATCCTACGAGTTTCCTATCACACCAGTTTCCCATCATATCAATTTCCCATTATACCGATTTCCCATCTTCGCACAAGTTACCCAAAAGCCAGTTCATAGGTTATCCGTTCCCCGGCCCTTACTCAGGACGCAGCAAGGAACAAGCCTCAGTTCCGGCTCACCAGAGCCACCACTCACACCACTCATCGATGCTTCCACGGCTTCCATTGCGCGAGCTGCGGTAGACATATCCGCGATAGTAGTATCCGCGATAGGTAATTTCAGGGCGGCTTCCACTGCTTCCACGGCGACTTCCACTGCCGCTACCTAAGAGCAGCGAGTATGGGATCTGGAGCGTCTCCAAGTCGTCCATGTCTTCGGGAAAATCAGGGTTGAAGACAAGTGGCAGACATGTGCGGCAGCCATAGCAGCTCAGACAATCCCGTCGCGCCTGTTCCACGCGAGCGAGGCAGCGGCCTTGCGCCTCCAGTACTTGAATACGTTCCAGGATTCGTCTAGCCTGGTCCGCAGGAAGCCAATTGTGGCATAAGCGGTCGGCGGTGACCGAAACTCCAGGTTGGTCGCGAGAAGACGACAAACCGGTGCCGCTCGAGCGGACAGATTCCGTGTCGTAATCAGTGGCGACGAAGGGAACAATTTCGTCGCCATGGACTCCTGGGTCGCTGGAGCTCGGGATCTCGCGCATAGGACCGTCTTCAATCCACTCGCTGATTGTAGAGAGACGCGTGCGGTCCGGCAGGGCAGGCAGTGCGTGCCACGTGGCCTCGGACGAACCGCTGGCCGACGAGGCCCTGGAGGATGAGGCCCTGGAGGACGAGCTTCGGCGAGAGGACGTGTCCCTGGAGCTTCGGCTGGAGGACATTAGCGCAGAGCTTCGGCTGGCGGACGGAGTCTGGGACGAGCTTCGGTGAGAGGACGTGCCCCCAGAGATTCGGCCGCTTGTACCGCTGCGAGAAGAGCGTGTAGATGACCCGGAAAGCGGCGGCATGTCGTTGCCGTCACATGTGTCAGCGCCAGATTTGAAGGTATAGGTACTTACTTACTGCCGCTCCTCCGGCTGGATCTGCCACTTGAGCTTGGCATTGTCTTCGTTCCTGAGAATGAAGAGAAGGGCGGCGTTGTCGTTGGTTGTCGATTCCAACACGCGGATATGAGATTGTTGATCGAGGGCTGGTGTCTGTCTGAAGTTCTAGGAGTCGATCTGCAGATTCAGTTGGACAAAGAGAAGAAGAGAGACGCTCTTTATGCGTACAGGAGGGTGGTCTGAATGTACACACGGAAGTCACTTCTAAACAAACAAAGGATCACTGAGACGATAACCCAACAAGTGAAGAACACACCGTCGCAAGTTTGTAGATTCACGAGAGAATGGGGTAAAGCAATTTTTTGTCGAGCCTAGATCAGGGATGAGCGCTCTCGTAACTTCTATCTTCTTCAGACAAGGGGATACTTGCAAGAGGCCTCTGTGGATCGCTGGAACGGTACGCGGTTGCAAGTGGCATGGTAAGGGGAACGCGTGTCAATCAAACTTGGTATACTTGCGAGCAGACGTAAAGTAGTCACACAAGGATTGCGCAAATGTGAGTTCCTCATACGACGTAGAATGATTGTCCTTGTGACGCGGCTCCTCTCAAGATAGGTGTCAGTCACAGCAAGTCAACGGCTCGTTTGGCGAGCTGGTTCCGAGTCACGAGAGAAGGTAGAAAGAAAGACCAGAATTGATGAGGGCGAGAGCAAGCTGGGTCTTCTACAGGTTCCCCTGAATCTCCTGGTCCTAGCGCCGCCTGCGACATTTGATCAACGACAGCACGAGTAGTAGCTATCTGCGAAACTTCGATATCGGTTTGAGCTTCTAAAGTGAGCACCACACTTGTTTAACAGGCAGATGTTATGTAAGCGAACCTGGTTAGGTCCATTTGAACTCTCTGGTATCATATTTCGCAAACGGACCAACTGGGTTGCGTGGTTGAGCAGCTCAGAGATATCTGAAACATGGACGAACGTAGACAAACCACTGTATCATCCCACACAACCGCCATGTTACGTTCTAGTGCGACGAGCAATGACCGCAGCTTCAAACACTAGTTTGTGGAGGTCGACACAGCTTCTTCCCTCATCATCGTTCACGTACATGTGGGACATCGAATCACGAACCACAGCATGTGGCGGGAAGACTCAGTGTTCCCCAAGGGATGTCAAGTTTGTCTGACTGAATGGTAACTAGGAGGTTTCGTGAATTTAGAACATGTAACACGGCGGTAGACGAGGGTCTGTGTGCGCGTCACTTCAGGACCGGTGGTGCCGCTTGAGTTGCATCCCATCTTCATCCATCTCCATGCATGCCATGAGCATATGCGACGGCAAGAAAACCAATTCACAGTATATCGGGAACTTCTCATTCTCCCTCACTCCTTCGGTCTGATGGTTCTCTTTCTCCCGGATCTTCTCCTAGCTTACTCCCTGAAGGACCTATTTCCCACCACCATTGGCCATTTGTCGCTTTTCGAATCAGAACAGCCTGACAAGCAGCGACATGCAAAGCCATAAACGAGGAGCCGACGAGGCCTTTTTCGACCACGAAGATGACTGTATTATAGTTTCCGAGCAGCCTGAGCCAGCGCGCAAGGTGCGCCGAGTTCATTGGGATCTACCAACTCCGTCGTCGACTTCCGGACTGGACACGGACGCAGCACTCAGCCCAGCACTGCATACATTCTCTGCTTCAAGCGTGGCCATCCCGATGGAGATCGACCTGACTGGTATTTTCCCCCGAAATGTCTTCTAACATCTATTAACAGTTGCAGAAGAGGACAGCGACCAACCCGAGGACGCTGAAATTGTCCAAGCTCGGAATGCCCGACTCGACGAGTTCCGTGGTTTCACATCCACCAGTTTCCCCGCGCTTATGCTGCCTGTCGAGACGAGGCTGGCTTTGATCGAGACAGGTCACCGTCGACTTGGGATTGCGCGGGAACAAAAAATCATGCTTGTCGATTTATACATTGACGAGCACTGCCTCCCCATGTGGTCCACGTTCTACTGGGACCCTCAAGAAATCAGTCTTCATGACCATCTGCAAGAGCGCTTTGCGGCGGTAGACTTGGTGCGCAATATAGGCGAGCCGCTGCAGAGCGACTTGGTCGTCAAGGCGAATCAGAAGTTGGACGTTGCGCGCGACTTGGGTCTTACTATCGACGATATTAAGATCGGGGACGACTTACTTCCATGTCCATGCTGGGGCCCCAGGTCACCAATTCCTGATGCTTCGAAATCTTTCGAGCATGAAGAAGGAGTCGGTGGTGAGATCTATGGTGACACTGAAGATGAAAAGAGACCGTGGTCTCCCATGTCTGAGGAGAACGATTCAGACGTAGGACTCAACCACAATGCTCTCGTAAATGACAGCGAAGACGGCACAGTTTCATCGACTGATGGCGAGGAGGATGAATCATACTATTCTGATGCGACGTCGCCCCTCAACATTTTCCACGATGCAATTATTGCAGACGCACCAGATGGAGTAGAATGGGAGGTCGACCTCGAGGTGTACCTCGCACACGAAGACGACCTTGACGTGGCCAATCTGCCAGAGATTGAGCTGGCGCTTGATCGTGACGGCTATGAATACCACTTTGAGACATCGGAGGCGATTGATGTCGCTGCGGACTTTCAGATGACTTGCTCGATAAACGCGCCTGAGATCGAGCTGGAGACGTACGAAGAGGACATGGAAGACAATATCATCGATTCTGGGCGCACGAAGAATGATAAACGGAAAACTAATAGGAGAATTTCGCTTGTTGTGGAAGATAGGGACAACTGTCATGGGAATCCAAATGGTCATGGGGAAGAACCAGACTCTGATGTCTCTGAGGAGGTGACGGATTATGAGGGGGACTCAGGAGGCACGGTCGTAGATGTGAAGGATGAGCGCACATAATTCACAAGAAGTTGTTTGAAGTCATAAAGAAGAAGCTTCCTGCTCAAGTGATCGGCTTTTCGTGACCCGTGACCCTCGAGTCACTGTGTGTTGACTTTTACCTCATCTTGCTTCTCCCCTCACCCACCTGGTCACCCAAGGCCATAAGTTTGCAATCTTTTCATTTTCCACATCCTCCCTCATCTTTCTTCCCAGAGTTTCTACCGGGGATCCTTCCGCAAGCGACACCACCATGATGTGGGCAGCTTCAAGCTCTGAGGAAGATGCGCTCTTTGCCGACCGAATGATTTACTACCAGTCTGGCGCCAAACCCCCAAAGCACCACATAATCGACCCCGATGGCGATCTGATCGTCTTCCTCAACAATCCGAATACTCCGATTGCAGTTTAGAAACAGAAGGAGCACCACCCATTAATCGAAAACATCATCAAAGCAAAGCAAGTCCGGCAACCGAAAGCAACCACGAGCCCAAGAGCCAATGTTTCACCAGTTACCTTCAAAGTCTCTGCCCGAACTTTGGCGAAAGCATCATCGTAATTATCTGCGCTACTCTCTGGCAATTGGTCAGAAGCTGCGTCTGGCGAGCCGTTTGTCGTACAAGCGGAAGGCTGGATGTTTCGGCGTTTCTCTTGTATCTGCAAATTCTGCATGGAAGGTCCTTCAGAGTTCCGTTCAAGATCACGCATGAGCTTTGGGCCAAGATTGTCTTGATCATTGATCATTACGGCAGCGTCGAGGTCATGCACTTCCACACAACAGTGTGGTATGCGAACCTGAAGGAGAAGTTTGCACGCAACTACGGGAGACGGCTTTTGCTCGATCTAGCAGTGAGTTGCGCACTCCCATACCGAGCAAAGGTACCAAAGATTGCGTTCGTTGCTATTTTCGAAGCTACCCGCCGCATTCCGACTTTGGCATTGCCAATACCGCAGGGCATCGTCGGTCAGTACGCTTATTTCAACCTCCATGAGCCTTCTGACTGAAATTTTGACAGACTTGATCGATGAAATGAGGGAAGAGGCAATGACATGGTTTTTCAAAGGCTTTTATAAGCTCATTTCCGACACCTCAAGGGTGGATTTTCCAGAGGATCACAATTCCGAGTTAAATTGTATTCCAGCAAGTCTGGCCTTGTTGATCAACGAGGCAAACAACTTTAACTTACTCCAAGCGCGCCCAGTAGCTCCATACGACGGCTACAGCTTCGGTAACCTCAAGAGAGCCTTTTTGAAACAACACCTGGAAAACGAGTGCTCATTCAGGTGCGGACACGAGGGTCTGCATGCGTGCTGTAGCATCAACAAAGTGTTGGAGGACGCCCGTCAATTAGGCAACTCTCGGTGGAGGACCTTCGCTACATTCATCAGCAAAGTCGACAACACTTCATTGAGGAACAGTTGGCCTGGCAGTTTTGAGGGTTCCAAGGGCGAATGCAACGACGAACACCTGCTGTTCAACAATTGATTCGCAATTTGAGAAATCATCCCCTCAGACAATTTGCCCAACTCAAAACTACACTCTAGGTCTTACTTTGCGCGTCTCACAGGTCAGCTACTGCAGAACACTATCTTCTTAGTCTCCTCAATCATTTCCAGTTTGACAGGGTGATGGTTCAATCAAACGAGATCCCAAAGCTTCAATGTTCTTATCAGTTGGTACAGCCGCTACAGTGTGCTTCGCGTTCTCAGTGCCTAGCATTCCAAATAGGCAGCTGAGTTGCTCATGACTGTCGCTGTGTCGGCGGAAGCTGTACATGTAAGTAATGTACCCCATCTTGGAGTCGCGAGTAGGGAATCGGTTATGTCATGCCTGGTTAGCGTGTAGTATTCGTCCGTTCGCCAAATTCCATATCGTAAATTGTCGCACCACCCGGGTACCGGCAACGCCATTCCCCGTAAGCAGTGATCAGCAAGCTACAAAAGTACCTGTTCATGTTGATCACTGATAGGCGACAAATGCCGCCTCTGCGGCTTGGGCTCGAAGGCGACGTAAACGGCTCGCTCTCCTCTCCCACTGAGCACCCGTCTTCCTCATGGCTTGTCTCAACGACAATTCATTCGGTCCCGCGGTACGAGGATGTCGCGAAGACTTTGACTATACGCAACGTTTCGGGGAACTCGTATTGGCATTGGTGCCTGCAGCCATCCTCGTCGTCTTGTTGGGGCGGGCTGGTGCGCTGCAGCCTGTTTACTAAGACAGCCAGAAGTCATCGAGGGTCGATTGTTCCAATGGCTCAAAATTGTGAGACAAGCAACGTCTTTTACCAAGTCTGAAAGCTGGCTTGTCGCATGTGCTGGCTGTGTCGTTGACTGCGACGCAATTAGGCCGTGTCGTGCTGACCACGCAGAGCGATCACCATCCATGGGAACCTGAGAATCACTTCCCCCTGAGTCCAACTCGCCCCAGTGCGGCAACACCAAGATCGAGAATGTCTCGGCTTTCTACAAGGGGTCCAGTCTGGAGAACAGGTATGAACTCGATCTGAAAAGTCTCACCGTGGAGATCCGTGCAGTGTCGCGCTTTGTGGTCGAACAGAGCGGCAAATCGTCACTCGTCCTCCTGCTCCTCTGCCTGCTTGATCATATGGAGGAGAGCGTTTCTCCCATCACCGTCGACGATCTTGAGCTCACCAGTGTCGCTCGCGAAACTGCTCGTAAACACGTCATTGCTGTCTCGCAGGACCCCATCTTACTCCCGCCTTCGCAATACTCGGCCATCCGCACCAACCTCGACCCATATCAGGAAGCCAAAGACGAAGGAATCTACGAGGCGCTGCGACGCGTCACCTCAAATTGCCCATCTCCCCAAAGAACGGGGATCTACACAAGGGTGTCGACGACCATCGATCTCCTCAGTCAAGGCCAACGACAACTCTTCAACTTCGCCCGTGCTATCGTGCGTCAACTCGTCCGTGGTCGACATGGTGTCTGGCAAGGCATTTTGCTGCTTGACGAGATATTCTCGAGCGTGGACCAGGAGACGGACGAGATGAAGTGGAAGATTATCGAGGATTTCTTCGAGGAGTAGACGACCATTATTGTGGCGCACCGTTTGGACTGGGGCGGCCATGTGTGATCGCGTTGTCATGTGCGCGGTTCAGATTGCGGAGGTGGAAGCCTTGATGGCTCTGATCGAGCAGGATGGAGGGATGTCTAGGGAACTGGGATGCCCAGAGGCAGAAGAAATGAGGACTAGATGGTATCAGCTGAGGTTCAGGAGTGGTGGGATGATGTGTCTGAGATAGGAGGCAAAGCGTGATTCACTTATGTGCGTGCGGCACCTCATTCACTCACTCTCAATTCTTGTTGGGAGAGGCTGATCTCAAGCTGACATGGAAGTGAGACGAAATCAAGTACTGGGAACTCAACAGCAGAAGTGCAATTAAAGTACATGTTGACCTCAGACCAACAGTGACCGTTCCATGAGCTCGCCATGGCTTTATGACGCAGTTTCAAGGGCATCGGCTGGAACTATCTCGATCCGGAAGTCCCCTCTCTGTAAACACTCAGGGGCTCTCTCCTCAATGTGGTGGAGGGGAAATTTCTGTATTCTCGGTATGTTTGATTCGAGTTTGTAGCATCCAATTTGTCAGGTCTTGTTGCTTGTGAGTACACAGATAGAGCATTGCCAATCCGAGCAAACCACACAACCAACTTCAACAAATTTGTGAGCCCCAAGAGTCTGAGATCCGTCCGTTTGACAGAGACGAATGGATCCAGGTGGTGTTGGCAATTGAACTGTGGTATTCTTTGAGGTGCTCGGAGAAATTGAGAAACTGCCTGGGCTTCTTTGGTTCTGTCACTCTGCAAGTTGCGGTCAGCATGTTTCCACGCACAAAAAATGACCATCCGGTGCGGAAACTCCACCGTGGCGGTTTGATTCCGGCTATGCAGCCTTTCAACATAGGAGATGGGAGTCGTGAGACCCGCAATTCATTCTCTCACAAACACAAACACAAACGGCCCAGCTTGCCATGGCCTGCCTTAGTGGCGGCCCGGTGCTTCACGTCCGCTCACTGGGGGATCTGCCCATTCTGAACCTCGCCAATGGCCCTGTTCGTCATCCAGATTGCTGCCTGAGCTTGTCGTCCAAATTGCTTACCATTCTCGCGGACATTTTCCCACGGTCGTCCCCGCCATCATCAACCGTTCTCTCTGTCGGCAGCGGCAGCGGTCTCCTGGAAGCCCTTCTCTTCAATTATGCACAAAATACTCTCAACGTTGAAGGCGTGGAAGTGCATCAGCAGGACGATACCGAGGTCAACAGGTACCTGCCTGAGCCGTGCTACCACACCGTGCGTGGAACATGGGATCTCTCACCACGACTACGCGATGCAGATGTTGGTGGACTGATGTTTGTCTACCCACGTCAGGTGGGTTTGGTACGTCGCTACGTTGAGGCCGCATCTTCTTTGCAAGCGCAGCACGTCCGCCACATTGTCTGGCTAGGACCGCAGGCCGACTGGGCAGATTTCAAGGTGGCCTTTGCTGGGGTCCGCGATCCAGAAATGTGGAAAATGGGGATGTTGAGCGGGGAGGAAGCTGGGCTGGAGGAATTCGAGATGATGGCGATTCTGCAGAGGTCTGGCAACTGAGTCTCTAGGTGACTTGTCCCTTTGTCACCAGAAGGAGAGCTAGTCTAGAGTTGCTCCAAGTGGGCTGTCCGCCCACGGTCACTCATGGTCCTTCAACAACAACACGCACGGCTATTGAAACTCGCGACGGCAGCAAGCGAGCGAAGCCCTGCAACGAGCCCCCTCTGTAGGCACTTTGCTTATTGATCCTTGGATGCGCCCAGTTTGGTTCGCCGAGCTGTGAGATACATTCCAAGTTGAAGTGGGCTGGCCAGAGGCGGCCAGAGAGGGAGTCAGCCCACTGCGTCCACAGCTCGTACGCAACACCCAACACAAAGTGCGGCCGATTCATTTCAATGCGTACATTCCACCTTCAATTGGATTGAAGCACATTCTCGGTATTTTCCTGGCGATACGAGCGGTGCTATCTCCGTGGACCTAGTCCTTCACTAGTACCATCTCGCTTGCGTCATCCTTCGTCGTCGCGTACTTGGAGCTGGAACGCTCCCCGCCTACCTCAACTCACCGAGCTCACAACTCTCTCCCTTGCCTCATCAAGAGCAACCAACCTTGCGCATCAACAAATATTTAATCAATAAATCAGCATCGAAGTAGCATGTCTTCAGACACGAGCACGCACAACGGCAACGTGCGCGCGACCGCACAGACCCAGGCATCCAATGTCTATTCTGTCGCTCAGCGCTCCCTCGACCGCGTCGTCCTGGCATCCTCGCGCCAGGCCGCGTACGAGAATGCGTCCGAGTTCGCGCACACAAGGCCAATCCTCTTCGTAATACCCTCCCCTCTTTCCCATAGACATTTGCGTGCGCACAGACGGACTAACACGCTACAGTCATTCGTAGTCGCGCAGCTCGCATTCTCCTTCCTGCCCTTCCTACTCTTCATCGCGTTCAGCGTGTCGACCGTCGCGTTGGCACTCGGCGTTGCCGTGGTCTTTGGTCTTTTCTGGATAAGCGTTGCTTTCATGGTTCTCGTCCCGACGCTGCTGGTCACGTCTTCTATTGCGGTGTCGGTCTGGGGCTGGGCTATCGGGAGCTTCCTCGTTGCACGATGGCTCTACGTCCACTCGCCTATTGGTGTCAAGGGAGACATGCAGGTAGATGCCGCGGGTCGCAAGATGGAGGTTGTTAAGAACGAGAAGGGCGTGGATGGCAGAGTTGAGCGAAAGAATTGAGCTCGATAGCACGCGCGCACTTCCACAACAAATGCATGGATAAAAACTCGTGTTTCCAGTGCTTTGCATTCCTAGAGACCTGTCTATCCCATCCCAGCAGTTACGTATTACAGATACAGACCCTCTGGCTCGCCCTCCTGCTTGGTACGGAGCACACGCTCACGCGCAGATCGCAAATCTGCCATCTGCACGCGCATTCTGCGCTCGCGTAGCGCCAGCATACCGGCCTCCGAGCAGATCGCCTTGATGTCGGCACCTGACAAGTCGTCCTTTTGCGAGATGAACTCCTCGAGGTCGACATCTTCGCTCAGGTTCATCTTGGATGTGTGCAGTGTGAAGATCTTGCGCTTGGTGTTCTGGTCGGGATTCTCAAAGAGGATCTTTCGGTCGATACGGCCCGGTCGGATCAGGGCAGGGTCGAGTGTGTCGATCTTGTTGGTGGCCATGATGACCTTGACGTCGCCGCGATCATCGAAGCCGTCGAGCTGGTTCAGCAGCTCCAACATGGTACGCTGCACCTCACGCTCGCCGCCGGATGTAGACTCGTATCGTTTGGTGCCAATGGCGTCGATCTCATCAATGAAGACGATAGAGGGTGCATTCTCTCCAGCGACCTAGTAATGTCAGTCGTAATCCCACACTGGATAGTCTAAGCACATACCTGGAAGAGCTGGCGCACCAGACGAGGGCCGTCACCGAGGTACTTTTGAATGAGCTCGGAACCCACAATACGCAGGAAAGTGGCAGATGTCTGGTTGGCAACAGCCTTGGCCAGGAGCGTCTTTCCGGTACCAGGGGCACCGTAGAGGATTACACCCTTTGGTGGCTTGATTCCCATCTCCTCGTACATCTCAGGATGTAGCAGAGGCAGTTCCACGGACTCTCGCACCTCTTGGATCTGTTGCTCCAAACCACCAATATCCGCGTACGACTCTGTTGGCGCCTTGTCAAGCTTCATCACACTCACAATCGGGTCGGCATCGTCCGTCAGCACACCGACAATACTGACACTCTTGTGGTGCAGCAAGACGCTGGCTCCGGGCTCCAGGAGGTCTTTGTCGACGAAGCTCATGATGCTGACGTAGTACTCGGGGCCAGTGGTGCTGCTCACAATGGCATGGTCGTCATCGATGAGCTCCTCCAAAGTGCCCACGCCCATTGGACTACCCCTCATGTCGTCAACGCGGCCACGCTCGTCGGCCAGCCTATCCTGATCGGCCTCATTGGCGGTGGCAGAGCCCTCCTTAGCAGCCTTGGCCTTGCGCAATCGCTCCTGGTTCTCGACGTATTCTTCTTCGAGGAGCAGGTGGTCGTGTATGCGCTGCATTCGCAGAAGACGGAGCTTGCAGCGACTGGTAGGGTAGACGGCGGGGAGCTTCGCGGCGGCGCTGGAGCCAGCCGCCTTCTTCTTCTTGCGGCCGATGCGGGTTGTCGGGCGAGGCGGAGGCTCGTACTTCGGCTTGTCCTTCTACGAGGGGGTCAGTCAACTGCGCAATGTAGCGAGCCAGAGAGACGAACCTTCTTATCCTTGTCATCCTTGCCATCTTGGCCGCCCATGCCAGATTGGCCTTGACCCTAGCTGATGTCAGTACAAGGCTCTTTGGCGCCGTCTCGGGCTATTTACCATCTTGGCGGACTGCTTGTGTCTGTCTGATGAGCTTCTCTATCTCCTATGCGCTTTTGAGCTTGTTCGAGCGGCGACGCGGGTGGGCTGCTTGATGAGCTGATATGCAGGCAGCTGGCGCTGGTGCTTTGGCGTTGGATGATGATGGAATCGAAGCGACCCGCCAGGCGCCAGCCTAACACGACAGCTTGGATCGGGTCACGTGCAGATTAGTGATCCACCACGCGCCCTGAATTTGGCTTCAGCAACTACGTTGCTTTTGTCGGAGCCCTCCACGTGTGTGCAGCGACAGTGTTCCAAAGGAACCTTGCGCAATCATGCTATGGACTGCGGAGTATGGCAAATCAACAGTTCGACTTCAGTACCAGCCGGCCACGGTTTCTCACTACGTACGGCGCACCACTTTCAGTGAAAACTGATATGACAGACTGCCTGTGGTACACAGGTGATGGTCGACTCGATAAGCCGACCATACCACGGCATCGTGCCTGCAGACCGAATCCGATTGAATGACTCGAGAATGCTCACCTCGGGATATTCAACGTTCACCCGGTCGTGATCTGCGCGTAATCACTCGCCTGGTCCTTACTCCAGCCTGTCTTTTGAGCCTCAACGACCCAGCCCTGCCATCAGGGACTTTCTTGGGCTATAAAGTTATGAGAGACATCCAGCGGCCCATGATTTTAAATGAGCGGAGTCACGATTACCCCGGGCAAGTATGAGCATATCAATATAAGTACGAACAAAAGGTCAGGACAACCTATCTGATCTCCTAGGTGGGGCCCAATTCCGCAATCGAGTTTCGCAGAGTCCAGCCATCAGCTATCTTCTCTCCTCTTTGCTGTCGTCCAACCACCCTTCTCTGTCAGAGTCCCGTGCGCATAGTTCGCATCTCTATTTTCATAGTCAAAACTATTAACGCCATCGAGAAACACATGATTGTACCGCCAATCCCAAACGGCTGCATAGACGGCCCTGTACGACGCGAAGGCTGTGGCGATCCCAATGAGTGCCCCCCCGACAATGTCATACCAGTGGTGCATCCTGTCGACGGTGAGGAGGCCGCAGTTGATGCAAGCCAGTAGGATGGGCATCGCTGTGACTGTAACCCTCCAGATTTCGGTTCGACGGTTCGCCCACACTTTGAGTTTGGCGTTCAGCCAGAGAAACAGATAGACAGACGCCGCGAGCCCGGCGGCACTGTGTCCGCTGGGGAAGGATGTCATGGCGTTCCGCATCGAAGTTTTGTCTGTTTCCGTGCATATGGTCGTCGTGTACATGATGTCCCGAAACCCATTTCCTTCCGGGGCACTAATTGAGGCGTTGAGATTCGGTTCACATACGTCGAGAAAACTCGGCCTCAGGCCGCCGACCAACACTTTTAGAACGACTTGAATCAGTGTCGCCAGCAGGACGGAGTGTAAGTGACCCAGGACGGCAGCATCCCAGTCCCAGAACGAGCGTAACCACCATTGCGCAGTCGTGAAAACGCCAAGGGGCAGAAAGACGGCGAGACAGCCGACCACGATGGAGGAAAGGATCCATTCCCTCTCTGGATATGCCAAGTCGGTGTTGACTACTGTGCGCTGGGTGTCCTGATACACGGCGAAGCGGCGCTCGAACGGGGGCGACACCCTGTCCATCTTGATGCGTCAGTAGACGAAACAGAGACAATGTCTTGGGTGCGAGACTTACAAATAATGCTATTGCACCAAGCGCAACACACCAGAGTAGGTCTGGCCAGCGGCGACGCCACCAGAGGATGAGCGCAGCTAGAGGGCGAGGACGTACGGACACCGGAAGGTCGAGGGGCATTGTGAGAACAACCAAAGATCTAAAAGGCTGAGGGGAACAGCGAGTAGACTTTTAGTTCAAAGGCAAGGATGATTGGTAATATGTAGATGATGCAGTGTATGGAACAGGGGCACATCGGCTGCATAAGATGATAACATCAAACATTGAACGCGCAACTTCCCTCGACTTTATTTGGCCTTGCCCGCACCTTCTATTTTAACCTTCTTTTGAACTCGAGCTCTGCAGTACCACTTGTCTCTCCTCAAAGCGCGTGATCTTAAAGACTTTATGTGCCGCCGGGTATGCTGGCTTCTCCAAGACGAAGTCCAGCGGCGTCATCAAAACACTACCTCTACCCCGTCTTTTCGTCCGTCTTCATGCCATAGGGTGGGAAACAGCTCTTCCTTCCCGGATAGCCACAGGGATTTCGACCAGCCGGGGCAACGAACGTGGCCTCTGTGGAATGCTGCGCGCCAGCCTCGTTGCTTTTGGTCTGGTTGGACTCGTGGACGTCCTTTGGTGATTGTCAGTCATTGGCCTAATTATCGCTGGATTCAATGGACGTGCCTCTTGGCTTGTCGGTGACGCGGCGGTTTCATTGTTCGATGGCTTGTCTGGAGACTTATTTGGCGCCTCGCGAGCTGCGATGCTCTGATTTCCCATGGCGATGCGGATATTCGGGGTGGATAATGCACATTTGATCTATTCTTCGGACATGGACCAATGTCGATGTATACCAGGAAGAGGTCAAAACACCAAATGGCTATGATGCACACGGGCAGAGTGCACGAGCGAAAGGTGAAAAGCAGGTTCACAAGATGACGTGTGCAAGACTCACTGGAGCACAAAAGAGACATCGGAACGTTACACAGTATCAACAAACATCTTTTGATCTAATCAGCACACCTAAAAAATGATTGGTCCGTACAGGAGTCCGAAACGCAAGCAATGCATCCAAGTCAATTAAAACTCCAAACCGATCCTTTTTCGACAAAGAATGGCTTGTTCGAAAAGCCATCCGCTTACAGGAGAACAACACCAGCACCAACGCCAGCAGCGACGACCATGTACAGGCCGACGGCGGAGTTGAAGACGCGGGCGATGGGGGCGTTGGTGATACCAAAGTCCTCGTCGTCAGCCTCGTCAGAGTCGCCGGTGGAGGCAGGCTCGGACATGGCGCCAGTGGCAGTAGCAGCCTCGGCGTTGATCTCGGAAGCAGAGGCGAGGGCGTCGGCGCAGTCGTCGTCATCGTCAGCATCCTTGGTGGAGGCCTGGCCGTCAAAGTCGCAGGCATCTGAGGCATTGTCAAGAGCCTCGTAATACATGCCCAGGAGGATGGTGAGCTTGGATTTGGCGTCGCAGGCCGAGTAGGCACCGTAGATACCGGTGGTGGCGTTACCGTTGATGGCCGTGCAGAGTTCGCCCTCGTTCTCGCAGATGAAGTCAAAGATGTCGCCGTAGTCTTCCTTGTCAACGTTGTCCTTGACCTGGCAGCCAGAGGCGGCAACAGCGCAATCGCAAAGTTCCTCGCTGGGGGTGGGGGGCAGACGAGCGTTGGCCCTCCAGAACTGGGAGAGCTCGGGGCACTCCTCACGTTCGTGCTCCTGGTCGTAGTCGTCCTCGTCGACACCCTTGGGGTCGACCTCGGCGTGGGCCTTCTTGAGCTCGTAAAAGTTGTCCATCCTCTGGGGCTTGTTGTTCTTGTACTCGACGACACCATAGTCGTTGTCCTCCTGGTGGTACATGTATACGAGGCCACCAGAGAAGACGCTAGTCATCTCATCATTGAAGAGAGCACGAGTGTCCTCGAAATCACGACCCTCGGCGCCACCCTGAGTGTTGCAACCGTACTCGGCGAAGAAGACGGGAACGTTGTAATCCTTGTAGTAATCGACCCAGTCGGCGTAGCCAGACTCCTGCATGGAGGAGTCACCGCACCACGAGTAAATGTTGTAGCCCCAGAAGTCAGTGGCCTCCTCATCCTCACCGCAGTTGAAGTAGGTGGCAATGTCATCGCGGATGTCAGGGTGGTCGTTTGTAGCGTAGCCGACACCAAGCCCGTAGCCCTTCTCCTTGATGTGGGCCTTGGTGTCACGAAGGGCAGCCTTGACGTAGGCAGAAGCCTCGGTGTTGTTGTTGGCATCCGAGACCTCGTTGCCGGCGAAGAAACCGATGACGTTGCTGTAGTTGGCCAGCTCATCGACAACGGCCATGTAGCGCTTGTAATGGTCGACAGTCCACTCGGGGGCGTCACGGATGATGGACAGCGCAGGCTGGGAGAGATCAGAGATGACATAGATGCCAGCCTCGTCGAGTAGCTCCATGCACTCGCTGTGGTCAGCGCTGGGGTTGATGGCATAGGTGCGGATGGTGTTGATGCCAAGCTCCTTCAGCAGAGGAACGTCCTTCTTGCAGAGGTCGGGCTGAGCGAGGGGATCCTTGTACTTGTCGCTGTCATCGTTGGTCTGACCCTTGGCGGATGACTCCTCCTGGTAGGCGATACCCTTCATGAAGAACTGGGTACCGTTCTCGTAGAAGAACTTCTGGCCCTTGATGTGAATGGGGGCGAGTTCAGCGGTGGCATAGCTCGCCAGAGCGAGCATGGAAAGTTTGGACAGCATTGTGAATAATACCCCAAGTTTGCTGGTGGATGAATTTGTTGATTCTGAAAAAAAGACGTGTGACGCGAACGCGGACGTGCGAAAAGAGAGTCGGGAAGATGAGGCCTGAGAGGGAGGCGGCGAACCTCGGACTACCGATGAGCCGGGTAGAGGGCAAGAGCGTTTCTAAAAAGTGGTAAAGAATTAGTGAAGGAGGAAAAAGCGCGTGACAGAAGCGATTGTCGTTGATCGAAGAAGGAAGAAGGAGGCGAGGGAAAAGAAGCAGGCGCCGTCGCGAAGATGAAGGGTTGCCAAGCTCAGACCAGCGGGGAGTCGAGCCCCTGAGGGCTGTCATAGAGTCCCCACATTCTCGAATTAGGCGATACTACGTCTGCTTCACGAGCCAAACGCTCTGGAGAGTATCGAGGCGCAGCAGCTGCCACGGCGCTGGGCAATTGGAAGTTCGTTCCATTGGCAGGTCTGCAGCCAATGGTGGGCGCCGATGCTGCAAAAGGACTGCAGGGGTTTGGCGGTGACACAGTGCATTCAATCAGAGTGCGATGGGGTCCACTAGCCTTACTGTAATCTTAGAGCTGTTATCAGCAACACAGCCAAGTGTGGTACGATTCTGCTAGCCTATTCCCAAGAAGCGATAACGTTTTACGCTTGTTTCAAGCATAATGCTGAGGGAACGTCCGGCACACTGTGTCTTAGACTCACGTAGCCCATCACGAGAGGGAAAAAGGGGGCAATCTCCAGTGCATCTCACCCATGCAACAGGCTGTCTGGGACTGAAGACTCACACCGTGCCTGCTCATTTTGATTTCGATGCCTTCATCAGGTTCATCGCCACCACTCTTCGAGAGGTTCCCAAGACCGCCAAGTAATGTGTACGCAATCGCATCCGTATGCATAAATCATTGCCACAAACCATTGACCTCACTAGCTCGCAATTTCTGCTCCTGCTCAGAGTTCTTGTATGAAGCTGACGCGTTATTACTGGGCAACCTTAAGAGCCCATTTTTCCCACGTCCCCACGGATAGTCATGGATCGCCTCGTCAAATTTGGGGCCTGTCCACAAAATTCGCTTCTTCCAACGTCGTGCTAAGTTCTAACAAGGCCTCAAACGGTACCAGGCTCAGGTCTAACTAAAATTACGACGGGCGGTAGATCACTCATACGTCTCACATCGCGCCGGACAGACACCCTCCCCAGTTGGGTCTTGTCGTGCATGCCGCTTGAGAGCTTGGCTTCTTGATGGCGGGACGCCTGCTCCATGACTTGACAATTGCCGAGGAAATCTTTCTGAATCCTTGCTATTCTCGAAGCTTATTTTCTTATTGATTTGCAGGACGTCGATAGATTGAGGAATCGTGGCAGTGAAACGCCGCATTCCAGGTGCAGAGCGAAGATCGTGACGTCCTCTCGTTTCAGATTGCGTGTGCTACAACTGGGCTCAACACGATTGGCCTGCCCACGCCAGTAAGACTTGGAAGCGCTGTCTCATCGGCCAAAAACCTCTTCATAAAGTGTGCCAATACCGTGAAGGACTTGGTCCCACGCGTCGTGCACCTGCTTCAAACCCAGGCGACGAGGCGTGTGGGTAATCGCGCGACGCGTCGTTCGCAGTGTGCTCGGCGTGAGTGGTCATAACGTCTGAGTCTATCATTGGACCACAGCTTTCGTGGATTTGCAGATGGGTTGATGGTGGTTCAATAACAATTTCTTCCTATACGTACGGAGTCCTGAAAAAAGTTTGGCTTGAGCTTCAACCCCAGGGCCCACGAGCTTAAATATAAGGTTGCTTTGCGCGACACAGCCTCGTTTTGTAGCTTATTTCAATATCGCCGTCGACGATCACATCCCCCCTCATCGTGACGCAAAGGCAGCCAGATAGGGATGATTGCCCGTCAGGTGAGTGAATGGTCCGGCTTTCACTGAAGCAATACGCAGTCGACTCTGCCACGTGATGCACGATGTGCCCCACTAACCATCGTTGCCACCATTCACCCAAGGCGTAAGTGTGGTTTCACAATCATGCTCGGTGTTTGACGACAGTCTGGTCATATTTGCTGATGCCTGAAATTATCACGACTCGCATCTCAAGTGAGTTCAAGTTCGCATAAGTTCATGACCGGTCATACTGATCAAGTTTATTTTAGTACTGAGAAGGGGATAGTGTCTATACTGGTCGTTACTCGTAATATAAAGTCAAGGGTATCCTATCGCAAAGCGCCGAAAGTGAGGAGGAAAAAGCATCAGGGTGTCGTGTCCGCACATGAAGGGTAAGGTACGCCAAACACGGAGGCCATGCCCCATACGCGCGCGCTCCTCTCACGCGCCTGGACCTCGAGGATACGCTGCGTCGCACTCGACAGCGCCCACCTCCGTCCCGCGAATAGGCGTGCTAGAGGGTTGTGGAAGCTGAACGGCTGCCGCGGTGCACCTGCCAGGGGCGCGTTGGTCGGCATGAAATCCTCCAAGGATCTGTTCAGGACAGAACCGGCTGTTGTGCGGTATTGCTGCTGCGATCCATCCAGGACGGACCAGGAAAGACGACTCCATGGCTCCGCCGCCTCAAAGAGCTCCGCGTCGAACCTTTCCAAGTCGTCCACGGACATTCGAAGGAACTCCAAGTAGGTCTTCATCAATCGGACGACGTCGTTGGCGCGGCAGTCCATGAGATTGCGGCTCCTCCATATGGTAGTCGCATGGTACGCATGCTCTCGTTCGCGGGCGTTACCTAGATCCGCCAAAAGCCAGTGCGTAGCCTCTGTCGGTGGCAATCTCTCCGTGGCATTGTGCCTATTGCCCAGGAAGATGTTGTCCATTTTCAGATCATCGTGGCACAGGTCGTGATTTGCGTGCATATCTTCTAGGGCCTGGAGCACTCTGTTTAGTGAAGGGCGGAAGATGGTGTCCAGATCACGTGCTGTATATACAGACTCTGACTCCCGCAGCCGCTGACCGAGCTTCCCCAGGTTCCCATTCGCCTGGAATTCTGTGACAAAATGCCATTTCCGGGACTGAAGCTGGTCCTTCGCTGGTGGGGAAGCCAGAAAGTAGTCTATCACCGGCAGGAAACTAGCGTCGTCTTCGATCGTTTCCCCACGCCCTCTCATCCCACCCATGATCAGCGATGCTGCCACTTCAGTCGGCCACCTTTGTTCGGGCTCACGTCCGAGCATGCAGTTTCGAAGGGGCGTGTGTCGCTCCCGGTAGACTTTGATGACCACATCGCGATAGCGGAATGTCTCTCCCTCGAACCCGCCACCCAATTTTGTCCATTGCAGGCCGTCATTCAATAGCGCAGCGCGCGAGTACGCTGATTTGTCCGTGGAGTCTTGGTATGGCGCAAGCTCCGTTGATTCATTCGATTGCCATTGTGGATCGGCGAGACGGATCTGCTCCTCGACAGAAAGCCTGGTGAACTGCGTCGGGCTGTACTTGATGGACAGCTCCCAGCGTGCTGTGCAAAATTTATCGTAGGCGTGCAACACGCACACGAAGAGGAGGATGGCTGTGAGGACCCGCGTGATGCGATTGCTGCGCGGCGTTGACCGCAAAGATGCCCACGACCGGCGCCTCCAGGTACTGGGACTCGTTGGCCTTGACTGTTTGGGCATTTTCAGGCCCTGTATATCGAATAAGGGATAATGGTGTTTACTCTGGGGAAGGGCTTGCTTTTGTAGGTGGACTCTGTAAGTATGTAACCGTATGTCATCGACGATGCTGTTGCCGTCACACGCGACCGGCCGCATAAAGATTCTGCCCTGTCGCCGGTACTCGTTGCTTGGCAAATTCCTTTCTCATCTGAGAGCCAAGCATGTGCAGCTGGGGCGACTAAGGGCCCTGTTGTGCGTCACTTCAACGTGTGACCATCCGCCCAGAGGGCAGTACAAGCTTGGCGCCAATGCCTCAGCAGCGTATTTCGGGAGGGGCTCCTGAGACCTCAGTCGTGAACTAATTGAGGCGCTGACGACAGACAAAGCGGTAGGACTGGGGGCGCGACGTGCGTCGGGGGCCATTGGTTTGCCGTCAGACCACGCCGCAAATGCCGATGACGGCTGAAAATAAACCTGGTTGCACAGCTAATTAGGTTGCTGTCCTGCTTCTGTCTTTGCAAAGCAAGGCAGCGGCGGGGCTTGGCTCCAGCCCGTTTCGAATGGAATTCTGACGCGACAGGAACGACTGGACTCCAGTCCATCTGATGGGACATTGCGCATCATAACGACTGGACGCTATCTTAAGTTGCCCATCAAATGGTGACACGCCAATCGAGGTGAGATCGACATCGGAATATTAATTTTAGATGGATAAGCAGTGGAGTCTTTCCAACTTCATGACGATATTGTGCATCCGGCCCGCCAATAATAAGGCACGGCAAGTGGGATAGCCACAGCAAAGGAGGGTTGTTATCAACGAAATCCATGAAATACCCTTGTTGGGCCATGATGAACAGCAAAAAATCAGAAATATATATATCTTTCTCCTTCAGGTGTTGGTGTCCTGGCTTGTTTGCGCCTTTGCACGTCATGGATCTGAGCACAAGTACGGGGCACACATGTACAGAATAGAAGCACGCACGGCACGAGGCTTCTCAAAGGTGCCCGGACTCACTGAGAATGATTTTGAAGCGAGACAGTCTTCGAAGTGCCCGAATCATGGAGCTCCAACTACTATTCGCTTTCCTCTCCAAATCAGGATGACTTGATTGCTGATGACACGGATCCCTTGCGCTCGTCCGAGGCAACTTCACGAGACGACAGCGACAAGATAGCCAGTCATAGCAAAAATTGACATCCTTAGAACGCCCTGAAACGGCAACGCAACAAAAGAATAATAGCACATCCTCGATCAGTCGGTTGGATCATCAGCAGGCGCAGCCTCCCTTCGGCTGTCATCCCCTTGATTGTACGTGATAGTCACGACATCAGTCCTTACGATGCGACCATTGCGCTCCTTCTTTCGCCAACCGTGGCCTTGCCTGTTCGTGTCCACGTCATCGTCCCGAAGAATGCTCTCTTGAGAACCCACATCCGTATCTCTAATTCTTGAGTCAACATGAACCGTGTGCTTGGTGCCCACATGGCTCTGATTCTTGCTGCGGTTTCGACCGTTGTCGTCCAGTTCCATGTCGCCTTTCATACGACCGCGACCCGAGGAGCCGTAGTTCTGGTATCCCGAAGACCCATTCAAGGTGCGACGGCCGAAGAGTAGATCGACTAGTGGCTGCAAGACCGGAATACAGCAAGCGATGATGATGGTGGCGGCCTCGAAGCTGCTGCACGTTAATTCACTGTCTTTCTGTTGTCCGACACACAGACTCACACAGTCCAAATTATAAGATCTGACGTTTCATACGAGAAATCGTCGCTGGCCAGCGATGGCAGACGCGTGCACTTGTAAATGGCAACAATGGTAGCACTACAAGATCAGTGCCTGAGCAACATCTTGGCAAGATCGGACTAGACTCACATTGACCCGATACCCAGGGCCACACATAGCGCAATCTTCTTTCGGACGTTGAGCTGCAGCTTCCACAGCACAACAGCCGGATACACGGCGAGGTATAGATCGGTCACGGCGGAGAACCCTGGAAACGACTGTCAGTGAATGGGCCCTTTCTCTCCAGATAAACATGCTTACCACCGGCAAAGATGGAAAAGTCAACGAGAACCCACTTGTCAATACAAGTCTTCTCGGTGATACTAAAATTCCACAGTGACTCCGTAGGTGAACACTGGGCATACAGGATGACGACGCAGCCGAGCTGAGCACCCACACAGAGCAGCGCCAAGGTCCAAAGGAAGATGCGGTGCCACTTGCGGGGAACTAATAGGCGCTGGAGCAGTGCGACCACAGCCAGCTTGGGTATGCTAAAGGACGTGACAGCAAAGGGTATTCCGAGGGTCGTCCAGAAGATGGCGCCTTGCTTGTCGTTGAGACTGAGAGTGTCGAAGTGTTTGCCGTTGCCATTCTGTGTTGCGACAATGGCCGTCGCCACGCACGTCCACAGGCAGGGCTGGCATGTTAACTTTCTGGTTGTCACGTGAAAGGAAGAAGTGCGTCCAACATACAATAGACGATGCCACAAGCCAGTCGTCGAGATGCATCTTGCCCATGATCTTCTGCCTCGTGAAGAGCCGGGCGGCAACAAAAATGGTGCTCAAAACCGAGAGCGTGACAGTCACCGCCACGATGGACGGGGCCTTGTTCGCAGCAAGATATGAAACGGTGTGATGAGGCAGCAACGACGGCTCCGCATTGGGATCCCTCGGTGCATCAGCAGAACTGGTTTGAGGTGCCATTGTGTCCTAGCCTTTGATGGCGCAAAGGTGAGGTTGTAAGAAGATGTTTTGAGCTGTCAAGGCTGTCCAGCGCAGAAGGAGGCTATTGCAATAAAAGATTGAAGGAGAAAAGAGTGACTATCGATGACTGTCTGACAGTTTCAGTCTACCTTGGGGCCGAAATGAGTGGGATACCTATTTAATAAAAGCATTCAATGGAATAGGGGCGTCGACGCCTCTCTCGATAAGGGTGGCCTCTGAGGGCACGGCTTGGGTCGAAGACCATGGACAGCTTTCCCTCTTCCAGATCGGTATAGAAGCAATGAAGATCTCGTGGCAGTCCGGTTCTGCGGGTTGTCCTGCAGAATACCGCCACAGAGGCTGAGCCCGCATTGTCCTCGACGGCCTGTCATGTTGTGTTTCCGACTCGTGCCGCTCGCAGCCTTCGTACCAAAATTATGAGACATTGTCTGTGCCGTCTGCTGTGGCTTTCTTCATCCGTGTCCTTTACTTATGTGCCACACACTGCTTATCGCCTTACTTACAACGTAACTTTCTCCTTGTGACTCGGCACTCGAGCGTTTGTCCCCACGAGAAAAAATCCGATTGCCGCCCAGAATACAGAAATCCTAAACCAATTGTCTCCTTGGAATGCATCCATGTTGCTTCATGGGAGCTTTGTCTTCCAGCAACGGGGCGTTAAGTATGTACTGGTGTCGCGGGGTTATTCTCTCCCGGCTGCCCCAAAGACGGGGATGCTTCAGGAAATGATTCATCATATATCACCGCGAGGGGTGGGCCAATCAAAACTCAGAAAGCTGCATGCATGCATGTGTGGCCTAGAATCAGCCTGGAAGTCCAAGTGCTTTGCCACCTCTCAGACTCTCACCCTCCCGCATATGATAATATCTTAATTCATATCCAGCTCGATGCTTCTACCGTTCTACTTCAGTACTATAATTGCTCGGACTGGCCATCTTTATACCAAAGACCATCTTTATGTGAGAACTGTGTGAGTTTGTGTCCTCCAAAGTAAAAAAAAGAAAGACATCGGAGGGCAGGATCGGGATGAATTATCCCAGATGACTGGGTCGGTTGTCAGCGGGGAGGGGCTGTATCACATCCGGGGCAAGGGGCCGGCAGCCGGCTCGCATCCCGGGGCCCCGTTGAAAAAGTGTGGAAATTAACCATGAAGTTCCACCCCTTCTACGGAGTACTATGGATAAACCTCTCCACGATACTGAAGCTTAATGAGAGGTCAATTTACTAGATAGCTCATTAACACTACCAAGTATCACCGCACACGGAGAGCCGCGGCAAACTACAAGACGTCAATAATCCGTGAGACAGAGACATACTAATAGGCCCTACTTCGTACACCCTTTTCTACATGTACAGTTGCCTATCAGAGTTCTTGACGCGTCGGCCGCACGCTTCATCCATGCCCCCCGGCTGGCCAAGCTGCCAAATCACCCCACAAACCAACACAAATGAATCATGTTGATGGTGACAGCTATTGTAACTTGAAGTGATAGGCTGTTGTAATAGACTTTCGTGACGATCACGATCTTGGTACTCGTTTAGCTCCAGTCGAGGTCTAATAAAACGCTTTGACCTCACGTAACTAAGAGCTGTGCCTGCTCCATGAAGAGCCACATCCGTCTGGAGCTACTATTGTAAAATTTCATTTCTCAAACGAGGCCGGCACTATTGCAATCCGTTGAAAGGGGCTGGTCGCACCTAAGAGAATCTTCGAGCTTGCGTACCACAGTCTTCATGCAGTATGCAGCTAGCAGGTCCACAGTACAACCAACAGCCTCGAATCGCGTGCGACAACATCCCACGTGGTCCATCCCACTGTTCGGCAGATATTTGTATGCAGGTTTGGGCCCCCTCTTCCATGCATTAGGGGCTGGACATTTGGATAGCTACGCTGGTGTTTCTTGTGCATAATCGCCTGCTGCGGACACAATGTGTTAAGTCCTGGATAGATGCAGGGTTCTCAGGTTGGGGCTCTCGGACTGATGACAAGAAACCTCCATTCCCAGACTCCCAAAGGTCGTGGCCGTGCAGAGCCGAGGCATATTAATAAAACTGTCAGAACTCACCCAAGTCTATCGTGATGCATTTCGTCTTTCCCCCATTCTCGCAGTCTTATTGTCCAAATACTTGGCCTGTGTCCGCCCCAATTGCATCTGTAGCCGCACCCGCGCGTTCCTTCTTCACCTCTGTACATCGAGGGTATGACTGTCAGCAACGGAGACGCAAAACCCGCAGAGGTATCTGTCACCTCCATCACCGGTGCCACCGCCGTGCCGTCTTTGATCAAGCAGATCAGTGCTCTGGGTGATAACTTTGACGAGAACACCAGCGATGAGACTCGTCTGAGTCTGTGCCTGAAGGCTAGGGCCCTGTGGAAGGCTCTTGAGGCTCCCCGTGAGACGATGATCCGCCACTGCTGGGGTCAGGTATTTCTCGATCGTCTTGAGAGCCAAGGAATGCATCCAGTCCGACGCCATTCAGCCTGTAGCCTTCTGCGCTCTGACGGCCGGGACAGAGAAAGGCATCTGGGAGTATCTCGCCTAACACGCCGGCCTCTTTAAAGCAGCCGAAGTCGTCAAAGCCAAAGACATCGCTCCTTCCATCCTGTGCCGCCTGATGAAGCACCTTGCTGTCATGGGATACCTGAAGGAGCTCGGCCCCGACACCTACGAGCGAACCAACAATTTCGCCGAAGCCATGGCCGTCCCCATCATCGGCGATGACTACCCTACCATCTCAGGAGGCTGCGACGCTGCCCTTGAACAGTTTTCCAAATGAGCGCATAAAACGGGCTGGGAAACGCCCAACAGCATCTCTGATGGGCGTTATCATATGGCGTTCAGCACGGAGTTGAATTTCTTCCAGTGGCTTCAGGCGAACCAGCCGTATGGCCAGTAGTTCAACCATCACATAGGCGGATGCCATCAAGGTCGTTCGTCATAGATGGATCCCGGTTCATACACCGTTGAGGAGAACCTCGTCAGGGGCTTTGACAATGCCGAAGGCAGTGCCCTGATTGTCGACGTTTGTGGCAGTATTGGTCACGATCTGGAGGAATCCTACAATAAGCACCCCAACATGCCTAGTCGTCTCATCTGTCAAGATCTGCCCATCGTCATCGGCCAAATCCAGAAGCTTGACGGCCGTATCGAGTCCGTGTCCTACGACTTCTACACCGAACAGCCCATCAAAGATACGTGTTTATCCTCCTTCTCCACGCATCAAATAATGACAAATCCCATGCGCCAGAGCCTACTTTGTGCATGCCGTCCTCCACGATTGGCCCCACGAAACTGTCTCCAGATCCTTTCCAGTATCACCGCGGCCATGAAGCCCGGCTGCAGCAAGCTCCTCGTCAACAAAAACCTGATTCCTGACACAGGCGCGCACTAGGAGACCACAAGTTGGATATCATGATGTTGACGTTGCTGTCTTCTTGCGAACGCACAAGGGAGAACTGGGAGGATCTGTTGACCGGGGGGGGGTTTGGTTGAAAATCAGTGGTATCTGTAGTGGCGGGGAGGGAGCAGAGAATTTGGTCGAGTGCGAGTTGGCGTGGGGTGAGTATATGTGGACATTGATATGAAGATAAAGAATCAATTTCCACTTGTCACCGTCGAGAAATCACTATTTCTATCACCTAGTGCCACACCTTCTAGAGACTCTTGGGGTATGAACTTGGAGGAACGTCAGGTTCACCAACTCGTGTACAGGGGCTTGATTTAATCGGCAACCAAAGCCACGAGGGCACACAATTTTTTGTCTTATGATTGTCCATTCACCAAGCTTTCGAGGGAGCGGCAAAATGACCACAGTGACGTTTCGACAGCCTGTTCGGCGTGCTGTAATAGAACTCTTCTAGAGAGCCCGTATGAGTTTTGGATTTATTCGAACATTTTCACTTCTTCACAAGATAATATTCCCTCGAACGGCCCCCGACCTGTTGTTCGTCGTGTTCAGCATGACGGCGGTGATCTGCGTAGGGTAGGTAGAAGACATGATTGCCTCTGAAGCCACGATACCAGCCTTACCAGGCATCCACAAATGGAATTGCACCGAATCCACCCCCTGTTCATCTGCTGCGGATGGTACAACCTCGTATTTTGATAAACCTCAAATTCTGACGATACCTGTCAAAGTCTGTCAGGTCCAATGCAAGGAACACGACCCTCACAAGCCGATGCTTCTGTTGGCATCTCTCAGTCTCTTCACGGTGTGACACTAATGTGCCTAGTGTGTCCCAGATGCGATCGAGATCAGGATTTCGTCATAACCTGCCACTGTCGCAGGCTCCTCCTGGCCAAGACCTTCACGTCAGCCTTCCGCTGCCGCAAGCCGCAAGATGGCTACGTACAATAATGATGTAACATGTCTCCAGAATACAGAGTTACAGACCACAGTTCCACGCAAAGAAGAGGATTATGGTAGCCTGAAGAAGCAGCGATTTGACGGCAGTGGAGAATCTCCTCGTTGAGAGGACACTTTGGTCCGAATCATTGAGCATCGCGAGCCATGATGTCATATGACAATGTAGTTGGGAAGCTTCCTTGGAGGGGTATATGAGCTTCTCAGAGCCAGAGTTGGTTACTCTCTTCTTCATCATCATCATCAATTATACAGAACGCACTTTGATATAATCGAAACCGACTCACCATACAACGACATCAAGTCAGCAAACATGGTTGGCAAGGCTCCCAGTGAAGGCCAGAAGGTGAGCATTGACTGAGAAACCCAACCCGATGAAGCTCACACGACCAGGTCGATCTCGGCCAGAACGCCCCCTCCAAGGTTGAGGGTGCCGGCGTGGTCACCGAAGGCTCGCTCGCTGCTGAGTCTCTCCAGGAGAGCGGCGGCTTTGCCGCCAACAAGGGCATCCACGGCGAGAACATGCCCTCCAACGCTTCTACCACCTCCACCCTAGGCGCAGCCCCCAACGCCATGTCCCGCGGCGAGGCAAACGACCGCACCTCGGGCAACGCCGCCTCCTACGACGAGGCCACCAACTCTGGCTCCTTCGCTGAGGGCCAAAAGGCCAATAGCAACGCTGGCGCTGCTCCCACCTACATTGCCTCCCAGTACGCCGTGGATCAGTCCGGTCCCCACGGCAAGAACATCACCGAGGGCTTCGACGATGCTGGTGCTCAGGACGGTACCCAGAAGGCCTTCAATGCCCCTGTGGGCAGCAAGGACGATCCTTCTCGGGCTGCGGAGCTGCAATTTGAGCAAAATAACGAGGCCAGGACAAGGGGGGCTGGCCCTCGTGATGGCGAGATCTCAAACGAGACCAAGTACGACGCGCTGAACTCGTCCACATCGGCTTAAAGGGTTTATGGGAACGAAGGCGTCCAGGAACTGTTTCATAGCATCTATGAATGACGAGACGACGATCTGAAAGACATGATTTATTTGCTACCTTGATCGGATGCCGTTTTGTACGGTCCATTGTCCAATCCCAATATGTTGAGTACCCTCGCCTGCAACAGTAACAGCAACAGGCGATCGTGCCTACGAGCTCTCCATCATTCGTCTGGCGAAGCAAAAACGATGCCCCGCACAGATTTGAACTATGGACTTTTGCATCACTTGTTGCTACAAGTGCAACGCTCTACCCCTGAGCTACAAGGGCTGTGATCCGGGAGCGCTTAGAGGGTCCTGCACGCCTACGACGTGATGTGACCACTACCTGTCTTCGAGAAATATCAAACTCGAGGCAGGGCCACAGGGTAAGGAGACCGCATGCAATGCATATCAGACGACACGTCTTACCGATCCGTCCTACTGCGCGAGAAATTGTTCTGCGGCTGGAAAATTAGTGTCTGTATCGTGTTGGATGAGGGGACAGGGCGCATGACGTCAATTGCGCCCCAAGGCCAAGGGTCCTGCCAGATAAGCACAGATCATTCGGGGTCCCAATCAAGGTACCTTAGGTTTCAAACCAAACGATGAGAACAAGGAATTGCAGATAATCGCTGCGAAGGGTGAAAGGTGAAAAAGGACAGACATCATTACGAACATACCCGGTGCAAAGTCAAAAGCTTTTGCAAGCCCTGCCTCAGCTGATGAGCCAGTCACCTTGATGGAGGGTCGAGTCCAGTCGCCTCAATGATTGTCAGGCGGCTTGTCAGTGGCCGCCGCACCAAAAATTTGTCCCTCCACTGCCCCACCACGGCGAAAAAAATCACCCCGCCTCCAAACAGTGGCCTGACACTCACTCGAGACAAACCGACTTTTTGAACAAACCACCAACCAACCCTTCTCTTGGACATTCCCGCCACTCTTTATTGAACTGGCGGTCCAGACATTACGTTGATTCGTATTCTCCCCAATACCCTTGTTTCTTAGTATTCGACACTAGGGACTTCAGTTCAACGAGCACTACATTCTGTGCCGTACCTCCCTTACCTCTCCACTCTCTTCCTATTCCCAACAAGTCCGACAAGATGCCTTCCGCCTCCAAGGAGAAGCGCCTCGCAAAGAAGGCCGCCGAGGGTAAGCTCAAGGGCGGCAAGGCCGCCAAACAGGCTGAGCCTGAGCTCGATGCCCACGGCAACCCCATCGTCAGCGATGCCCCCGCTACCAACGACAAGAGTGCCGCCGAGATCGACCGCCTGGCCTCGCAGATGGACAAGCACGGTATCTCCGACCGTGTCACTACTGGTGTCCTCTCTTCGGTCGCCTCTAGCAAAGACGTCAAGATCACCAGCGTCAGTCTCGTGTTCCACGGACGTGTGCTGATTACAGACTCGACCATGGAGTTGTCCTTTGGTCGCCGCTACGGTCTTCTCGGCGAGAACGGTTGCGGAAAGTCCACCCTCCTCAAGGCCATTGCCGCCCGCGAGTACCCTGTTCCCGAGCACGTCGACATCTACCTTCTGAACGAGGGTGCCCCTCCCAGCGAGCTCGGTGCCCTCGAGTGGGTCGTCAAGGAAGCCGAGACTGAGCTGGAGCGCCTAGACAAGCTCGCTGAGAAGCTCCTTGAGGACGAAGGCCCTGAGAGCCCCGTCCTCATCGATCTCTACGAACACATGGACAAGATGGACCCCTCCACCTTTGCTACCCGTGCCTCTCTCATCCTGACTGGTCTCGGCTTCAACAAGAAGACCCTCCACAAGAAGACCAAGGACATGTCTGGTGGCTGGAGAATGCGTGTCGCTCTTGGAAAGGCCCTCTTCGTCAAGCCCTCGCTGCTCCTTCTTGATGACCCCACTGCCCATTTGGATCTCGAAGCCTGCGTTTGGCTCGAGGAGTACCTCAAGAAGTGGGAGCGCACCCTTGTTCTCGTCTCTCACTCGATGGACTTCTTGAACGGCGTCTGCAACCAGATGATCGACATGCGCGACAAGGAGCTCAAGTACTATGGTGGTAACTACGACTCGTACCAGAAGACACGGTCAGAGAACGAGACCAACCAGATGAAGGCCTACACCAAGCAGCAGGATGAAATCGTCCACATCAAGAAGTTCATTGCCAGTGCTGGTACCTACGCCAACTTGGTCAAGCAGGCCAAGTCCCGCCAAAAGATTCTCGACAAGATGGAGGCCGATGGCTTTATCCAGCCCGTGACTCCCGACCGTGTGTTCAGTTTCCGTTTCGCCGATGTGGAGAAGCTGCCCCCTCCCGTTCTGTCTTTCGACAACGTCACATTCTCGTATTCCGGAAACCCCGAGGATGACCTCTACCGCAACCTCGAACTTGGTTTCGACATGGACTCGCGCACAGCCCTTGTCGGCCCCAACGGTGTGGGCAAGTCGACTCTGCTGCGTCTCATGACCGGCAAGCTGTCGCCCACTGGTGGATCCGTCACCCGTCACACTCACCTGAAGCTTGGTCTTTACTCGCAGCACAGCGCCGAGCAGCTTGACCTGACCAAGTCGGCGCTCGACTTTGTGCGCGACAAGTACCCCCAGAAGTCGCAAGACTACCAGTACTGGCGCCAACAGCTTGGCAAGTACGGCCTCAGCGGAGACTCCCAGACTGCCCTGATGGGCACCCTATCAGAGGGCCAGAAGAGCCGTATCGTCTTTGCCCTGCTGGCCATTGAGAGCCCCAACATGCTGCTGCTCGACGAGCCTACCAACGGTCTCGATATCCCCACCATTGACAGTCTTGCGGACGCCATCAATGCTTACAGCGGAGGTGTTGTCGTCGTGTCCCACGACTTCCGGTACGTATAGTCCCTTTTCCCCCAGAATATGCACACAGCTAACATGAGACAGTCTCCTCGACAAGATTGCCAAGCAGATTCTCGTGTGCGACAACCGTTCGATTCAAGAATGGGATGGCAGTATTGGCGAGTACAAGAACTACCTGCGCAAGAAGATGATCAACGCCGGTGCTGTCTAAACGGACGGCCGCCCGAGTCGAGAATATGGATATGAGAACATGAGCAAAAATTTATAGATAGCGGCCACCGAGGAAGCACGAAACTTGCTGCTTCACATTTTAGAGGCCGCTTCACGCGGGCGCTGCACACTGCATCCACGCCATCATAGAGGATGGTTCCTTTGCAGTCATGAACGCCCAACAGTCAGGAAGGGGCACGAACGGATACCCCCTTTTCATAGAAGCGGTCTTGTCGGCCGGACGGATGAATGAGTTCTTGTCATGGGTTAGAACGCATCTAGGATTCTCTTTGTCGACAAATTTTTACGTGCATTGCCAATAGACTTTTCTGCGGATGTGTGCTTTGACGCGTCGTGACTGTAGGGTGTGCTAAATATCATTACGGTGCTTTGGCTCTCACCACCCAGCAGGTGGTGGTGACCGAGCGAGCCGGCTCGTTATCACGTGATGCCCGTTTGACCGCCGTGACGCACGTAGCTGGATTTGGACAAGCGCGAAATTGCCCAGCCAGATAGGGCGACATTAAAGCGCGCACACTGATGGAATGTAATACGGCGAGCAGCGCTCGGGCAATGCGTGTTAGAGAAGCCTACAGCATTTTGCGAATACGCACAAACACAAAGTTGATAGTTAGCGCCAAATGGATGATGGAGAAAAGCAGCAGCACGAGCTGCACCGGTATCACCAACGCCGGATTGTGCGATTGTACCGGCTGTCTGCTTCTTGGACACCCCGGTCCATGCCCCAGGCCGTGGGAGACATGTAATAATTATTATGGGCCTGAAATGCAGCCGCTCGAATTCTGTGTGTGCACTGTCTTTTCCCCTGATGAGGATGATGAAAAGACTGGCCAAGCGGTCTGAAGAATGATGGCAATGATGATAAATGACATCCGCCGTTGGATGGGATAGTAAATGCTAAGTGTATGGATCGGTCAAAAGCAATATCTCATGCAGCTTGTCTCGATCGTGATCCCTGTGGGCGGCCATGGTGGAGGCGCCGGCAGGAAGTAGTTGGTCGGGGTGAGTACGGAGTAAGAGTAAGGTAAAGTTGGATGGGACACACGGGAGTGGATGAGGTGAGTTGAGGCGAGGTGAGGGCGCGAGGATAGCCTGCAATGGCGACAAAGGAGAGAGCATTGTGTACAAATGTACCAAATGGCCAGTTTATCGCGTAAAAACACAAGGAATCAGCGTACAAGTAATCATTACCAACCCCATGCACAGCAATTATCGTCATTTGTCGGAATTGAAGTCATCACCACCAGATCGCGACGTCGCAGCAGTCGACGGCCTCACCCGCAGAGAGCGGCAGGACCTGCCGGGCGCTCTTCCCCCAGCCTGACACGCCCACCCTAACCCCGGGATCGTGTCCATCTTCTTCTTCAGCCTGTCGACCAACTTTGCTGTCCTCATTCCCACTACTTCGTGGACCTGCGTGTCCGATACGGCTGTTTCCCTCCCCATTTTTGCTTCTCGTCTTAGTCGCACTGCGAGTCGCGATTGCAGATTGCAGCTTGCCACCGCGAGCCCCCCGATTTCCCTCGCACCGCGACTGACCACAGTCCATGAGCCGTTAGCAATCTCCCCAACAACCCTCATCCGTGAGGGTCCAGTGTACGTGGGCCACAATGGACAGCAACAGCTTCCGCTCCACGGTGCTGCAGGGAGACGACCATGAACGTGACAGTCGGCGGGACGAGCGCGACCGTCGCGAGATGAACAACGCAGGGAGCCCGAGCCAAAGCCATAGCCATCACTCCACATTCAGATTACGCTCGCCCACTAGCAATAACCACCATCAGCAGCAACATTCTCGCAATCAACCGCCGCCATTCGTATCGCCCAACCACCATTCCCATCATCGTCTCCATCAACCTTCGCCGCAGCCGCATCACCACGCTTCGCCGCCTCCATCGTCGCACCATCCATACATGTCACAACAGACTGTGCACCAGGCATCACCTCCAGGAGCAGGCGGTCCTGTCGCGCCCGCCCTGCCTCCATCAGTAGGCCTGGCCCATCCTGCCTCGTCTTCTTCGCCATTGCATCCCCCGGGGGCATACTTCCCTCCGGCCAAGGCTTCGCATCACGAATCGGCCGCGCCGCCTACTTCCCGAGCCTTTTACGATCCGACCAGCGATTCAGCGCCTGCTCAGAGGGAGCGACGCACCTCTGACGCCTCTTGGAACGCGAGACCCAAGGTGAGCAACGCGAAGAACATTTCTCCGTGATCGAGTCGACGTCCCTCATTTTTCTTTTTCGTTAATTTCATTTTCTTTTTGCTTCCAGCATCAGACTCCCTCGACACGTTTGAAGCAATTTTCTAACGCGTTTTACCTAGTCTCCCGGGTACTGGCAAGACCGCCCACAAGCCCACTGGCCCCGTGAACAGCAACGCACGCCCAGCCGGGGTTCCCTACCATTTGGATCACCTCCATCAAGACATGCTGCGCCAGAGACAAACAGCATGTCCAACGGCTCGGGTGTAGGCCAACACGGCCCGTCGCCTCAAAAGCCCCCTCCATCGAGTGTACGTCTCTTGTTTGACCATGTTGTAATTAAAATGTTGAGCATTCTCGCAGGCATCTAACCGTGCCGACCCTATGTCTTTTTCGAACATTCTCTCCAACGCTGAACCATCGAAACCTCGCGAACCGTCACCTCTACCTGCACGCCCCGTGGAGAACGAGCCCAAGCCCAAGATCGAGCCCGATACTGAAACGCACACGGATCGAGACGTCATGGAAGATGACGAGACAGAACCCGAGCGTCGCGAGAGTGTTATCCCCAAAAAGAGAGCAAGGAAGTCAACCAAAGGCAGGGCTTCCGACATTCGCGATGAGGCTGCCAAAGGTAGACGATCTTCGGCCAAGAGAGAGTCACCCGCTCCTCCTAGTTCCCGCCCCCCGGTACCTAAGCGACAGGCCAATGGGCAGCCAAAACCAGAGAAGACGTGGTCGACCGAGATGGAACGCCGTATAGGACAGGCCGAACGCGGTATCGACTCTGCAGACAAGACGCTTGTACCTGAAGATGTCGACGTTGCGGCATACAAAGTCCGCGCCTCCAAGCGCCGGAAACTCATGGAAAGCTTCGAGGCTGACCAGGGCGTACTCCGCCGCAACGACTTTGCTGTCACAGCTGGCAAGAAGCTTGCACGCCATGCCGAGCTCGGCAAGCGTCGATATGACGAGGTCTTCTACGAGTCTGCACTCAACGAGGTGCGCGAGCAGGAACTGTTCGCCGAGAAGGAGCGCAAGAAGGATATGCAACGCAAGCGCCGTCGTGAAAAGTCCATGGCTGTTACCCTCGAGCTCAAAGAGGCGGCGTTGGCTCGCGCAAACGCCGCTGAAGATGAGGAAGAGCGTCGGAAGCATCTGCGCGACGCTGAACGCGCAAACAAGAAGGCCCAACAAACAGAACACATCCTCCGCAAGGGCATCAAGGGCCCTGCCCGCAACATGGAGATTGGCATGGACGGCGGAGCCATGTCGTCGTTTGGCGCCTCTGACGCCGAGACAAGCACGCCCAAGAACAAAGCTTCCAAGTCTACCAAGAGTGGTAACCGGCCAAAGAAGTCTAAGGAGCAGAAGCAGGCCGAGAAAGACTCCGCGGAAGCGGCGCAGGCTGCCATCGATGCTGGCGAGGAGTTGCCCGCTCGTGACGAGTCCAAGGTCCGCCTCAAGATCACCAACAAAGGCAAGAAGGGCAAAGATAAGGACAAGATTAAGGACGAGTCCAAGGAAAACGTGGATGGCGAGCCTGAGGCGCAGGATAAGGAAGACGCGAAGGAGAAGGTCGAGGACGTGCCTGATCTCGAGAAGAAGTTCATCTCGAAAGGCTACAACCAGATCTATGACCAGATCCTCCGCGATATCGCCCGTAAAGACGTCAACAAGACATATCGCATGGCGTCCGACTCATGTGCAACCAAGGCTAGTAACCTGAAGAAGACGGCCGTTCTCGCGTCAAAGGAAGCCAAGCGTTGGCAGCTCCGAACAAACAAAGGCACGAAAGACCTGCAAGCTCGTGCCAAGCGTGTCATGCGCGATATGATGGGCTTCTGGAAACGCAACGAGCGCGAGGAGCGCGACTTGCGCAAGGCAGCCGAGAAACAGGAGCTTGAAAACGCACGCAAGGAAGAGGCAGATCGCGAAGCCGCTCGCCAGAAGAGGAAGCTCAACTTCTTGATCTCGCAGACTGAGCTGTACTCGCATTTCATTGGCAAAAAGATCAAGACGGACGAGGTCGAGCGCAGTACCGATAACCCCGAGATTGCACCCGCTGCGAACCAGCAGAACTCATCTATGGTCAATGTCAAGGAGCCTACTGGTCCGCTGACCGGCAAGGTGACTGGGTTTGAGAACCTTGACTTTGACGATGAGGATGAGTCGAATCTACAAGCAGCTGCCATGGCCAATGCGCAACATGCTATTGCCGAGGCTCAGAAAAAAGCTCGCGATTTCGACAACCAGGGTCTTGATATGGACGAAGAGGGTGAGATGAACTTCCAGAACCCGACGGGTCTCGGCGACATGGAGATTGAGCAGCCGAAGCTGCTGGACTGTCAGCTCAAGGAGTACCAGCTCAAGGGTCTCAACTGGCTGGTCAACTTGTACGAGCAGGGCATCAACGGTATTCTAGCCGACGAGATGGGTCTCGGCAAAACCGTGCAGTCCATCTCTGTCATGGCCTATCTTGCCGAGAAGCACGACATCTGGGGGCCTTTCCTGGTTGTCGCGCCAGCGTCCACCCTTCATAACTGGCAGCAAGAGATTGCCAAGTTCGTTCCCGAGTTCAAGATCCTGCCGTACTGGGGCACTGGTGGCGACCGAAAGATTCTGCGCAAGTTCTGGGACCGCAGGCACGGTACCTACCGTAAGGACGCTGCGTTCCACGTTTGCGTCACATCTTACCAGCTCGTCGTGTCGGATGTGGCCTACTTCCAGAAGATGAAGTGGCAGTACATGATTCTCGACGAAGCACAAGCAATCAAGAGCTCCCAGAGTTCTCGATGGAAGAGCTTGCTCGGTTTCCATTGCCGTAACCGTCTTCTCTTAACGGGTACGCCCATCCAGAACAACATGCAAGAACTATGGGCTTTGCTGCATTTCATCATGCCCTCCCTGTTTGACTCTCACGATGAGTTCAGCGAATGGTTCTCCAAGGATATCGAGTCACACGCGCAGAGCAACACCAAGCTCAACGAAGATCAGCTCAAGCGTCTGCACATGATTCTCAAGCCATTCATGTTGCGACGTGTGAAGAAGCACGTGCAGAAGGAGCTGGGCGACAAGATCGAGGAGGATGTGTACTGCCAGCTGACGTACCGTCAACGTGCGTACTACAGTAACCTGCGGAACCAGATCAACATCATGGACCTCGTTGAGAAGGCCACAATGGGTGATGACCAGGACTCGGGTACGCTCATGAACCTCGTCATGCAGTTCCGAAAAGTGTGCAACCACCCGGATCTGTTTGAGCGCGCCGATGTCACCTCGCCTTTCTCGTTCGGTTACTTTGCCGAGACGGCCTCCTTTGTGCGAGAGGGCGACAATGTGCCTGTCGGATACTCCACTCGGAACTTGATCGAGTACAACTTGCCTTCGCTCGTCTGGACTGAGGGCGGTCGTCTGGACAAGGCCGGCAAAGACAATGAGAAGGCCGGCTGGCGAAACAAGGCCTTGTCGCACATGATGAACATCTACTCGCCTGAACATGTAAGGGAGAATCAGGATGGGTACAAGGGGTTCTCGTGGTTGCGATTCGTCGACGCTGCTCCTTCGGACGTTTACAAGGCCACGCGCAACAGCCTGTTTGACCGCGCGGCTGACGAGCTGCAAAAGCCTCAACGACTGGGCCGCTTCCAGGTTGCCTATGACGAGTCGGAGGATGGCAAGTTTATGCCGGCACACGCGTTGCTCAGGATTCGGGACCAACAAGAGCGCCGACCGTTGGCGGACATTACCCGTGAGGGTGTTCTCAGCAGCCTGATGAATGTTGCCAACCAAAACTACTTCGACTCCGGTTTAGGTAGACTGGAGGCTGCGGGTAAACCACGGGCCTCCGCACCACCCATGGAGGTCTCATGCAACAGCCGCGCCGCAGTGCTGGAACGTGAGAACACATTCTTCAATGTGCCGATGCGCAAGGCATTGTACGGACCTGCACTTTGGGAGGAAGAAGCCCTCGTGGAGAACAGGATACCGCTCGAGCTGTACCCACCTCGCAAGATGCTTCCCAGCCCAGATGGTGAGAAGAAGAGGTTCACCAACATTGGCGTGCCATCGATGCAGCGCTTCGTCACCGACAGTGGCAAGCTTGCGAAGCTGGACGAGCTTCTCTTCCAGCTCAAGGCTGGCGGTCATCGTGTGCTACTCTACTTCCAAATGACGCGCATGATCGATATGATGGAGGAGTACCTGACATATCGCAACTACAAGTACTGCCGTCTCGATGGCTCGACCAAGCTCGAGGATCGCAGAGATACGGTGCACGACTTCCAGACCCGGCCCGAGATCTTCATCTTCCTCCTGTCGACGCGTGCGGGTGGTCTGGGCATCAACCTGACGTCTGCCGATACCGTCATCTTCTACGACTCTGATTGGAACCCGACCATTGACTCGCAAGCCATGGACCGTGCTCATCGTCTGGGTCAAACCAGGCAGGTCACCGTCTACCGTCTCATCACCCGCGGAACGATCGAGGAGCGCATCCGCAAACGCGCCATGCAAAAGGAAGAAGTGCAGCGTGTTGTCATCCAGGGTGGCGGTGCCAGCGTGGACTTCTCTGGCCGTAGGGCGCCCGAGAACCGCAACCGCGACATTGCCATGTGGCTGGCGGACGATGAGCAGGCGGAGATGATTGAGAGGCGCGAGAAGGAGCTGGCGGAGAGCGGCGAGCTCGAGAAGCAGCAGAAGAAGAAGGGCGGGCGCAAGAAGAAGGCTGACGCCCCTGCCAGCTTGGACGACATGTATCATGAGGGTAAGTTGACTTGCTTGTGTTCTCTTTTTGTACATCTGGCTAACTCAGGACAGGCGAGGGTCACTTTGACGACGCTAGCAAGCAGCAGTCCGGCACCGCCACACCAGCCGAGAGCGACAACAAGGGAAAGAAAAAGAAGAGTACGACCAAGCGAGCCAAGACGGCAAAGCAGCGCCTTGCTATTGCCGATGGCATGGTCGACATCTAGGCGGACAGGCGCGGGAATGGACGCCTCACGGCATCCGCGCGCGCAGCGGGGCTGGAATGTACAGGACTGAATTTTACACTTAATGGAGGGAGCCAACAAAACTTTAGGCGTTTGATCAGGGGCAGCAAGAGCTTTTATACAGGGCGCAGATGCGCGGTGGTGGGCACGAGGCCGCGTTTGTATCAGTATTCGGTAGACTTTGGCGGAGGATATGAAACGCCTTGTTACAACACGGTTGGTTGTACGTGTATTTGTGCATGTATCCGTACGCTTCTGTATGAGCACATCGCTAAGTTCTCAACCCAGTGCATCGACTGACCGCCCAAACGCCAAACACCCAGCAAGCACAGCACATTCATGTCAAGAGAATATCATACCCATCCTTTGTGATGCGCACCTCTTCCGCGCCGAACCCATACTTGCGCCTAATCAGCTCAAAGATGATGAGGCCAGCGCTCGTACTGGGCACCTGGCGGATCGAATTCCACCAGAAGCCCCTGTACAGCCAGCGAACGAGACCCGTCCCCTCAGCCTTGGCCTCGGCCGCGCAGACGGCGTACGAGGCCTGGTACGCGCGGTAGTAGGTCCTGAGCATGCGGAAGCGACGTTTGGGCGGCGTGGCGCGGACCTTCTGCGCCTTGGCGTCAATCTCCTCGAGGTTGTCCCAGTGCTGCACCTGGAAATGCGTGAGAGGGTGGAGGAGGAGCTGCTGCGCAAAGGAGGCGCTCGTGCCGGCCAGCAGGAGGAACATGGGCTCGAGCGCGTAGTGTGGCCGGATCTGTGTCGTACCCACCTCGTCGTCCTTGTGCGTCGGTCGTTTCAGGGCGAGTAGGTCGATCATGTCGTCGCCGAGACCGGAGTAGTACCACGTGACGAAGCGGTAGTATCCTTGTGCTTTGATGTACTCAAACGTGCTGAAGAAGACGGCGCTTCCCAGACCGTCCTTGGCAAAGGAGAGACCCCAGCCCGCAAAGATGCCGCGCAGACCAATCTCGCGTAGCTTGGCCGCGCCAAACGACCACATGCTGCGTGGCTTCCCGTTGCCGTCGGCGGGCATGAGGTCTCGATGGTCGAAGCGAGCCTGGAGCGCATCCAGAGGCGCAGCAACGACGGACTGGATACCCCCGGCAACTAGACCGGCCATGAACGTGTGCTGCGGCGCAGGGGGCGGATAGACCCTCTTGGTCGCGCGACCAGACTCCTCGTGCAGCCTACCGAGGATGTGCAGGTAACTGGTGTACAAGACAGCGCCTACGCCCACGTTGGCGATCAGCGGCGGCATGATCTGCTGAGGAATGACACTCCATCCTTGGTGCCGCACAGCTGAGGCCAGCACGCCGGGTGTCGTGCTTCGGAGAAGGAGCCACGTCTGGCGCATGAGCATGCCGACTCGCGAGGCGTGCTTGTCGTTGGCCAGCGCCTTGAGCATCTGCGCCGTCTGGGCATTGTGCAGCGTGCGCGCGTAGCCCAGGTAGTCCACCCGCGTGCGGAAGAAGGCCTTGGCCGGGGCGCGAAAGTAAAAGGCTACGACCTGGGCGCTGAGGGCGCGGACGGACGCTGCCGAGGCGGCTGTGGCCGCGTTGTTCCTTGGGTTTCTGTCCGGGAAGGGGTCTGCATCTGCGCGGGAGGGCGTCGAGGGGTCATGTTGGCCGGCACTCATTGTCCACCCGGCGCATGATGAGATGTGTGAACGCGACGGGGAGGTGATAACGAACCTTGGGTTCTCTCGTGATGAGTTTGGCTGGGGGGGGGGAGGATTCCGAGGTTGCGATTTGGGTGAGGTGAGAATTTGATGAGTCAGCAGGCTGTGTGCTCTGTCATTGGCTGGGGTGCAGCGGGTACAGTCGGCTGCCTGACTCCTGGGAACCCCTTTTTGGCTTGACGTGCGAACAAACATCTTGATGATGGAACTAGATACAAGCTTTGGCTTGGGCCGTTGGATTCCCTGTGCTCTCTAAGCATGTAGAACTTTCCGTGAAGTGCATAGCTCAGCCTGTGATTGCCCCTCTCACGTCCACCAGCCATCCATCCCAGCGACTGACAAGAACCCTCCCCTCCTTGACAACAGTCTTGACCGTGGTCTCCCAGTCGCTCAAAACACTGACATCCTCCAGCGGATTCTTTTCCAAAACAAGCACATCCGCTACAAAGCCGTCCTTGATCTGGCCCAGATCATCCCGTCCTATGAGCCTCGCCGCGTTGATCGTCGCACCTTTGAGCACCTCGCCATCACTCAACACCCTTTTCCGTATCGTAAACTCGTTGGACTGCTCTACCTGCAGGGGACCGAGCAGATCGCTCCCGTGGCAGATCAGGACGCCCTCCTCGTGCGCGATCCGCATAGCCTCCAGTCCCTTCTCCAGCACGACCTTGTTCTTCGCCTGGTTCGCGGGTGGCAGGAAGTCCTTGTACCTATCCATGCCCATCGCCTCGTACGTCACTAACGTTGGCGTCAGTGTGATACCCAGCTTGGACATGTGCTTCGCGGTAGGACGGTCCAACAGATTGCCATGCTCAATGCCCCGGACACCGTTGTCCGCAGCATGTCGTATCGCTGCAGGCGTGTACGCGTGGGCAGTGACATAGGTCCCGCAACTCTCTGCCACCTCGACGATAGTCTGCACTTCCCCACTGGTGAACTGGGTATCGGTGAGCTTGTCCGTCGGAGAAGCGACACCCCCGCTGGCCATGATCTTGATAAAGTCAGCGCCCGTGCGAAGATTTTCCCGCGCCGCGCGAGTACACTCGGCCACGCCATCGACAACAGTGCTCAATATCCCCGACGAGCAGCACTGATGCGCACTCCGGACGTCGCCGTGGCCGCCTGTTTGCGAGAGGGCTTTACCACTGGAGATGACACGCGGACCGGGGAACACGCCCGCTTCAATGGCCTCTTTCAACGCGAGACTAGCGCCACCTGTGTCTCGTACCGTTGTGAAGCCACGCTTAATCATCTGCTCGCAGACCCACGGCTGGCGGAGCAAAGAGACGCCGACGTCGTCCGCTGTCAAGTTGAAGGACTGGCCGTTCGGAACGGCAGCGAGGTGGACGTGGCAGTCCATCAGCCCAGGACACAGGTACTTGCCCTGCAGATTGATGACTGTGTCTCCATCTTGGGGGGAGACGTGAGGGCCGATGGAGTGGATGAGACCGTCGGCCAGGCGTACGCAGGTGAGGTCTGTGACGGAGGAGTAGAGGGGCTCTACGACACGAGCGTTGACGAGGAGATACCGCCGTTGCGAGGGGAGGGCGAAAGGGTCTGTTGATGACTCCGAAGTAACTGGGTCGGAGGGAATAATGCGTCGGACTGTCATGATGGCTGGCGTACGGAGTACACAGGCGGCGGTGTATGTAATGGGGCAGAGAGACAAACGGCGGTGGAGGCGGCCTACCGTCTCGGCAGGCTCGGAGACCGGGACGCGGGGCCGAGCCGGAGATCAACATGAGCCGTCCGTGGAAGCAGTGACAATAAACTCCGTGTCCGTATTCATTCCCATGTAGAAGCAATGCGCCTAGATACGCCGTCCCATGCTGTTCCCTGCCTGTCTGCCTGTCGCTCAATACTCCTCCGGCTGCGGCCGCCCGTCGAGCCACTTGCTCATGTACGGCCCATCGAGCCAGAAGCCCAGCTTGCGGTAGTAGCTCCGCACACCAACGCCCGAGATGACGCTGAGCTTGTCGCTGCCGTGCTCGTCCCGCGCGATCCGCTCGGCCTCCTCCATGAGCAGCGTGCCGAAGCCCTGGTGCTGGAACTTGCGGGGGTCGCGCGCGTGCACGGGCACGGCGGTGCCGTACACGTGGAGCTCGCGCACCATGCTCGTGGGCTGGCCTGTCAGCTCCTCGCGGTAGGTGTACTTTTCGGTGCACTTGCGCAGACGCAGCAGCGCGACCAGAATGTCCTGCTTGGGGTCCTCGTAGGCCAGGAATGTCTCCCAGCCGCCGTTGGCCGTGTAGTCGCGACGCACGAGCTCAATCTGGTTGGGGCGAATCTTGTTCTTGACCTCGTTGACGCCGACCTCGCGCGTGCGCACGTCGCGACACGAGGTGCCAAAGTCCTTCATACGCGCCAGCGCCAGCTCGCGCAGGTTGCCGTTCTCCACGCCGGAGGAGACGAGTGGCATGGGGATATCACGCTGGACACGGTAGATTCGGGTCCACGGCGGGATGAGGGCCAGTATCCTCGCCACGAGGTCGATGAGTCCGTTGGGTGTGTAGTTTTGGTACCGCCCTGTGCGCCACAACTCGTAGAGTCCCGTGCCACGGATGACCAGCGTGGGGTAGATCTTGAGACCATCGGTTCGGAAAGCGGGATTCTCAAAGTACTCCCTGAACTGGTCCATGTCGCGTTCCATGCCCACGTTGGGCAAGTCAGGCATCATGTGGCTGACGACCTTGAATCCAGCATCCTTGGCCAGGCAAAAGGTCTCTGCTACCGCGGCCACGGTGTGCCCTCTGTTGGAATCCCTTGCTACATCCTCGTACAGACTTTGCACGCCGACTTCCAACCTCGTGCACCCGTACCGCAGCATGTCTGTCAGGTGCGGCTGCAGACAGTAATCCGGCCGTGTCTCAATCGTGATGCCTACGCACTTGATGTTACTCATCTCGCCCGCCTCCACCGCCTCGTCCACGTTGGACGTCTGGTATCCGCTCAGCGCATTGTGCAGCTGCGCGATGAAGTCCTCGCGATAGGATTCGGACAGTGACATGAATGTGCCGCCCATGAGAATGTATTCCACCTTGTCGACCGAGTGTCCCAGGCTCTTCAACTGGTCCACCCGTCCACGCGCCTGCTCAAAGGGGTCGTATCGCGCGCGAATCGCTCGCATGGAGGTGGGCTCGTATCCGGTGTAGGACTGCGTGCTGTACTCGAAATCCGAATCTGGCCCGCCGGGGCAGTAGACACAGATGTTGCCCGTGTAGGCAATGTGCGGACAGCGATGCGGCTTGCACATGACCGCCACGACCGCGATGCCTGAGCTCGTGCGGATCGGTTTGGCGATCAGCTTGGGCAGGATGTACTTCTTGTAGTGCTCGGGGATGGCGGCGATGATGGCGGTGAGGGGCGGCACGGACTTGAGCTTGTGCTTCTTGGCCATCTTGCCACGGATCGTATTCAGGTTGACGTCCTTGCTGGGCTGGCCATTCTTCTGGGCCTCGTGGTCTTCGATGAGGGCGTTGGCGAGGTCAGCGCAGCAGCGCAGGAAGCGCTCGCTCTCTGGGATCATATCGGCCGCCTTCTTCTTGTTCAGCGTCCCGGCAGGCGCCTGCGCGGTCATTGTCGCGGTCGCCATGGCTGCTGGGCTCGAAATATCGATGCAGTTGCTGGATATAATAGAGTCAATCACCAAAAAGTTGCCCCTCCGAATCGCGAGTCGTTGATGGGATTGAATTTCGAGAGCCAAAACGGTGATGGTGGGGTCTAGGCTCTAGCTCTGGGACGGGCATCCGTAATAAACGTGCGTTCCCGTTCCTAACGGTCGGTAGGCCGACGGCAATACCGGAAAAAGTACGCGCCGGTGCCCCGGCCACACCCGATTCGGTCCTGGCGCCAATCAAGCGGCAGCTGCAAGAAACCGCATCGCGAATTCGAAGCTATCGTCGAACGAAGCCGCGAACCCCCTTCTGGTGAAGCAAACCACCGACCCTCTCTCTCTTCCTCAGCGCCTCGTCTCTCTCTCCCCCGCACGCACACTTTGGTCATCACGATGCAGGCTATCCCTCGCTCCGTTCTGCGCCCGGCTGCGCTCCGCCAGGTCACCAGTCGCGCCTACAGCTCCAGCAGCTCGCCCTACGCGCAGACCATTGAGAACCTGCGTATCAACGGCGATACCAAGGTCCTCTTCCAGGGCTTCACTGGCAAGCAGGGAACGTATGTGATCCGCTCTGTCCCCGGCGCCGGTTCCAATGGCTGACTGTATGTAGCTTCCACGCCACGCAGGCCATCGAGTACGGTATGCAAAATGACGAGAGCCCTCGACGAGACGCAGCAGCGGACACTGACACATCACAGGCACAAAGGTCGTCGGCGGTACCAACCCCAAGAAGGCCGGCCAGACTCACCTTGACCTCCCCGTGTTCAAGAATGTGAGCGAGGCTGTCAAGGAGACTGGCGCCACCGCCACTGCTCTCTTCGTGCCGTACGTTTGTTCTGCTTTTCCCTATGAGGTATTCTCCTGACAATGTCGGCAGCCCCCCTCTGGCCGCCGCCGGTATCGAAGAGGCCCTCGAGGCCGAGATCCCCCTCGCCGTCTGCATCACCGAGGGTATCCCCCAGCACGACATGGTCCGCATCACCTCGATGCTCAAGTCGCAGAGCAAGACGCGCCTCGTCGGCCCCAACTGCCCCGGCATCATCGCCCCGGGCCAGTGCAAGATTGGCATCATGCCCGGCTTCATCCACAAGCGCGGCCGCATCGGCATCGTCTCCCGCTCCGGCACCCTCACCTACGAGGCCGTCAACCAGACCACCCAGGCCGGTCTCGGCCAGTCCCTCGTCGTCGGCATCGGCGGTGACCCCTTTAGCGGCACCAACTTCATCGACTGCCTCAAGGTCTTCACCGAGGACCCCGAGACGGACGGCATCATCATGATTGGTGAGATTGGTGGCTCGGCCGAGGAGGACGCCGCCGAGTTCCTCAAGCAGGCCAACACGGTCGGCCGCGGCAAGCCCGTCGTCAGCTTCATTGCTGGTATCTCGGCGCCCCCTGGCCGCCGCATGGGCCACGCCGGCGCCATTGTGGCCGGTGGCAAGGGTGGTGCCGACACCAAGATCAAGGCGCTCGAGGACGCCGGCGTCATTGTCGAGCGCTCGCCCGCTGGGCTGGGCAGGGCCCTTTACGACGAGTTTGTCCGCAGGGATCTCCTGTAAGGGCGAGGGCGGATGCATGTAGTGTAATGGCTTTTGGTCGCCGGTTCTTTGTTTCCTTGCGTCTGTTCCAATAACCGTACGTCACGTAACTGATAGAATGGGAGCATCGTTGGGTTGGATGTGAATATAAGTGAAACTTTACAAGTCAACCAAAGCAATTGTTCCTCTCCTCATGAGGTACTCCGTTTCATTTCCTACAGCCGTAGCCAATACCATGCCCATGACAAAACAACGCCTTTTCCCATGCCCGTGCTGCTGCTATGCATTCAAACCCGGCGACTCGCGTCATTCATATACACCATCATCATACGTCCTCCTCTGCTATCTTGGCCAATATGCGGGTGGTAATGTCTGAGATGGCTTCGTCGCTCAGCTGGTACCGCTCCCCGTTGAACGAGGGGACCCCTCGCTCCTTGAGAACCTGGACGACGATGTTGACCCGGAAGCCCATATCTGTCCAGATGCCGACCATTTTCGGGTTGTAGCCCCCAAAGTCCTCGGGCGTCGGGGCAGGCCGAGCCTCGATGAACTTGCCCTGCAGGTCGATCTGCTTCTGGGGGGCGCCGGCGTACTTGATGCTCCACTCCTGGGCGTGGCGGGCGAAGAGGGCAGGCGACTTGACGGCTTGGCTGGAAACCTCGTGGTCCTGGGGGTCATCGGTATTGGGGACCTCGAGGAGCAGGCGGATGCTCATCATGGCCGACTTGATGGTCTGGACGGGGCTCCAGTTGTCGCGGAGTATATCGAGGCAGATGGCGCCCGTCATGGAGCTGACGTTGGGGTGCCAGATCTTGGTCTTGAAGGTGATCTGGGGCGGCTTGAAAGGATACTCGTTGGGCATCGTGATGAGCAGTTCGAACTTGCCGCCCTCGTACGGGGTCTTGGGCGGTCCGAAGATGTGGCCGTGGAGGTACTCCATCGAGGCGCCGCTGGGGTCGGAGAGCTCGACGCTGATGCCCGCGGCCGGGTCTGACTGGATGTCCTTAAGCTCCTTGGCGACGCGGCGGTCGCGACTGGAAGGCATGATGGCGGGTGTGGTATGTGTTGCTCGGGGTATCTCGTGCTGTTGATGTGGATGTGGATGATGATGTTGATGTTGGCGGGATTGTGCTGTGGAGGGGCTGCAACTGCAGAACGTCAATGGCGGTGGCACCTTTGCTGGGGCGGCGGGAAGGCACGCTTTATGCAGGGTAAGGTAGGGCTTGAGGGTCCATCAACGTCAAGGAGCAAGGTATGGAAGGAACAAGATCAACGAACCTTTCTTTGTTCTGGATTGAAAATTCGATCATCACTGTTTGGGCTTGTCTTTGTAAGTTATAAGTCACATCGTCATCCATCACCCGACGGTGACATGGAATTTGGCAGAGCATGATGGAGAATCGCTCTCAGCCTCTGAATTGGCTCACGCCGTGTTCGCAACATTGTTCCATTCCACGGAAATGACATCGAGGTGATGAAAGATCAACCCTCTGTTCGCAATTAGATCTGATGTTCTCTTCACCAAGATGCTATGATTGTAGCCTGTGGTCAATGCAGTCTGCCAACTCTTCCCTACCCTGTACCATCAAGCGGTTGGCCAGCTGGGGTGGTTCAACAAGCAAAGAAAGTCATTCAACCGCTAATCAAGTATCCATTGCAACGGTACTCCTTCTAAAGATCTTGCCTTTCATCTTCTATCTTCTTCACAATGGTTGACGATGCTGGGATTCTCTTGGGTCGTCCCTCGAAGGTGTCTGAGGGACAAAGGTGCACTAATGTTCTTGACTGTCACTTGCTCCTCAAACGAATCCCGCTACGTCTCGTCGCCAATCTCTGCGAATGTTTGCTTGTCGCTCGGAAAGACAATCATCCATCACACCGTCTGTCATGAATTATTCTGATCAAACACGCACGCACACGTACAATCCAATCATATGCCAAGCCGCGCGTTCGCGTGCTCGCTCTCGCACAGACAAAGTTCGCCTCCTCCCGCTAGACGCACTCAATCTCACCTCAGCCTAGCTGCGCCACGACGCGTTGCGACAGCCCACCACATCCTCCTTGCCATGCGTGACTATTCAACCCAGTCTACAAGAGCATCAGATGTGGCGTACGCGGCCCTATGGCACGAGCTTGCGTCAGATGTCTAGCAGCACCGGGCAGGCAGGCGTACGACTCTTTAGGTGCGATATGTCCGAGTTCGAGCCTATGTACATGATGGTATAAGTTCTACCGCCTCGCCCGCAAAGGCAGCTGGTATAGATAGTCATTATCGAACTCATACAAATACTCTCGTACTTACTACACCTCACCCTCCTCCCCATCTCCACCGCAACCATGTCCATGGTCGTCACCAAGTCTAATGACCAGCTGCCCCAGGGCCAGCACCAAGACCAAGACAACCCTCCAGAGTACATGGCGGAGCCAGCCATCAACTATCGCCCAACCCTCAGTCAACGCCTCCACCGCCTCTCCTCCCGCGCCGGCAACCCTCTGAACAAGGCCTCCAACATCTTCGGCGCAGAAGGCTGGTGGCCAACCTCTCTCGAGAAGGAGTCCCTGAAAGCAGCCCGCATCCTCTACTCGTTCACCAACCTCGCCGTCGCCATACCACCGCCCCCCAAGGCCGGCGGGCCCAAGCACCCCATCGGTCTCACCGAGAAGAAGCTCGTCAAGATCCCCGTCCATGTTCTCCGCAACTGCGCCGGCCTGGCTATCTTCAACACCATCCGGGCGGGTGCCTGGCACGGCAGCGTGAGCGGTGGCTCGGGTGTCGTCATTGCTCGTCACGCGGACGGTACCTGGTCTCCGCCTTCTAGCTTCATCGTGTCTAGCCTTGGGGCGGGCTTCGTCTTCGGTCTCGACATCTACGACTGCATCTGCGTTCTCAACACACCCGAGCAAGTTGACGCCTTCACGAGGCCTCGCCTCGCCCTCGGTGCCGGCGCCAGCGTCACAGCCGGACCCGTGGGAGGGGGCGCATCTCTTGCGTCTGCTGTGAGCAAGAGTGGCCGACCCATGTGGAGTTATATCAAGTCCCGTGGATTGTGGGCTGGTCTTTCCGTCGATGGCACCGTTATTGTGAACCGTGGCGATGCGAATGCGCTCTTCTACCAGGAGAAGGATATTTCAGCACAGAGGATTCTTCGGGGTGGTGTCGCGTGGCCGATGGATGCAAAGCCCCTCTTTGAGGTCCTCAAGGCTATTGAAGGCCGTGGTGAGGTTGATCGCAGTGTGGTGGACGAAGTTCTCAGTGAACCTCCCCCGGGTGATGGCGCGGCTGCACCCCCGGCGGACTATGTCGATGTGCAAGCTGAGCTTACGGACGACAAGAGGAGCATGGGACATGAAGCGGAGGTCCGCAAGGGGGATGACCTTTATGAGAGCTCAGTGGTGGATGAGAAGGAGGCCCTCGCCAAGGCCGGTGTCTGATTGAGAGCGCAGCGGTTGTTGTAGGATATAATGATTGAATTCCTTCATCGTCATAGAGAATGATATCGACAATACTGGAGACTGCAAAAAGGAATTTCTGGGCGTTGCCCCTTTTCAGGGGCCAGTGTCAACAAGAGGCTTGGCGACGACACCACAGCCTGTCAAGGTCCAAGATATCCAAAAGAAGGGCACGGTTTCTCAAATCAACGCTTCTAATTTCATATAGACGCTATTCGTATCCATGCAGATAACATCAGCGGCATGTCGCTTCCACCGAATCACACAGCCTAGATGTGCGCCACCCTTCCCCATCCCGCTCATCCCCATTTCTCTACAGAATCCATTCAATCACGGTAACCTGAGGGAGCACGAAAATTCATGATAGGCGCTGCTAAGAACCAGTTGTCGGTGAATCCGTGCGACACATCGAACCGCGAGTGTCCGACCTTGCCATTATACGTGTCCATCCAGAGCCTTGTCACAATGTCAGCCTTGGCCCTGATCCTCCAAGCATCCGCGTACTCGATGCTCGGGCCTATTCTTGTCAAGATGGATGCCCACATGCGGACGCCCAGCCTGTCAACAGATGTGGTGAACCCCAGTTTCGCAAGCTTTCGCTGCATCTCAGCATCGTTCCGGGTCCTCTTGTCGTTCTGTGCGGCGGCATGGATGCAAGCACCGTTAAGAGCCCTGAAATATGCCAGTACTTCTGCATTCATGGTATGCGCCTCGTTTAGGATAAAGGGGATTGAGCTGCATGTCAGCCGACAGCGCGTATGGAGGTTCTGACCACGAGCCATGAGCTCGTATTGCCAGAAACTGCGCTGAACCGTCGAGAATGCTTTGAAAGTACGGAGAGGCCTATTTCGCCCTTGCCCCTCGTAGACAAATATGTTTCGGTATCTCCAGAATTCTCTGCTCGCCTGGCGTCTGACGTGTTGCTCTCGCGCAGTAATGACTCCCTTCTCACGACGATCCTTTCGCCAGGAGCTCTCAAAACTCTGCTGGAATCGGCGCCAAAACCCGCCGGCAGGCGCACCGGCAGTGTAGGGGTGCCGTAGTGCGCGCCCGAGTATAGAAGACAGCGCGTGGTATGTCAGCGTATTGACCTTGCTGGCCATCACAGCGGCATCGCCCAATAGGCGCGGATGGAGGAGATCTTGGATCGCCCGCTTTTTGTCGGGTTGTGCCGTAAGGAGCAAGATATGTTGAATTCCGGTATTGATGCCATCTGGCGGCAGAAGCAGAATGAGCAGTGTCACCATGGCTATTCCATAGTTCTCTGGCAAGATCGCGTTACCAATGATGCCACTGTAGATGCTCTGGTACGACAAGCACGCCAGGGTTGCTGCCACAGGCTACGCGGCGCAAAAGGCGTCCAAGGTTTCAGTGTTATTCATACTCTCCATGATTCGGACGACAACATTTGGGGGTACATCTTGGATTCGCTTGCCACTCGGGAAGCCGGTGAGAGACCGACTAAAGCTCCATGATGGAGGACACAGCATGCGGTGTCCTTCCAGGATAGTATGCCAATACCATCGGCTCTCATTCAACGCAGAGGTTTTTTGATGACGAGAATGAGCATTGTCCGGCACAATCCCGTCACCAGCAAGCCAATATCGACGATACCGCAGCGATATCTCGGGATAAGCTGCAGGAGTTTTTAAATCGGGCGCCGGTGGGGAGGCAAGCTGTATTGCGACACGTCCAAAGTTTGACGGTGCTCGGGCAGAGTCATACACTTCTCTCAGCGGCGAGGGATGAAACGGTACGTATCCGCCGGGTCTACAGTCATCGTTCCAGCGAGGGGCCTTCCTCCTCTTGACACATGACCTTGGTTTGAGATCGAGGTCAACATATCGTGAGAGCCAGGACAGACATTGCACTGGCTTCGTAGGCTTCGTAGTCTTCGTGGGCCGCACAGACTGCATAGGCGGCGGGTCTAGCCATTGGCATGTCTGCGAAACGGAGTCCGGCGGCTTAGGCAACTCGTCATGTCGCAGACGAGGCGAGCTTGGGGGACTCGGTGAGCCGGGCGGAGTAGGGCAGGGCGTGGGCCTTTCAAACACTTCCTGGCGAATTTCCTGCTCTAGAATCTCCCAGTCGACATCGCCATCGTCATCGTACGATATATGCGTCAAGTCGTTGTTTTCGGATTCTGGCGTGGGACGTATGTCGCAGCCTTTATGGCTTTCAGGCATGGTGGAGGACATGATAATGCTGCTGATACATTTGATAGGATAATATCGAGGTAGTGGCGGGAGGAGTGTAGAAGAGATGTGAAGTGCGGACTGACGATGTTATCATGTTAATGCAACAGGCAATGCCAGGGCGCGCTTGCCCACAGTTTGTTGTGAGGGTGTGTGTTTCTCCAGGCAACAAGGTACTCACTCATTCCACTGCAGTGTGTTTTGCCGGCTGAGCATGAATTCATCACAACACCTAAAATAAAGAACCGCTTCCGACATGATCCATCCCCTAATCGCTGCTGCTGTTGTCACAGTTCCAAACATGAAAACCAAGAGAGGGGGAAAAAAAAGAAAGAGAATGAAAAAGCCTGTACCAGAAGCCGTCGTCTGCTCAGTCCAGCCTAGCCCAGTTCCTCTCCTTTACTCCTTCCTTTCGGCATACTCGTGGCGGGGGGGGGGGGGGGGGGGGGGGGGGGGGGGGGGGGGGGGGGGGGGGGGGGGGGGGGGGGGGGGGGGGGGGG